CTGCACACACTGCTAATGCTCGGGAATGGGAAGAGATGGTCCATTTATGTGCACTTCCGACTCATCTGTGCAAGCTCTTAATGGCCAGCCAGAAGGTAGCAATTCATTGACTGCATCTGCGGCACAAAAGATGATCCCATTTTTGACCATAGCACTGTATAACTCTTTCTCATACATACATCGTCCCTGTGCCCGTCGGAATAAGGGAGGAGTGTTGAATTTCCATCTGACATTTTTGTGAAATGAAGAAATATAAATTGAGTCCGCTGTACGTGTTTGATAACATTTTAAGAAGTGAGACGCAAATAGTTGGGGATGTGCTCAGGCCATAGAGACTTGCGATTTCGTATTCATACGCCGAAGCCTGCCTCATGAATACCACCCTCACATAAGTCGCACAGGATGGCATGAATTTTCCGCAACATCACGGTTGGGTGGAAGTAACGAAACAATTTTGTGAATAGTGTACGACTGCACATATTTTTACTGTTTACCCATTGCGTGCTTGTGAAAATTGTGTGGGTGACTCGCAAATATATATAACCCATATATCTCATATGCAAAGCACTGTAACTGCGCCTTCAGAGATTGGCCAATGTGAAATGTAGTGTGAAAGCCTAGTTTCCTCACGGAACTGTGTTGTTATAATAGGGTAAATTTAGGATTGCAGAAAAAGCTGACGATGAATTGACAGGAAGCCCGAATACTTTATTACCTACGCTCAATGCCAATAATGGTAAATTATAAGGCCAAAATTTCCATAAAATTTTAAATTATAAATATGTGAGTCGCGAAAATTTTCATCTATGTATATAGTCGAACACCATAACGAAACATGCCTATAAATATGCACAAGCATCATTTTTTAACCCACAATCTTTTCAAACCCCATGCATATTAAACAGGAGGAAAAAATCAAATTATGAATATACAAGTGAAAGAAAGCACTTCATCATAATTGTAAAACATAACAGCAAATTCGATAATAAATTATTACAAACAAAAAGAAGCATCGTGTGATGAATAAAATGTTCTTTAAATTCGTGGAGGTGTGAAATCCTCATGCACACATTGAGAGCTGACATCAATGATCTTATTGTCGCGACATTTTCAAAAGACTTTCATTTAGAGCCTGATTTGAAGTATTTAAGTTCAAAATAAAGACAAGTGAACTTGCATGTAAACATATTTCCTTTTAAAATTGAAGCAAATTTAGAAAATTCATGTTCAATGCAATTAAATATAAACTGATTTGATTTGTTCATTTGCCTATCGAAATCAAGAAATGCTATAATTTCTCTTTTTTTGCACAAAATTGGATCGAAAATCGTCGATTGTTGTACTTACTTCGCATAAAGACTACCATGATCACATCGTGGATGGTCTTCATGCTAGCTTGGAAGATAGCCGAGAGTAATTACTCACAGCTGGAGCCTCGGCTGGAACGAAAGGAAATGTTATTAATCGACAAAAATACATCTCAGGCGACACCTCCACTGGCGCCAAGGGTGCGATTTATTGGCAACGCTATCGCAAAGCGAGAATTTTCATAAAGCGCCCCCACAAAAGAATGATGTGCATCTCACTGAGTTTCGACAGAACACCACGTTCTCTTCGCTGGACGTCCTCATTGTGAATTTACGGCAACAACACTCAACTATGTCATGTTCTGTGGCAGTCCAACTACTCCCTGTCCTGTGTGCCACTAACATGGAACTGAGGGTAGAATTATAGCCGTTTAGACCTTGTTATTTGTGCAATCATTGCCTTAATGTGCAGTTAATCAATAAAATGCATAATTCAGGATTATTATTTCTTCTCTCAGATTCGCGGCGTGACACAAAGTTTTTGCCAACCCAAAATCCTTTCAGTAAAATGAAAATTTTAATAAGAAAACTTTTGCATCGTGCGACTTATATCTTCTCACCAAACACACGAATTTTCCTACATTCCGAATAGCTCACTCGAGGAGAAAATTAATAAATTTTCAAACTATGCCAAAACATCAAAGTATATACATAGTTATGAATTGTTAAGATCTACACTCAGTTACGGAGGAAAACAGTTTATTTATCTAAAGAGTATTTTAATCATCTTAACATGAAAGTGACAACTCAAATCTCTCCATACTTCTTGCAGGCATATTTGATTGATGATATGATAATATTAGTGGATATCATTCCGTTTCTGACAATAGTGACTTAAAATATCTGAAATAATTATTTTCACACAAATTAAGAGTTACTTCATTGAGTGTTGATAGTTTTTTATGGTAATGTGAATTTCAATTTAGTTCAATTTGGATGTTTAAAATCCATTGCCTCCTTGTTTGCATGTCATCAATATTTTTTGCCAATAAAGTGACACTAAATTCAATTTGACGATGTTACCTACTGAATTTAAACTTTTATAGCAACTAAAATTGACATTTTACACAATAAAAAATAATTAAACTTTTTATGTGGGTGTTTTGGAACAAAAATAATAATTACTTTGACGAATTGTGGTCATACTGACTGTGCTTTATGTCCTCACCTGGGCAACTTTCATAAAATACCTTTCGGACCATTTTCCAGTGGAACATTAAAAACCCTTGTCACTCTAGGAATTAGATGGTATTTTTAGTGCTTTTTCCGTACGATGGACATAATAAATTCAAGTGGGAATGTAAGTGTGTTTTATCGACAAGAAAAAGCGGGTGCATTTTAATTTGATTCACGTTTCAGCTCATGCATTCACGTTTTTTGTTCATGTTCCTTTTCACTGTTATCAGTTGAACACTTGTGAATAATTATTTATTGTCGAGGACTCATGCTAAATTATAGCTTCTCTCCTGACCATGTGCCACACTGCGACTCTTTTCCTCATTCACTTGTAATCACAAGCGTCGTAATTGCATTTCACATGTGCTGTAAATAATATTCAGCAATGCAGATAAACAAAGTCCATTTGTTGTGATTAAATCATTGATTAACTTCTGAATAGGCACTCGTCTTCATTCGAAATGATCGGCTACGAATGTAAATTGTGTGGAAAATGTATTGTCTTCGCAATTAAGAATGCCTCTCTACTAATTTTCTCAATGGTGCCAGACAGAAATGCATTCCAATAAAATGCTCTTTCATCTTAAAAATTACAAGCAGAATTTCCAGCCATTAATCTTGAACAATAAGATGAGAAATTTATTCGTTTGATTAAGATTCTCTGAACTGTATGAATATCAAAAATGAGAGAGACGAGAATTTCCGCTTGGAGAATTGATTAAAACTCAACTTATGTGAAAAGCTATAAATTAAATTCTCTTCATGTGCAACCCTTAGACACATTACACACATTTTAGAAGTTTCAATGAGAGGAATAGCTCAATTTGTAGATTCGAGAATTGTGAAATAATGAGTCAAAAGAAAATAATTAAGAAAATCATTGAGCGAAAAATTGATAATGGTACAGAGTATATTAATTCTAGCTTGAATGGAAGATGGAAATATTTATTGTCCATACACGGATTTGTTGCTGTGTTTTTCGTACAGATATCATTTCCAATCAACTCCATTAGTTCTTCGTTTTTTCAATTATTCTTCGATTGACATTTCTTTTGCGTAATATCTCTACGTAAATACTTTTATATATATATATATATATCCAAGATACATATGTATATAAATAAATGTTTGGATATATATTGATCTAGGAGATTTCTGAGAAAGTGATTATTGAAATTTTCGAAGTATATCCAGTAACATTTGCTTCAGACGTGCATTATAAGTATCATGAATATGAGCAAGTACTCCTCGTGCTCTTGAATGTCAAATAGTCAATATTGAATAAATTCCATGTGAATTGTTCGCATTAAATTATACATCACGTTTTCTCTTATTCAGAACCATAACCCATCCTCACATGAACTTTATTCACCAAATTTATTCAATTAAAATTAGGGAGACTGTGTCTGCATTGCACTATCATACATATTATGAAGCATAAAGTAGTCTTATGCGTCGATATTTAAACCATGGGAGCCGCTATATACGTACAGTTCAGCCTAAGTGTATTTAAGGATTAATCTCGGAGCATTGCCTCACCATACAGTGGCTGTTATCTCAAGACCAGACATGAGGGCTGTGAATACGACGCTTTTTAGAGAAAGTTTCACTTTCTCTTTTTTATAGTCTGAACCGATTGTGTATTTTCAAAACCATTCAATCGTACTTTTACATGTGATCTACTTATAACAAAAAAATCATTTCGATGTAGTTTCCAGATGAAAGAAATAAATACTTTCACATTGAAAGTGATCAAAAATCATGAGAAAGGGAGAAAAACTTTTATTGTGTTTCTAACAAAGCCCTATCACTGTTACATGTAACAAAATGAAGTCGGCATGACGTTAAAGGACTGCATCTGTTAAGCTTCATCATTCAAAGAAGATGTTGCGAATGCTAAAAAATATACAATTTTTTTTTCACAGAAGAAAGAAAAATGCTACAATGAAACTAAATATAGCCTAGTGTAGCGATTTTCTCTCACAATGCAGAATAACACGAACAATGCTGAAGAAAATGCTGCTACTGAGGATTCACTTCAAATCTTTATTATGGCCAGCACTTGATAGTGCTTTGTAGGGATATTGTGCCTAAATTCCAGTACCTTTTTGGATTTGTATAAGGTGGAGTGCTTATAAAAAGCTTTTGAGCGTGGGATCAAGCCTTTAATAGGTGTCTTTGCGTGTGAAAAATTCTTAAGCCACCTAATTCGCTCTCTCGCTCTCTCTCTCTCTCTCTCTTTCTCTCTATGCACGTGTCTCTCGCGGGAAATTCAACAGCCGGTCGAGAGCCAGATTTCTCAATGAAAATCCTTCTATCGATGAGCGAATTCTCTCGCTCTCTAGAATTTCCCAGAGAGAGTGAGTCGGAAAGTGAGAGAAAAGCTGAGGCAACAGAGTTTTGAATTGGATTCAGTTGATTCAGTTGGTCGACTTCTTGTGACGCGTTAACAGTGATCGAAGTATAGCGCGAAGCTTTATATTTCGCGAGTTATCTAGATAAAGCGCTCGTTAATGCTCAATCGAAGGGTTAAATCTGTGTGAAGTGTTGTGTGATGAATGGTTGTTGGCAGAAGTTTCGCAATCAGACAGTTTCAAAGCAAAAAGGCCCCGGTGTGAAGGATAATTAGGAAGTGGTAAAAGAAAGGGTTCAAGGGATACAAATTGGATACACGCTCCTGACCTATTGAGTGCCCCTTCTCATTTGCGGGGTTCTTAATTGTGGCAGCTGAAGGAGAAGAAGAAAGTCCTAAATATCTACCCAGGTAATTGGTCGTGCGTGCGGATGAGTCCGACGAAGAGTGGGAGGAAGCCACAAAGACGGTGAATTGATAAGGTGGCGAAGATTTGAAGCGAGACAGAAATGCGATGGACTGGTGATGAAATTGTCGGTGAAAAGTGATTTATGAGATCACCGTTGATAGTCTCAAATGTCCAGGACGTCCTCGAGATCTTGAAGAGGAGTGTCCGCCAGTGAGTGAAAAAGGTGGAATACAAATTGAACAGATTTTTCGGGCATCCACTGAATCATCACATCATCCCTGTCGGGGATGGGCGAAAGCTGAAGGGCGACTCTTCAAGAGCACACAATCAATCTCCCGAGTCGTACTTTTATGTGGCCCTGAAGAGTATTAGATAAAATTATAGACGCACAAGTCAGATTATGTCCTTTCACGCAATGAAAAAAGCTATGGTTTCTTATAACCATGATGAAGCTCGAATATTTATATTAAATTTCTGTTGAAAATGCGAAATCTACTAATAGATTGTATTAAAAGGGACAATAAAAAAATATATACTACAAAAGCTGTTATGGAACGCCCATAAATTCCATAAGCTATTTCCTAAGAGGGGCTAATAAATCAAGTAAATCAGAATAGAAGTCATTAATGTTGTTTATATGTATTGATTAATCTATTTCGGTTTCCTCTTAAGCTTTTTATGTTGAATAGTAGAAAATGAATCTTGCCTAAGAAAAGATAAAGATGTGCGACTATAAAAAGGGCTTCATTAGAGAGAAACTTTAAAATCCTTTCCGTGTTAATGATGCAAAGCTCTATCTGAGTTCGCATTATTTATTATTTTACATCACCGGAAGACGGAAATTGCTCCTTTTCCCGCTCAAACGTCAGCTTTCACGTTGTGCGACTGTAATTTTTCTCCCAGAGCCCAGATTTATATCTTCAAGTATTGTTGATTGCCTCTTCTTAGATTCCTATCACCTGAAGCATTAAAAAGTGATTCATCTGATAGCGAAAGGACGACAGAAGGAAATTTTCCAGTGGTATTAATTGCCTCTACCGTCATTAAGAGTATCTCTTTTTGCGAAGTTACGAAGAAAATGCGAAGATGGATCGCAATTTTTCCTAAATTTTATCTATTTTTAAGAGTTTGTATGCTGTCCCACATTCTGGGCTTCTCTATTTTGCTGACCATCGCATAAAAATTCGGTAACATGGTGTAATAATTTGTTAATTTGTGTATCGCGGTGTCATCTTATTTACATCCTCGACAGTCTGAGTATCTGCGTGGATTTCTATCCACTCAATTCGGAGCGATGACAAGTTTTTCACGCGGCGCCAAGGTTTCCGGTCAAAATACAAATTGTGAATAAGTGCTTTTCCTCTGCACAAACAATAATTTTATCGAAGAATTCAATTTCTCATAAAATGCGTGGGTGTGTCAAGTGTTCAAAGACGAAAAGAAGACGACAAACAATCCGTATTTCGTCCATTTCTACTGTTTATTTTCTTTTGCGCATCTCGGCATTATGTAAACTTTGAAAATGTCCAACTGGACATGTCCATCATTCATGTCTTTTCCCCACAAGTCTCTCCAAATGCAATTCCTTTGGGCAAATAATAAAGATAGAAAATACAGAAATTTCATAAAGAGATAATCTAATGGAATTCAGCATAAAATTTGACCTTCCCTCCATGAAACATTTTTTCCCATTAAAAGCCTAGTGCTCCCAGTTTCTAAATCTAAATCCATATCAACATTCATTCCTGGCATACCGTCTCTCCACCCATGCTAATTTCTCCCCAAGCCAAGATGTAATGAGAATGAAGATGCTTTTCATACGTCTCTTTTAATTCTCAAAATTTGCTCCTCCCTCTTGGCTTTCTCTCATACTTCTCAAGTTCACACAAAAGAGACAAAATACCGAAAAATTTTCTATAAATATTGTGAAGCATGAGAGATGGTAAAAATAGCAACTAGAGAGAGTAGATATCACGTTATATAACATGATTTGCGTTCAGCAGGTGTGCAAATAAACTGGATATAACAAATAATAGAACAATTACCGAAACAGCATTTTGCTTTTTATGCACATTGCGTCGTGATGTGTCGCTTAATTGAAAGGAATTAATCCCAATTGTGTGTGATATAATCAATGATATACAAGAAGTTTGTACAAAGTGATTTTCCACTGGGGAAAATGTGATTCATGAGTTTTACAAAGTGAAGAAAAGTCATTTAGTGGTAAAATTGAGCTTTTAAAAAATAAAATGCATACATAAAAGATTGCATTTCATTGCACGACTGATTTAAAATAACATCAATATTAATCTGTGTTCTGTGCAATTAAATATATTGACACTGTGTTTAAAAGTCGCCAAATTAAGGAAGTTTGAAGCTAATTTAATTGGTATTTTCCGTAATATCTAGCTTTAAATGTGGAAGAATCTGAGGGCTGGAAAGTGAAAATTTAGGCAAAGGAATTTTTGAATTGCTGTCGATTTTTAAAAAAATTCTTGTGAATAGGTATTTTAATATGCCGTTAATTGCGTGTTTCCCTAACTTTTTTAAATCTCGTAAAGGGACGCAAAATTTTGCCCCATTCTTCCACTTAAGAATGGTATTCTTTGAAATCAGACGACACGCTTCCAATTGATTTTAATTGCGACAAAACACAAGAGATAGAATGCACGATTTGCTGAAAGCAATTTCCTCCTCTCTAACTTACAACTCCAATAAATATCACAATCATAACACTTTAACGAGAAGAACTGTTGGATGCTGTTCGGGGTAATTAAACTTTCCTGATTCATCAAGTAAGCTGTTAGGTAAACTCTGCAGAAATTGTCCGTTGAAGTCTTCCATCAAGACGATGTAAATCTATAAATATTTCAGATGGGAATTCATTCCAATGATAGACGATAAGCAGTCAGCAACAAAGCTGAAATTTGTAGCAAATTCACGCACTTTGCATATTCTATCACGAGTTGAATCAATTTAGGATGAGGAGATAGAGAAGCAAAGTTGATAGAAAGAGGAAAATATACTAAATGGCTGTGGGGAAAATTGGAGAAATCACACCAACTCATTGTTTCATCATACTTCCGTTCCAAATTCAGCACCTCTTTTACGACATTGACCTTTCCCTTGCCTTACGACCCATCTGACTTTTGTATGCCATTCTCATCATATGAGCCTTTTTCCTCAAAGATCTGACAATAGGTACCCGTGTACACACTTGGGATTTATGTATTTAAAGTATGGCATAGCTTTTCACAATGGAGGAATATGACTTTCGCAGTCTGTTGGCAGGAATTACCAGTAAAAATGTCACATTTTCAGCCATTCAAATACAACTTTGTCACGCGAATAAACCATACGAGTGGCGCGATAAATTTTCACTTTTCATTCTCAAATCGCACGGAAATGAAGAACTCGAGGTGATGGAAGGTTATTCGCGGAGGGTAATTAAATCAAATGGAGTGTGTTTTAGTGTGACTGGAAAACACTGCCTTCCTAATTGATAAAAACATGTGTTTTTCATATATTCCCTCCACTAAGCGCCTCTGAAACTTTCTATAAGTGTGCAGAGAAGTTGTGTTGTTTATGCCGAGACGCGGCTTGGATACTTGCCAGTGCTGTGATAGCTGAAACTCACCACTGAGGCCATAAGAGTGAAAAACCCGTACAAATTATTGCATTAGGAATTATTTAGAGAAGATTTTCACACAATTAATGTGACCATCTCGCGTTGGAGGCTGAGTGTGACGACCCAGACAAGTGATAGTCTCAAAAATATACTCGTGTCGCCCTTGAAATTGGCGAGTTTGAAGTGAAAGTGAAAATTCACAGGATAGTAAATGATCAAGAGGCATTTCTGAATTGATTTGTAAACACCATGACGAAGGGTTAAGCATACGTGTCAAAATGTGTCAATATTGCGCCAATTTACGATTGAAAATTGATTTTGCAAATGTTTGCATAGAAAAGCCCTCGCAGAAGGGGCAATGGAAAGGTGTACATGAAAATGAATGGGAAAATTGCGACAGAGTGGAAGATGGGATTGGGATTTATAGAAATTTCGCAGTATTTCACTCCTGCCCTTGCGTTTTCGCCAAAGTGAACACTTTAGCATATTGAAATCGAATAAATGGAATCATACATATAGGGAAGTGCTCGCTTTTCTCTCCACGAAGGACAGCAGAGCAAACTCATGCATGCTTCTTCGGTAAATGGACGTGGGTACAGAAGGGTAGTGGAAATGCGGTAGATATGTTGTAATTTTTCATTAAATTTCAGCTGAGAGTACATTTTCACACTCTCTTCTATTCATGTAATATCAATTACAAACCATGAGGAAAATTACGAACAAACTAGGGGATTTGACGAACAATTTATCCTTAAACAGTAAAATTCTCTTCATGTAGAAAACATCGCATTCTCAAGCATCTCCTTGTGTTTTCTTGCAGAGAAGATTGAGATTAAAGATTTGAAGTTATGAATGGAAGGAAGTTCAGTGTAGTGTAATACAAGGACCAAGATTCTTTCTTATTGAATGAATGAAAATGAAAGTTTCAGAATCATTTCATTCCTACCACACCTAAACTGTAATGGAAGATGGAATGTAAGTGGAAAGGTAGATCATACGGGAAATTGATTTTAATGTTTGTTATTCATCCATTCCAGTCCATACGTGAATCCCTCGCGTTTATCCAAATACATTTCCATGCATAATGAATATACATATTTTCCTATTACTTGTTTCTTCTTCTTTCGCAGGCTTTTTATATCCTCTTGCGAGATTGCCGTAAGACAGTATATAATTCTTCAAGACCACGCATTCGATGTGGGAAAAGCCTCCTACGGGCATGTTCTCACTCTGGCAGCAGTAACTTGGCGGTGTCAGTGAAGTTAGGAGGGGGTGGAGGCCGCCCGGGAACGCAATAAAATGTGAATTGAGCCACTTAGTGTGACAAGAGTGACAAGATGAACTGGCTTGGAATTCACAGCGATGCGGGGGGGTCCCAATTCGTACTGCATATCAATGCACTCCCATCTTAATCGCGCCGGAAGGCCAAATTAATCATGAATATCCTCCCGGAAGGGGACGCGGAGGTGGACAACAGCACCGCCCTGGACTGGCTGGCGGGCAATGGCACTCTCATGCCCGCCAATGAGATGGGGTACTTTAAGAACCTCTGTCTCTACACCTACAATCCCACAGACGAGATCGTCACGTTCCAGTTCTGGGTCTGCGGCGTCGTGCTCAATATTGTGGGTGTTCTTGGCATTCTGGGGAATGTACTCTCCATGGTGATCCTCTCTCGGCCCCAAATGCGCTCCAGCATCAATTATCTCCTGATCGGACTGGCGCGCTGTGACATCGTTCTCATCTTAACCTCCGTCCTGCTCTTCGGCATTCCCAGCATTTATCCCTACACCGGCTACCTCTTCTTTTACCACTACTACATCTATCCTAACATATCACCCTACGTTTTTCCTATCGCCATGGTCGCTCAGACGGCCAGCATCTACCTCACATTCACCGTCACACTGGAACGCTTTGTGGCCGTTTGTCATCCGCTCCAGGTTCGCGCACTCTGCACATATGGTCGAGCTAAACTCTATGTCGTGGTGTGCATTGTCTTTGCCATCTTGTACAACTTACCACGATTCTGGGAAGTAAGTTCTCCTACTCATGCTATGGTAGACTAATAAAACCAGCAAGCTGATCACGTCTGTCTTCCTGGTTTCAGGTCAGAGTGCAGGAATTTGACTTCAAGGGTGGCGTTGTATACTGCGTGACTGCATCAGAGATGCGCTTGGATACTTACTACATTGAAATCTACATTCACTGGCTGTACTTGATCTTCATCTACGTTCTCCCTTTTAGTCAGCTTGCAATTCTCAACTCTTTAATTTACGCTCAAGTGCGTCGGGCGAATCGAGAACGCCAACGTCTGAGTCGGACGGAGAAACGCGAGATTGGCCTAGCTACCATGCTTATTTGCGTGGTTATAGTGTTCTTCCTCTGCAACGTCCTCGCGATGATCAACAACATTATGGAGGCGTTCTATGCCACTACAAATGACTATCTGGTCAACGCATCCAACCTACTCGTCACCATCAACTCCAGTGTCAACTTTATCATCTACGTGATCTTCGGGGAGAAGTTCAAGAGGATTTTTTTAACGCTATTCTGCAAGGGACGCATAGGCCGTGAGTCGCCAGATGGACTAATTCATGATGATAGCTCCTTCTCCAATGGAGATGGCAATCACAGGAATTCGGGGCGGTTTCAGCGGCACGGCACAACGAGAAGCAGCACGCGAAGCAACGGAACGAGCCTGAGGATCACCAGGTCCGTTCGAGTCCGCGCCCCCTCGCCGGGTCCATGCGTCTACTACCCGGCGAGGGACTTTAAGCCGCGCGGAGGCTTAGTAGCGCGAAGTGTCTCTGTGCAGAATTGTGACTGGGAACGTGATACTGTGGTCAATGGCAATGGGCTAGTGTCTACCACTGGCTTCTAAGCACTGTGTATATATTGTAAAAAGAAGGGTAAAAGTCTATGCAGAGAGATTTTAAGTGTTCTGTGATGATATCACATCGAGATGTGTTTTAAAAGGGTGGCCATGAACCGTCTCAAGGGGCCGAGAAAAGCTCCTCTTGAGAAAAATGTTCAATCCCGAGAAAATTCTATCAGACAATGAAATAGGAAAGCTTTTATTGTGTCTCCAAAGCCAATAAGAGAAATGGATTCTTTTTTTTTGTAAAAAAAAACAGTGTGAAAAGAAGATTAAACAGCAAAAATAAAATTAGGAGTTACAAATTCACTGGAATGAGAATTAATTCCATCTTCTTCATCGGGGCAGATAAAGGGATCAGAGAGCAGCAAAGTTTAAAAAAACATTTTCGATACCCGTGCAAAAATTAATTACCACCAACTTAATAAAGTTACGCCATTAATTAAGCATTCTCTGAACCTTTGAATTATTTCAGCCTGTCGCCCGTCCAGTGTATTTTTCAGTCAAGGATTAATTAAAGACTGCAGAGTTTTTTCTCTTCCTTGCCTCCCACAGAGAGAACTTACCAAGGATAAAATCATAAGGATTGCGACTCTCACCTTCTTGTCGTGATTTCATAGTGATTTATAGACGATTTCAATGCTAAGGGGACAAATATTCATATTGAATGAGAATGAGAGGCACTAAAATTTTTATTACGACTCTCATATCATCGAAATTTCGCCCATTCTCTATCACACACTATACATTCGACCTCAATCTCACCCACTTTACAATGGTTCAGTGAATCCTTTCAGCTGGGGAAAATCTCCGATAAAGCACACATTCTCTCGTCTTCAGGATAAATTGCCACTGAAATTTTCATCATGTCGATATTAGCCAGTGGTGAGCGTACAAAAAATGTCTCTGCAGACAAGGAGAACATTTATTTTACTCTGAGTCACTGAGAGAAATCTTTCAAGCGTAACGCTAAGGAGAGGGTCAGGAGGGTAGATAAGATAAGAGGATTAGAGAATCAGTCTAATTAACATTAAATTACTTCTCTTAGTTTTAAAGAAAGGTTCCTTCTTCACTGTGTACTTGTGTTCCCCATATCATCCTTTGGACATTCTACCCAAGTCATCTTTTTACAATGATTAGATTTATCATGACAAATAACACGACCCAAAAAACAATGCAATATCCATTCAAGCCTAAATTAGAATTGCTTTTAGACATTTTAATCAGATTTCGAGTGTCACGAGGGAGAGAATAATAATGAGTGATAGAAGAAAATAATCAGTTCAGAAAATAACTCTTCATCTTAAATTTTTTTTGGTAATTCCAGCTTCGTCTTGGACTGTGTTCTGAGGCTTATTCGCCTGTTATATGGCGAAAATCAAAGCATGTATGCCTCAATAACACCACATTGTTATGAAAAGATTTATGATGACAAACAATATAGTAGGAACCAAAATTAAGGAGAAGATTTAACAAACCTTAAAGGATGATTTGCTCCAAACGCATCAAGAGTATTTAGATTAATTGATCTCAACAGAACCACTCAAAAAGATCTTTAAATTAGTTACATTCTCTAAATTGCATATTAAATCGTCGTTATAAAGCATACCACTATTTTTTTCAATTAATTCCATAACTTTCAAGCATATTTGCCATGTGATTAAGGCAGATTATATCTGAGAGGAAACTTCTAAAATCTGTGTATAGATTTTACCATTTCACATCGGCGGGGAAACTTCAAGAAAATGATAAACTAGTTTGGGCGAGTGAATGTCGAAGTTTTCTTCGCATTTCTTTAGCGAGTTATTTATCATTTTTATTGCTATACTTCATCACTCTATCACACATTTTATATGGCGGACGAGAGAAATTACTTTCGTCACCCTTACTAAATGTGCGTATGAGAAGAAATTTTATTTTACAGTATCAGAATAATATTAAATTTTCGGTACATTTATTATGTCTCTCAGAGCTAAGAGATACGACAAAAGAATTCAGTGATGCCCATGTGAGATATTACCATGAGTTTGATAAACGGATAAAAAATGTCGGACCAGAGCTCAAATCAATCAACTAACCGAAACAAATATCTGAAAAAAATCCCTCACGCCAAATATTATCTTTTTACACAGTTCTTGATCTAATTGAATGACTCCAAGCCGGCGAACAGCATTAATGGCATATCTGGGGATTTTTTAGGCATTTCCTCCGCAACATTTTGTATGATGGAAAGTTAATGGCGCAAATTTTGTTCTCATTTCTTCCTTCATATCTTTCGCTCTTCATTTTTTTTCTCTCACGCGCCAAATGTTTTTCAAGTGTAGAAAAGAAGTTTCAAGAGCTAAAGAAAATATGAGGTGTGGAGGGGGTGGATTTTCGTTATTGAAAGTGGCCTGAAAAAGAAAGAGACATTGCCAACGAGTTCCGCTGGAAAATTATTCAAGGAAGAGGAACGGAACAAGATGGAATTTAATAATGTGAAAAAAATGCTGCTATGACAATTTGGCAGGACAAAACCATCGGATGAACGTTGGAAGAAATAGGAATTGAAACATAAATTAGATTTGTGTAATTAAATTTACGGGTTTTTACCCAAGATCGGGTTGTCGTATATTTCTGAACTTGCTAGAGTGAAATCTCACGTAACAGTAACAGACACTGCCAATGAATCAACCGGAGAGACACGAGGAAGAATCTGGGTAAGGCTATAATGAATAGAGTCTTCTAATTGTGTGGCATTCTCACACCTCAATCGTACCAAAACAGAAGGGATATACATAAATCTCAATTCTAAGCAACTGGAAACTATCGATTAGGCATGATTTTTTTCCTAACACAGAAGCTTCAGGATGGGGGAAATTTTACGAAGACTTCATAGAGATTTTCTTAATATTTCACTTTTGAGCAGTCCAACTTCTTCTGTGCGTGTTTCAACCACTTGCCAATAAATTACGTGTAGGTGGGAAAATTCAGTTACATGTGAACTCGTGAGGATCGTGTTGCCTTGGCTCGTGGCACTTCATCATATACACTCGCCCACAGATTTATCGGTGCTCAGATATAACCATGATTGAGTTGAGTGACAAATTGTAATGGTGCGGAATTTTCCGACTAATTACCAAGTAAATTTGCTAAGGGATTTACTCAAAACAGTTTATTTGGCAAAGCTTTGGACATTGATATCAAACAGTTTTATCAGCTTCCCCACAGCTCACGTCATTCTCTGCACTCTGTTGATAGTGAAAATACTTCAGCTGGTATAGAGCTTCTGGAAGATACTAGCATCAACTCCGAAACCGGCCTTGTAATAGTCAAAGAAGTGTTAGATCTGGCAGCAGGCGCTGAATTCGTGAACTCATTTGAGTTAGTGCTGTCCAGAAGGGATTTTCTGAAGATATCCGTCTTTTCAGGTCCTTCGTCGTCCATTTCCACATCAGTAAAGTTAAATCTGATGGTTTTGTTTAGTTCAGGCGTAGGTTCCGCAGGATGAAAATCCGTGAAATACTTCACGGCATGTAGAGGCTCGTCCTCATTTTTAGGGCTGATGTAGAAAACCTGAGGGTTCTCGTTGATTTGGCTCTTCCAGTTTGAGTACTCAAAATTGTTTAGGCTTTCCTCCTTGTCCATGAGCACATCCATGACGAGATCCGGCGTGGAACAGCGATTCAAGTGTACAGAGAACATTTTTAACTGATGTGACACACTCACAAGATAAGCTTTAACAGACTGAGTTGCTCAAGAAAAAGAAGGCTTTATATACACATCAGCCTGCAGGCAGGACAAGGGTGTTTCCAGGTAAAAAATTAGAAGTTTGAAATATTACTTAATTATGTTTTAATAATCATTGCTTATTGAGAAGAATTAAATGCTTTATAAATCTTTAAAGACGTATTAATTTGCAGAGACCTCTATTTTCTGATTTAACAGATAAGACACCTAAATAACATTTTTTTTTATTTGATTAGTGAATTTTAACATAGGATTTTAATGTGAAAGAAAATCACACTTGCGCTATTCAATTTAGAGTCACTGTATGCATGCATTCTCTACCCATCACTCACATACTTTATTGTTTCCGAGAAAATACTTTTTAATATGCACCTCAAGCGTTATTCCACAGGTAATATGAGTTCAGTACATAATATTCTCAGAATCTTCAAGTGTATTACATTTGTCTAGGTCCAAAGGAAAATTCATCTTATGAGTTTTTTTATTCATTGTTTAGTCTAATTTGTGCAAAGGCAGCATTCTCAGCTAAATTGAGTGGAAAACCGTCTGCTTGCTCTCCAGACGAGCCACAGCACTCAATATCCATTTGCGAACAAACAAAGAAGTAAACTAAAACTGGCTCATTAAATACATATGAGCAATATTGAGCTATAAAAGAAACGTGGCTTGAGAAATGAAATGAAAAAGTTGCCAAATAAAATAGCAATTTAAACTGTTTCATATTGTTATTTTTCAGAAGGGACTCTTCTGGAAGGGATGTAAGATTTTTCAGTACAAGTTAAAGATTTAGTCTGCGGAAAATGCTTCATGGAATATTCAGGTAAAAACCATAAACCTTTTGCTGTAGCCATAAAAATCCCCGGGATTTAAGGCAAATCCCATGAAGCAAGTTTGTCTCTCAGCAAAGTTTTCTTGCATTCGACAAATTGTAGTACGAAGGAGAGGAAATTTCGTGATCTTGTGGCAAGAATTTAATAAGACAATTTCCAATTCTCGAGCACATTTTCCTGCTGCAACATGGAATCATTTATGTATAATTTAGTTGGAACAACTCAAACTTCCAAACTCATCTACTCATGTGGACTGTTGATACACAAATAAAGATGGTTCTTCGGCTGTTATGGTCTCGCTTTCGGAGTCAGTTTTCTCATCAGGAACACCCTTCTGTGTCTCCACGCTTGTTTGCTCTTCAACCAAAGTGGTCTCATCTTCCGGCGAACTTTCCTCCTCCTCCTCCTCAATTTGATGAGAGCTGGAAAATTCACTGTCTCCGGACTCATGAAGACCAAATGTTGGCACAAATTCCGCCTCATCGAAGAAATAAGGAACTGATCTTTCGAGCGATGCTGTCCAAAGTTCGTAAACGGGATCATCTTCAAATGCCTGTTTAACTGGCAAAGTATCACTCACGGGCAGAGGGGTTGAAGTCCTCTCGAGTCTTATCACACTCATACTTGGCGGTTTTGTCCTTTACAGCAAAAATAGCAGCAAAACTACCTATTAATAAGGCATCACTTTCGTCACTGAAGAGAAAGTGACACAGACTATTACAAATGAGTTGTGTAATAAATAAATCTTCTCCAGGTAAGAAACCTGGCAAAAATTGGTAGTTCTACTCTGACCGTTGTGAGTTTCTTACACACCGAACCGATGGGTTGCCTTCACAGTGCACCAACTTATACTTTCTACACAGCCAACACAAGTGATCCAACACTGACCAATTTGCACGCCAGGACGTCTAGGGAAAGAATCGAAATATCTCCAATTCCTCTGGCTCATCAGCGGTTATCCACTCCAAGATCGTCCCCAAGAATTTCCAGAAAAGCAAGAAGAAGAACCACAACAAGCCTGCTCAAGAATCTTCCTCTCTTCACCGCAAGAACCTCAACGCCCCTGCCCAGGAAGAAGGAAGTGAATTGGGAACTCATAAATACCATCCATGGACTGGAACCTGGATATGGAGCATTTGAATATCACCTGAAAAACTCTGAGAATAATTCAAATAGAGTTTTTCCAGGATATCAGTCGTCAAGAGTGAGATTATCCGTGAGAGACGAACACTTCACTGACGATTCGGATCGTCTGGATTCAATTCATGTGGACAATGGACAGTTAAAGGGATGGAAATTCCGTACACATCATCATGAAGCTTCTGGACCTCGCCGGAGACTTGTCATGACCTCGATATCCAGTTCACGAGAGGTTTTTGAGGATTCATAGACAAATTTTTTGCTCAATGATATATTTTTAGTCTCATGGGCAACATCTCAGCTGTATCTGTAAATAAAGCAATAAATTCAATGTGATTTTCCTGTTTCATATCACTCCGCTTTTACCTGGACACAATTTCCTTCAGAATTTCCGTCACTTCTACCAGAATATCCCGATTAATTTCCTTCAATCCTAAAGAGACGACAATCTCCAGACCTTTTACATCGACTTCAGTGAATATTCTTCTCAGCGCAGCTTGAACTTCATCAGTATCATTTCCGAATTTTCCCTGTATCTTCAGCTGTTTGTTGTATTTTGCAAATAAATCATTTTCAAAGCTCCTTTCGCTAGATATGGTGAAAATGTTATTGATTTTTCCAAACTGCGTGACGACGACGAATAGTTTGCTGCTGAATTTATGCACTACAAATTCCGTATCCACCTCACCCACAGAATATTTATGAACAGTATCATACGCTGAAGCCATATTTCACGGAATTTTACTTAATATTCTTGAAAAACTTAAAGAAAAAGAGGATATTGAACAATGCACTAAAGTATAATGGGGTTGTTTACATTTTGTACCGACTGTCAAAAAGACCCTGATGGTCATCCTTTCTGTTTCAATGATGTTTCACTTTTCAGTAATAGTATTTCAGTGAGATTTTCACATTACATTGATGAATGCAAAAATCGATAAATTTCTTATTTCATTTTCATGCTTTAATTAAAAGCCTAAAAATAAATTTTGTCGCAGAAATGCATAAAATGAGCTTGATAGAATTCTTCGCTGTAACTAACGAATAGAAACCAAAAATAGACAAATTTTCGAAAATCTTATCTTGAAAATCCTTGTACATCCAGAACTGTTTTGTCATGTAACGGCCCTTCTGCTAATCGAGCTATTGCTGACAGAAATCACAAAATATACTACTTATCCCTCCGTCAAGTTCTTGTGCGTATTGAAAAAGTTGCAATTCTGTATGCGGTGCTGTGTCGGCTGGAAATCTGTGTGCAACGTCAGCTGGGGTGTGGTTGACAGTCGGAGAAATTCCCCTGACACGGATTTACAAGAGAAAATAAAAACATGTTCTAGAATAAACAAAGTGGCAACATTTGTGTAATCATCAGCTTGGAGACATGCTGAAGATCTTTAAGAAGTCAGGTATGCGACCAGCGAGTTAGTCACGTTACGTCTTTTGAAATGATGCTCAACTGCGCCACTGGAAAATTGTTTTTAGGTCGTAGAAAAGAGAACACAAATTCGTCATCGCAGGAAATTTCCGGAGATGCTGATGACCAACGGAGGAGACACTCTGGCAGCCAACCAGCTGCATCACTGGCGACCGCAGAGGAGTTATGCGAGAGCCAGGAAGGTGAGCTTCGGAGGGCTTCCGGGAAGTTGTGGAGGTCAGAGGTGTGATTTTTTTGGTTTCTCTTGTAGACGAAAGTGAGGCTTGTCGCTCGAGATTGTCCAAGAATCTGCTGGAAATTCTCTCTGAGAAGAGTAGCCTGTGCTACTTCGTTCAGTTCCTGGAGGAGCGCAAAGTGCTACCACTGATCAAGTTCTGGTTGGACGCAGAGAGTTTCCGGACGTCAGCACAAGTTTGCGAGAAGTCCGATGGGCTTCACAAGACCACAACGAAGAGCACTTCTTCCGAAGGGTGTGACAATTTGTCTTGCTTCAGCGTGGACTGCGAATCTGTGTCCCTGAACTCGTCTACAAGTTGTGATATTAGACGCGGGGAAGATGGGAAGTCCACCATGTCAGACGACTTGAGTGGGCAGCTGGGAAAAATCACGGATTTCATTGCAAATCAGGAGGACAGTAACCTGGACGGCTACTCAAATTTATGTGATATCTCGATAGGGCAGTCAAGCGGAGAGGAGAAGAGTCAGGATGAGGCGAAAAAGCGGCTGGAGGAGGATGACGACGAAGAAGATGATGAGGAAACGATAAAAGTGCAGAGAAGCATCGCCACGGACGCTGTTAGAATCTTTAAGAAGTACTTCACGAGCAACTCGTCTTACTGGATCGACATCCCAGCCCCAGTCCATGCCAAAATTTCCCTGGCGCTGTGCCAGGAGGACGGTGGACCAGTGTCCCCGTTCTGTTTCGAAGCAGCGCAGAAGTACGTATTCAATCGCCTCGAGAGGGATCACCTTAGCGACTTCCTGGACAGCATTTTCTACTGCAAGTACTGCGTTGACGTCCTAACCGGGGACAATCTACACATTCGTGATATCCTGTATAGCGAGTCGGCCTTATTCTATTTCCTGGAGTTCCTTGAACAGGAAAATATCCGCGATTACCTGGATTTCTGGGTGTCGGCCACGAACTTCCGTCGCCAATTCATGGAGAGTGGCGATCGGCTGGTTTTTGCGGAGGCGCAGAAGGACGCAATGGTGCTGTATGAGAAGTATTTCTCCCTCCAGGCCAACACATCCCTCCAATTCTCAGACACCGTGCGATTCCATGTAGAAGAGCGGATTTGCTCTCAAACTGAACCCATCTTTACATGTTTTGACCGGCCGGTGCGCATTGTTGAGCACTTTCTAGCGACAAACCACTTTGCCGGATTCACAAAGTCTCAACTGTTCTACAAGTACCTGTCGGAGCTCCTGAATCGCATCCAGGAGCACAAGCGATCGACAGATCAGAACAAAAAGGGCCACAGGAAGACTAATTCTGAATGCTGGAGCAGTATCTCAACGCAGAACACTCTCTTGGCTATGGAGACGCCCCAGAAGCATCGAGCTGTGCGCTCCTGCTCCACGTCAGACATGCAAATCGATGCTAGACATATCAGCGATCCCGACCTTCTCTGGAGGCGTTCCTCATTCGCCCACGGCCTTCGCTTCGGCAGCGTGAACGCCCTGGGGCGCTACGAGCGTGACTTCGACATGGACAACGGCGATGCCGAGCGCTGGAGTCTTTCCGCAAGTGGAAATAAGCTGAAGAAAGCCATGCGGAAGCTGGTGAATCTCCCCGAGGATCGCGTACAGGAAGAGATTGCCTGGCAAGTGGCCGAGATGATTGTTAAAGATATTACGAATGTTACTCTCAATCATGACACAGGAACGTGATGTCTGTGACTCTCTCTAACTCTCTGTCATTCCTTTTTTGTGGAATTTCTACCCCTAAGAATCTTTAGTCACTCTTCAGTGTTATTAACATTTTTTTGCAATGATTTAAGATAGTATTCTTTATTGTCTGTCCTGAGAGAATTTATGTGAATTGTTTAATTGACAAATTCGGATTTTGAAAGGCGTCACTAGAGACTCATAGGTGTTATTTTTTGAAGAATTGAAAACAATAAATTAATATATTATGAGAATATCGAATGAGTTATCACTTTATGTTTGATTTGTCGCAATAACATTGTTTTGAGAAGTAGCTTCATAGCTTACTATTCTGACAATATCACCATAAGATAAATAAACCAAATAAACCCTTTAAGAAATTTGATTTTTCATCGCCAATCTCTAGTGCGATGTTATAACAATTGACCTTCAGTAAAAATCGCATGTCAACATCTTTACTATTCTCACACTTTACACGCTTGTCTTAACATGCATTCTTGTGAAGTGAGACAAGATTTTCTTCCAAATCCTTTGCGGAAATAAATATTAAAATCGCGAAAAAAAATATTTCCAACAGAAAAATCTGACGACAAGTCGCTGCTTCATTGCTTAGTGATGTCTGTATTTTCATGGAGGCGCCTGGTAAAAGCTCGCGCTATGCAAATTTCGATTTTCACAGCGTTTCGTTTAACGAATTCTTACAAGAATTTCGTTCCCTATCTATATGACCCTCGCGATAATTTGTGATTTTCTTCACGCATCGCGAGAATTTAGTGTTTGATTTGCTATTCGAAGAGTAATTGGAACCGCGCTCTTGAGTGTACTTAGCACACTATCGAGCTTTGTTTCTGCACTGAATTCCTCACTGCGACATTGACATTGGTCTATTCTGCCTTTGATGCCATTCCTCTAAACTCTTTCTGTCGCTGAATTATTTTTCCGGCAAACCGGAAGCCGTGAGACATCTTCTCAGATGTAAGTCTAAAAATTGATCGCTTTCGTGTAGAGTAGACGAAATTGCTGTTCATGAGGAACAATTACTTGGCTGTACAAATATACAGGCTCTCACAGCATTTATATATCTAATCTAATCACAGCGTTAGATGCTTGCAGTGTATGTACAGGAAAATGTAATTTAAGTGAAGCCAAGTGGATTTCTGCAGCAGTTTGCCGTCAGTGCTGGCCGAGGGAGGAGTATAAATCCAGGAAGACATCTTCTCACGTTATAATTTAGGTGTGAAAATCAATATCTTTAAAAGTGAGATTTGCAATGTAATTTTATTTTAATCTTGGACTATTTGCAATAAGTTTCAATACTCTCAGTGTCAAGAGGAGCTCCACTTAATAGGATTAATCGTCAAATCCAGTAAAATCGATTGTAAGTAAGTCAAGTGCTTCTTGTGAGTCTCACAAAGGCATTCCGTGGAAGTGCTAATTGAGTGTATAATCACACATTAAAGCATCTCTTTAAGCATGCTATCTCTCAATCTTTTGGGTATCTGAGTGTTTTTCTCCTTGACTGTGATAAATCAATTACTTCCTCAATGCTTTATCAGTGGACGATAAAGTGACTTTTCGCACAAAGTGACCCAGAACTCCGTCTCTCTCTTTCAAATCTTCAATTAAGTGATAAAAATCCACTTTTCAAGTCTTCACCACTGATTTTCACATAAGTCAAATTTCCTCTCATCTTATCTCACTCCATAAATTAATCCGCTGTGAGGACCTTCTTATCAGCACGAAGAGAATGAAGAGCACAGTGGAGTCGCCTGGTTGTTTGACATCATATACATTTTCACAAAAGAGCCTAGAAGTTGGCAAAACTATGAAGCTCAGTAAGAAATATCTTAGCAGATAGTATCAAGATGTGATTTAAGAGTTCTGAGACCAATTTTAATAGTAAAAAGGTTTGCTATTCAAAAAGGTATTTAACCACTTGTTTAGTAGAAAGATTCATCACTATTTTCTCAGTATTTATCGCCGTAACTATTACAATCTGAGCATTCTGAAAATTTACAATTGCAGAAGCTATTTCTCGAGAATGTCAGACACGCCCGAAGTGAAGGATTTGGCGGTCCTCTTGACCCCCAAACTCGTCGGCCGAAAGGTCAAAGAGTGCACGACTAAGCACCTTACGGCTGTCGGTGACAACTATGGCAGCACGATGCTCTCTCTCAGCGTGACAATGACCTCTTCGGATGGCTCTGAAGAAGGCAGGCTGGAGCTGGTGGCAAAGATGTGCCCCACTAATAAAATGCTCCTCGACATATTTCAAGTAAACATAACCTTTACCAAAGAGATGGCCGTTTACACTGCGTCAGTGCCAGAGTTTCTGCGTCTGCAGGAGGAGACAGAATGTCCAGAGGAGGAGAAGTTGGACGTCTTCATCGAGTGTTATGGCTCAAGGGCGTCTCTGGATCCAGAGAGTGAGTCCGTGGACGGTGATGCTGTCCTTCTTCTGGAGAATATGAAGGTCAAAGGTTACTCTGTGGGGGAGCGATCTAAAGGGTTTGATATGGAACACACAAAGTTGATTCTGAAAAATATGGCTAAGTTTCACGCAGCTCCAATTGCACTGCGGTACAAGAAGCCCGCGATCTTTGAGGAGAAAGTCCGAGTACACCTCAAGAAGATAGACATTGATGAAGGACTCACGAGTGAGGTTTCAGCTCAAATGAAGCTGGTAAGAGAGTTTTTAGTCCGACATAAAATTGAAAGCCTAGCAGGATGAAATCACCAGCAATAATTGTTACTTGATCCTGCATTTTCTATCCTTATTTGCTTGTATTTATATTACAACATCACATATCTTTATACAGAACTGACATGGCATATAATAATATTTTATAATTCACCCTCGATGTCACTAACACTCAACATCACAAAGCTATAGCTTCATTGACATACTCACAAGTACTTGGCTGATATTCAGTCAGCCAGATTATTCAATTGGTCATTTGTTGTCATTCGCAATGCTTGTTTAAGTGCTCTATATCTTTATGTATTTATTATATGCCGAGATTAATTTGCAGTCCACAATCCATTTACTAATATTGCTAAATTGACCACTTAATCTCCATTATATTCTTAACCCGCCATTCAATCATTGATGTGTTAATATGCAAATTAGGATCAATTTGAAGAAATGCATTTTAGCATGTTCACTCAAATCAGCGAAGACTCGTGTAAATTTGCTTTAGCGTTTTTTTCTCCGAGTTCACTGTCCAGTTTATTGACTAGTTTATTTATATATTCACTTTTGCCTTCGACGGTCGATTTATTTCCAGTTTCGAGTGGCATCTTCGGCATTCCAATACTTTTAAAGCATAGAGAATTGTTCCACTGAAACACTTTTAGTGATATTTTGGGAGTTTTCCATTTATAAGAATTTAACACTGTGATTGATCTGATTTGCAAATTAAATGAGATTTTGTGCGAAAAATGTATTGAATTATGTATAGATTTATCCTAAATTTTACGGAAATTTCCTCTATGAGCTTTCTTTTCTTGAAAAAAAAAAAACCAAAACACTTTACATGCATATTCGCAAAGCTATAGCTCATGAACTCTGCCAAGAAGAATGGGTTACTGGTCCTCTCGTTTTAACATGAAGAAACAATTTCAGGCCCTAGATAATGAGCTGAAATCCATCCCAGAAGTGCTGCAAATCTTTGATCAAATTGATAGGCAATTTGAAATGTGCCAGGAGCGACAGAGGGACTTGAATTATTACGAGGAGAATCCTTTCAACACAATCTGCCACAATGACTTATGGGTCAATAATGTCATGATTGCGTATGATGATTATGGAAGTCCAACACGTGTAAAGATCTTTGATTTCCAGCTGATTATGTACGCCTCACTATCCATAGATGTGCTGTTCTTCCTTTTCACCAGCGTACAAAATGATATTCTTTTGGAGAACTTTGAGAAATTCCTCAAATTCTACTTCAATGAATTCTGCAATAGTTTAAAATACTTTGGATGCCCCGTGGAGGATTTTTCTTGGGAGAAGTATGAGTGTCTATTTAATAGTCTTTTCTCGGCTCATCTTTTATTCTCACTTACAGATTCCTTGACGATATCAACCGACAGGCGCCCTATGAGCTCTACCATCTCGTGGCCATGACAAAGATACTTCTCATTGATAAGCAAAAGATGGCCCAGAAAAATGAAATTACTGATGACACCTTCTATGATGCCGAAATGGTCGGTCCAAATTACTATGACAAGCTGAAACTCATTATACTGGAGTACAAGAAGCGCCACTGGTTGATTGAATAAAAGCCCAAGCAACAGGCTCACAATTTAAAAGCGAGAGTCGGATACAGTAATTAATTTATCGTACAATAAACTCCTTCTGTGTAAAGAGCTTTCATCAATTAATGACTCTCCAAGTTGCTGCACGAGACAATTGAACTTTATTCGCAATTTAGCGGCAAAGCCTATAATCTCCAATATTTCGCCTCCATCATTTACACTCAAACCTGCTTGTTTTACATAATACTCGCAATTAATTCATGTTTTCGATGAAAACTGATTTGTAAGGATGGAGAAAATATTACATGATTGCCATAGACTTGAGCAGTTTACAGCATGCTGGACGTTGTCGACACATAGAATATGGATCGGAGACGTTTAAAGATTGATTTTTCTAAACAAAATATTTTTATAAGACATTTTAATTATTTGTTTTCTATCATTTCGGCAAATTAAACAGTTTTGAGAAGTACAATATGCAAAATGTCAATCCATACTTTCAGACTTGTTTAGAAATTTTAGTAAATTTGATTATTATACCGAAAATATATTATTTCGTACATTGTCCGCGTAAATAAAACTGATATCGCACAACTCTGACTATCATGGAGACTTTGTGGCATTACAAAACGCTACCATGGCATGAATTTCTCTCATGTGATCAGTCTTCCTACGAATGTTACATCAGCATTCAAAAGAGTACCTCAAAGTCTCTTTCTCTTTTGATAACTCCATGTCCGTATTGCTTGTATCAACGCAGCGAATGCCTCACATTTTCGTATATCAATCACTGTCTCACATTCTTATTCCCATCATCGTGGTCAATGAACTCCCTTTTGGGCTCTCTGAACTGTGTGGGGAATTAAAGTACTGGAGATAAATTCTGTAATCTTGGCGCATTCTTTTCTGAGAATTGTGCTGTGTTATCGCCAAATGCCTGACCTTTTCATTCAAACGCTTTCCACTCCAATTAGAGGATTGTAATCATTGTAACAAGTAATGTAATAATGAGATGATTGTGAAACATCACTTTTTCCCTGATGTCTTTGCACTTCACGGGGAAAGTTATGAGGTCACGAATCATCGTCAAATTGATTAATTTTAGCAAATTGAATTCATGGCAAAGTTCATGATAGAGATAGTGAAATAATTGATAAGAAAGCCAGGCGAAAGATGTTTCCGTAGAAACTCCTGTTCTTACTTGAAGTGTCAACGATATTCCATACTTTTCCTATTTACGCCAAATTAATTCACTGGGCCAAGTAAGACCTCTCCTTTGTAGCGCATCATAATTTTTTTGCTAGCCTAAAAGTCTCTATGGCCGTCAAAACAAATGCTTTGTGACGTTTTCAATACGAAAAAGACTGCCGTGGTATTTTCACGCTGTAGGAGTGTAATCATCACACGCTATTTTATAATTTTGCGCTGTGCATATTTAATGGTAGCACAATTTCCACGCGGCTGATATCAAAAAATACACGTAAACATGACCTAAATAAACAAGCAGACAAGTGGCCAACTCACAATAATAATGAATGAGACAAAAAGTTCGCCAGATAAATTTCTTAGGCGTAATTTCACTCTCGTGCGACTTTGAGAGTCAATCTCAAAAATTCATGTGAATAAAATTCAACTGAACTTGATGGAATTTTCCTCTTTGACCACTGAAGAATAAGCGGGTTTTCATTTCTAGGCAATAAATTGTTGCATTTCCTTTATTGAGTCGCCCGTTCGTCATTGAATGCGTTCTCTATTTGCATATTCATTACTGTTCCACTCAATTCATAGCAGAATTTATTAGATGTTGCCACACGAAAGCCAGTAAGAAACATTGTTCATTAAAGTTATGTGAACAAGTGACCTATCAAGAATATCAGATGTGCAGTGATGATTTTTCTTGCAAAATATCCCAAAAAAATGTATCATGGAAAATTTGTTGAACCTTTTCATAACATGTTGATGTATGCCAAGCATTCTCTCGTGCAAATATTTTTCAGAAAACTGATCATGAGCAAAACAACTTGTCAGCATTCAATTTGCTCAATCGGAATTGCTGCGCCCCCGTAATTTTCAATTAGCGAATTGATATTGCATGCAATGCTCGGGTGATGGAAAAACCTGTCCACAAGGAATATTAATTGTTATGCACGTATTCTTCGCAATTAATTTCGTTTCAATTTCAGACAGTGTAGAGAGAGAAAAGGAAATTTGTGGAAACTTTACCCGACAAGTTTACAAACGGACCTCTTTTCACCTTCAATAATTGAAGCAAGTGTTGATTGTTTATCGCAAGCAAAGACCTTTAAAATATTTATATGCCTATTTACTTGAACTGGAGAAAGTTTCATTGTCAATTACAATCCCCATTTCTTGTGTACATATGTAAAGGCATAATTAAAGTCTTTATCGCCAGTGAGTTATAAAAATGTTGCGCGAAAACTTGAATGAGATTCACGCTGATCACACGATGATCACGTGTGACTATAAATTTGTGCGCGCACTTCAGCTTCAAATGTTGGATAAAGAAAGTGAGAAATATCAATGGAATTTTGCAATATGAACTTGAGCCACACTTTTGGATTTCATAACACCCGCTAGACGTGTATTTGTGTGCGATTGCTTTGCAGAAAAACAGACGAAAGTATTTTCGAACTTCTCTGCTGCCTTTCACAACACCCGAGGATGCTTTGAACGTCTGTTCCAAGACGCGGCCATTTGACGAGTGAGTCCGCAAAAAAATAGAGGACATCAGGAGATGGATTTGGCAATTGGCGCCAAAAATAGACATGAAGTTTTGAATGATGGCAATTACGTGAACAATTCTATGTATGTGGGTTTATTTTTAGATCCGTGGATGCCATTTAGACAATGTCTTGAACTCCTTTGGGGGAGAAAATCTCACGTGTGCCCCAGACATTCTCTGCATGAATTCAGGGAACAGCTTCATCCGATCTTTTTTTGTGATATACAAAATTGGCTGGAGAAGAAGAGAAATTCCAGATTCAAGATGTTTTCTGGGGGGCAAAAACTCGTTGAAGCACTTGTTGCATCATCTTTTCTGATGGATACAACACAACAGAGGTACAAAGTATTTTTATAAAAAATGCCGAAAAATGAAATTATAATGAGTATGTTCTTGTATTCTCTCAACTCACCTCTCTGGCCGTATCGAATGCTCACATTTTCAACAGTCACGAGCTGACAACATGAACAAACCGTGCCTCATGTGGAAAAATGCCATTAACAGTCACCGGATGAGATTTTTGCCAGCTCGCAGAAAACCCACTGTTCGAACATACGAAACAATTACTCAGTTTATCATTATTTAGTGGACCTCAAGCATCCGACTGCAGGAGGAAAAAAATCTTTTATGATATTATTATCATTATTTAGTGAATCAACAGAATTTCCTACTTACCAGACAGATAGCCGAAGAAATGCCGAAGATGATAAAGCTCTCAGAATAATAATGAAAGATGAAATGTTCAAAGTGCACGGAATTTGAATAATTTTTCTACGCTGTGGATGGCTTTATCACAAAATTCACGGAGATCACCACATTTTGTGGCGAAAAAGTCATCGGCAATTAATTGGAGTTGTAATTATAGCAGAACAGAGAAAAAAACTTGCCTCAAATGACTCACATTAACCGGTTTCGGTGATTTCGTATCTCCACAGAAAGTCATCAGACTTTGCACAAGAGCAAAAAGTCTCAAGGAAGCGCGATAATCCATAACTGAAGTGCTTTCTTAAAATGAAATGATATAAAATAGGTGCTGATCAGTTCAATTATCAGTCTTATCAATCTCGAAGCCAATTCAATCTCCATCATAGACATATTTCATTTGCGAAAATGTAGAACGAAAATCTCAAGCAAATACAAAGAATAGAAATGTGTCGTGACCCAAATCGTGAATAACCCACTCTAGAGACGTATTTTCTCGTCGCTTTTCACTAAACGAAAGTATACGCGACAGACCGAGTTTGATGCCGAATATGAGCTAAGATAGGCGAAATATTGTCGCAATGTCTTAAAATGCGACACAATGTTCAATTCTGAGAATCATCTTTGTTAGCAAAGAAAGTTCTAAACTAAGGAAGAATTGTAGAAAAATAATTTTATCCCAGGTAACTGGTAAAACAAAGCGTCTACAATTCTACCGGGATGATTTGTTTGATCTCCTTCGATGAATTTCGAAAGAATTCGTTTTATTTTATTCTTGTCTAAAAACTCGTCTAGTGTTGGCCTTTGACAAGGTACTGGAGAATTGATCATTGTGTCCAAGATAGGTTCTTCTACATCCTACCTTACGCCACAGCCATAAGGTGATAAAGTATGGAATAAAGGAGTTGAAATGCTGCAGCGTTCAATCAAGCGCGACGATCTTCGTGTGACTCGCAACAAAGAATATAAAAGTGAGAGTATCACTGTTGGAGCGCATGCTCACGCGTTGGAGAATATATTTCCCAACAAATTACGCTGTGAGAGACACATAAGATGATAAAATTAACGAGAGAAGTGGGTTTTACTCCACAAGATTGAGAAAATACTCCACATTTGAGCTTTCTCTGCCGGCGACAACATAGTTACGAAGTCCCCAAAGATAACAACGCTACCGATAAGCGCACGACATGAGAGTGCATCCGCTGTTGATAACGCGCCGATAAGTCAACAATCATGGCATTTATTGACACATATCTCAATTGCACTTTCGCATATTTGTGGCCACGTGCATGATCTGGTGTCAATCATGTTAATGCCACTCATGGGATGTTGTTTGCTACAGAATTCACAGTTCCACTCCAAAAATAGATTATCTCGCGCTGGCCATTTGAGTTTCACGGTTACAAAATTGAAATTTTCACATGCTCGATGGTGAAAAGATAGTACAAGAAATCAAATCAGCTGTTGGAGAAGCCGAATGTTGCTGTTTGCCATTGTCTATGATTAGATAATGGTGCGAGAGGCGAACTAGAAAGCAGACGAAGATAAGGCAGTGTGCGACACGAAACCAAGGGTAATGTTCATTAAGAAATAGCGATTGCGGGACGGTAAATGCACTAGAAAATGCTCAAGGAGGCCTCAGTCTGTAATAAAAGTATCGCTAACTGTATTTACAAAATATGTATTTAACTTAGACAAAGGTTTTTGCACATCATCACCCCGATATAGACTTACAAAGAACTCTTTTATATATCATTTTCTTATTCGATTCAGCGTTTTATTATGTTTTTTGTGTCCCACTACAAAACTAAATACTGATACCTTACAATTTATGCAACGAAATCAATGTATTCTCATGCTTAAAATTTAACTACTAAAATTTGAGTCCATATAATAGTTGTTGTTTTTTTTCATTTTTGCACAATCGCATTTTCTTAGACAAGAGAAAATCACATACTTTTCCTTGTGTTTGAAAATTTCTTAACTAAAATTGTAGAAAATTTGTTATAAACCTAAATGCACATTTTCTTTATCTTATAAAATGATCAATCTTTCTAAAAGAAGGTTAAATTTAGTGGACAAAAAACACCTCGTCAGGTTGATATTTCTTTCTCTAAACTACAACAATCTCATAACATCGACTTATAGAGCAATTTGGTTCACCAAAAATTTTCTAACGATATGTCTTGCAACGTAAAATATACTCTAAACATCCTCTTTTTCAATATGTCTCCAAAAACAGTCACATCGATATAATTGTACAATTGTAATTGATATAGCGAATAGATATTGTTACAGTGATATTATTGTGAGTTTTACCAAATTTAACAACCAATTTTGACGCTTCACACCCGTACTGTGAGCCTATTTAGGCGCAGCAAGTGTCGAGGATTGCATTGCACACGGCATAAGGATCGCAATTGGAGCTTGGCCGGCGATCCTCGAGGTAGCCTTTTCCAGCATCGGCCACTCCACGTGGAATACGAACGCTGACGCCACGATCTGCCACGCCCCAGGAGAACTTCTTGATCGAGGACGTTTCCAGACGTCCAATAAGACGGCGCTCATTGTCCTTCCCACCATGAGGATCATAGCAGCGGATGTGATGATCTTGTTTCTTGGACAGGCGCTCAATTGCCTGCTCGATCACTTTCAGGCCGCCATCCTCTCGCATAGCGCGAGTGGAAAAGTTTGTGTGAGCTCCAGCTCCGTTCCAGGGACCCTCCATGGGTTTGGGATCAAATGTCACGACCACTCCGTAGTCCTCAGCCACGCGCCACAACAGATATCGCGAGATCCAGAGATCATCGGCACACTTCATGCCCAGACTGGGACCCACTTGATATTCCCACTGAGCTGGCATGACCTCAGCGTTGGTTCCGGCAAAGTTCACACCAGCATAGATGCAGGCCATTGCATGTGCTTCCACGATATCCCTGGCAATTACCCTGTCCGCCCCGACGCCACAGTAATAGGGACCCTGGGGCCCGGGAAAACCATGAGCTGGCCAGCCCAGAGGGCGATTGTCGAAGTCCAGGAATGTGTACTCCTGCTCAATTCCAAACCAGGGCTCCTGATCGCTCACCTTGTCCATAGTGTGCTGCATAGCGCACCTGTGATTCGTGTCACAAGGGTCTCCATCGGGTTTGTAAGTGTCACACATTACGATGATATCGTTAGCGCCAAATCTCGTGGGGTCCTTGTAGATCGCCCTGGGCACCAGTGTGGTGTCAGAGTTACCTCCTAGAGCCTGATACGTGGAGCTTCCGTCGTAACTCCACTTGGGCACCTCAGCCGGAGACTCAGGCTTCTTGTTAAGAACACGAGCCTTAGATCGCACGTTTTCCCCTATAGAATACGCATTCATTTAGCATGCTTTTCCTCTTTAGCACTTCAGTCATTTCCTCACCTGTTCCATCAATCCACACATACGTAGCTTGGATGATATTGGGGTCCAACTTAAGACGAGCATAGCGATCCATCAGCTTCTTGTTGAAGTCAGCATTGGGCGAATTGGCCAGGACGCTGGACATGGACCTCACGCTGGAGCTGAACATGCGCGTTGACGCCTTGCTCACTTCCTGACGAATCAATAAACCCACTACTCTCAATGCCATGTTGGATGCTGCACAAAGACGCGCCTTTCTCGTGTCCTCAAGTGTCCTTCAGGATAGCCCACTTCACGCACTTTTACCTTCACAAGGATTTCCTTCGTCAAGTGAAGGATTTTCGAGCTTGAAATTTTCCTACTCTTTTCTCTCGCCAGATTCTCAATCACTTCAACTGCTCAATTAATGCTGATAACGTCTGCTCAGATGATTTTATTGCACGCAAATTTGTCACTTTTTTACCTCTCTCTCGTCAGCTCAGCAAAAGCCACAATTGTGAGCTACACTTTTCAGAGCCTAGAAATGGAATTTTTTCACAAGCCAACTGTGTTTCACAAATATATTTCCAAAGTGATGAATTCAGTGAGTGAGAGAAAGAGAGTTGAAAGTACAACTAAGCCACGATTTTGCGCCTCTGAAACGAACTCGAAAGCTCGAATGCTCAACTCCGACTGCCGTCTGTGGTCTGCCGCTCCGTTTCCTGTACCCCAGATCAGCCGTCGTCTTCGGTGTCTTTCGCGTCGCGGACTTGCATATGCGTCTCCCGCGCTTCTCCCGTCCAACTCGTGGGGGGAGGCATTCACAAGTATGCCCAACAGCTGATTTCTCTGCTTCCTTCCACGTCGTTCTGCGTTTTGTTTGCCTCCAACACAACAGCAAGCACACACACAGTCCGATGACAAATCATCCACGTGGTTCAAGTCTTTCCCGCCATCGTCCATCTCCAACACCTTTTTGCGGCGAAAAGAATTGCGCATTTTCCTCAAATCATCGTCTAACATCCAGCTTCAGGATTCCAAAGGAATGAGCAGCGATGGTCTTGTATGGTTTCTCCGGTCATTCACACTTTTTTACTCGCCTCTGCCACTCTATTTTAATTGCTCCATATCGACTGATATTTTTAACGCCATCCATTTGTGTGTAGTTGTATGGAAGAGTTGCGATGCACAGTTGAGGCAATTATTGTTTGCATTTTAAGCCTCCCTGAACTGGTTTATTTGCGGTGAAATGAAGCACAGCAATTGGAAAAATTGGTTAAATTTGTGAATATTTCAAATGGATAACAGAAATATTCGTGCAACTCCGTCTGAGCATTCAATTAATTTGGAAGCAAGATCATAGGGTGCATCTGGTTAATGAGTTCATGCAAGCAAAATATGAATAATATAGCTTACTCTACATCTCTTATTAGCCCCTCTTTCCCCTTATTGGGAAAGACTATTCCAAAATTAAATGGCATTGAAGTCTGTGATATACATATTGTCTTTGTTTTCTCCTCATTACCGAAATGATCAACGAAATAATTTAATCAACTCAAAAATTTCGTTCTTTATTTACGTGAAGAGGGATGCGCAGTATCGAATCTCGATTTTCTGTGCGATAAGTGTTGGAATGGAAATTTACCCAAAAGCCCCAAAGGTAAGTTAGAGGATTGCGGGAAACTTTCATGTTGCGATGAGTAAATTAAGGTAATAAATTTCGATATTTGTGTTAATTTTGTCATGGAAAATCTCCCTAATTCTGCATTTGGCAAGTGCCTTCGAGCATGATGAAATCTTTTGAAAAATTTCCATCGCGAAAGTGCACAAAGAGGAATGCTCCAAGAGTTCGATGGCCAGAATTCGACAATGACAATGCACTCTGCCATGACATTGTGATTTTTTGGCAATGTGAGTAATTGTGTCGACTTTTTATTGCCACTCTCGCCCACTGAATGACGAAAGGGGCGCTTAAACCTCGGAATACACATCTACAAAGAGCACTTAAGCTGCTGTGTGGGAAATGCAGAAATATCTGCACTTTGTTCCAATCTCATTGTTTGATGTGAACTTTCATGGAAAATAAATAGAATTTTCTATTTCTGGCATTGGTTATAGAAATTTCCTTCGATATTTTCAACTTGTCGAGATATCACATCACGTATTATTTTACTAAAATAAAATATATTGATTCCTTATCAATAGTGTTTGTGTTTGCCAAACTCTAATGGTGATTTGTCGAGGACAGAGATTCGAGGCAAATTTACAGTATTACTAGTGTATCACCAATCTTTGCATTTAGCTCTGTGACTATTGCAATGTCTACTAATTTCTACTGTTTCCATGATTGACGGAATGGGAATAAATTGAGGGTCACCAAGGGCTATCAATCGAATTTGTGTGCACTTTATTGAGCCCCAAAACATTCTCCACACATTGTGTTATATTTCCATTCTGGCGCCAAACCATGTTGTTTTTGAGCTTTCGTAATCAACAACTGCATACGTTTGGGCGTTTCAATTTCTTTCAAAGTGTGATCTTGAGAACTTTCATTCATGCCAAAAATTGCCCTTGAGAGGCGGCAGATAAAAATATCACATGAGAAAAGCTCGCCTATGATATAGAAATTGAAAGCGTGCGCGCCAAATTACAATTTATTTTCTCCGCATGCATCAACTCGTGCTCATTCAGTATGTTCACGTGGGGCGCGGTCGGGAGGTGGTCAATTGATGGCTAAGGACAAGCAAAGGAGTCAACCTCAAATGTTTGAGGAGAATTGTACTCTGCGGAAGCTTTAATGTTGTCCACAATAAAATTGGACGTAGAATAGAAACCTTCCAAGAAATGAATTTTTTTCAGTTTCCTCCTAAATTTGACTAAAGTGACGAAAATTCATTTGCCAATGAGAAGAATGGGAAATGTAAATACTCGCGAAGGGCAAAGACCTTTGCGTGAACACCTGAAAGAAATTCCAACAGCAATTTTCAAAGTGCGCACTTTCGCAAAAGTACAGTGAGAATGGGAAAATTCATCCACGGATCTTCTATTAACTTCCACCCAATCACCCCAGTTTCACGTCTTACGTATAATAGAGGCGCTATTGGTGGAAATTCCAAGAAAATATAGAGCCTTTCTCACTTTGGTGGGGAAAGGTGAATAAAATTCAATTTCCACTCGCACCTTTGTTCCTTCACCGAAGGCACCAACATCAGTTTATTGCGTTTTACTTTCAGGACAAAAATAATGCATAGAACATAATGCACATACGCCTTTTCCCAAATGCTCTACAATACCGCAAACAACACGACTCATATTCAACGCAGGGTCTTGGAAAATGTGGGATTGAGAGCGAGTGAAAGCGTAAACAGAAGCTTTAGGAGTTCCCGAAGCGATGAGACTGAAAAAATACATTTTACAGTACAATTGCGGCTGTTGAGTGGAATTTAGGACGAAGCAAGAAGAGGTGTCTAATGTGGGATTGAAATTGTGGAATTAGATATAGGTCATGTATGACGCAGAATTCGGAGACGAACAGGAGAATTTACTTTTCTCCAAATTTCACGTGTATTTCTTCAGTCATTAATTACTGGGAGGAAAGAATGAACACATTATTATCAACCTGTTGGTCGTCTGTCCAAATTGAGACTGTCTTCCATGTGACAATTGCGTATCCTTAGCATGAGTAGCAAATTTGCAAAATGAACACCCCTATCAAACATTCACGTGCTCCTTTATACCATAGTAATTGTACACTTATTTAGATGATATGTAAATCTCATTCATGCTCCTATTGAGCTTCAAATACTGCCGAACTATTCACATTGCGCCCCGATGCGTATGGCAATTTTCCTGCCACGTTGTGCTGATGATACCATTTGGATTTCCGATTGAATCCGTTTCCCCGGCATTTTGTCCATGTGTCGAGAACAAATATAATATATGTATACTCAAGTTTATCTTCATTTGTCTCAGCACGCGTTCCACCCGAAATATTCGATTTCGGTTTTGCATGATGGAATTTCATACGGAGAATATGAGGTATTGAATAACAAGGATAGAGAGCTAAATAATGAGAATGTTGCTTAATTTCTCTCAGAAATTGAATATTATCAAATTATCTTAGTGGATATAATGTACAATTTCATAGAATCCATTAAAAGCTCATTTTTAAGCTCGTTCTTGTATATTCACTACAATTTCTTCATCCTGTAATCCGAAAGCTTGAAAATCCGGTAGTTCAAACAAAGTGCTGCACTATGGACTATCCAAATATTTTCTTCTCACCTTTGAGATCATATTGCAATCATTTCTGCCCTTTCCACGGGAAGTCCACTCGTGGGGCTACTCTGGGGGAAATTGTGTGGTTCTGATCCGTGATTTGAGGCTACGCAGGCGCACCTGCCAATGCCGGGTTCACACTTGAAAATTTCCCATCACCATGGGAACGTTCCTGGTGACTCTTATAAATAGGAGAGCGCTCGATGGTTTTCCTCTAGTCTTCGGAAAAGTCTCATCTGGTGCTGACACTCGCTTGCAGGGAGTGGAAAATCAGTGGTTTCCCCAGTGTGTGATTCATCTGATTCTGATTTGCATGTGTGGATTTGCAAGTGAAGCGGAAAGGAAAGTTTTGCGAGAAAAAACCACACAGAATTTATTGCTCAGAGACTAAATTACAAAGGAAAACCGCGCGCTGATTCAAAGGCCGGTTTCATATTTTAGAGGAGAAAATACTGAAGGAAAAGTGAACAGACAATACATATATAAAGTGGTTTGGTGGAGGACTATTTGAAGAATTTAGAGACAATTGTGTGTGAGGAGTTCAAGCAACTGAAGAAAAGTTTACTCGAAGAGAGCGTAGAAAAGGTAATAATTTTTTGAAGTAGCCAGTAATTTTTCATATGAAAACTTTTTTGTCTGCATTCACTTTACTGTGGGAAAATATTCAAGTGTCAGAGAATGCATAAAATAATTTCACGACAACATTTGCCATCTCAATTGATGAAGAGCCATTGTAAAAATGTCCAAAGTGTCTCGAAAATTCTCTTCCTCCTTCGCCAATTATTTTTATCGCCTTGCCCGTCCTTCGCGAGTAATTTACTCGCAGAGAACAAGTGTATATGAAAGTCTAAGAATTGTGTATGCAAGTGAAGAATGCTGACAAATTTACAATTTCTCCTGCAAGTGGAGCACAAATGCCCAGGCGTCCCCATTTCTCAATTAACTTTTCAGAGGCTCTTGTTTAGATATCCCCACACAGCCGTCATTGAGTGTTAACAATTTGTGAAATGAAACAAATTTGGCTGCACAATTAATTCTCTGGGACCCTCTGTGCAACAGAATTCTGTATATTTTCACTTGAGACGATTGGCCATGAAGGAGATGGAGGTGATTTGGATGCCTTCTGAAATAGAATCATGAATGGGGAATTGTTTACAATTCGGTGGTGTAAATTTACACTAAAAAGTGGATTTCTTACATAGTTTAGTCTGAATTGTAAAGTTTTCCATATTATATTCTAAAATTATTCCCTTTTTCTTCGACATGATGTTGCTCTTTCCGCGTTGCATAATTTATTAGATCAGCATTTCTCTTACTTTCTCCTCTCCTTTGCCACAAACAATTCGTCCAGAATGAAGGAAATAGTGAACGCGACGTGATGGAAATATCACCTAAAATAAATTTCAGATTTTTTTCCTATTACCTCCATTATAGACTACTCTCATGTGCCAGCATAAATTTTATCTGACAAATTATATTTCGTTATTTTTAGTAAGTCAATTCATACTTACGGAATTTACGAGCAATTACATGATGTGGTCTCATAAATGAATGATTTTCGCCTTAAGCGTTCCTGATGGAACCATTTGTGCCTCGAAGCTCTGCATCACACTTTCGTGTGGACAAAAGAATGAAAGAGCTTTCCTCTCGTAAGTGATAAATTCAATTTTCCTTATAAGGGAAAATGTCGAAGTGAATGAATTTTACAAAGTGTCTTGTACTACCTTATTGTTCACATATATAGTGTATAAATGCCAAAGAGAATGTGGCGTGGGATGGTGTTATTTTACTTATGGCATTCACGCAAGAAAGCGAGAAAAATATTTTAATTTGATGACATTTAAAGGCGATTCATGCACTAAATTTCATATATTCTTTTAAAAGGTATTTGTAGTTGAAAGTACAATAAAAGATTTTAATTTTAGATTAAAGGTTGTTGAGTTTGAAATGTAATTCGCAAGCTCTAAATTACGAATAAATAAAGAACTAAGAAAATTAAAGCGTTCCAGTATAATAAAAAGTTGAGTCCCAAAGACCATTTGAACCAAAAAAAAACGTTTTGTTCTACGGCAAAATCGAAAATAAGAGAGATGATGACTAATGAAAAACAGAGGTGAGGAATCACCAAAAATTTCTTTTGGATCCCTTCCATTCTCTGTCTCGTTCAGTCTCTAGAATTAGAAGCCAGAGAACAGCTGTTCTTTCATTGGACATTATAAATATATTTCTCTTGTTATTTTCAAATGTTAATTTATCATTTTTACGCAGACTCTTTTTTCATCTCCTCCGTCAGTGGCTTCTCTTTGCTAGCAAAGTACATATTTCCCACCATCCATTGATTCGATTGCGCGGACGGGAAATGGCGATTTCGCTCATTTTATGAGATATCCAATTGTTACATGCATAGTAAAAAGCACCGAAATGTTGAGTCTGGGCGATTTCTAAGGAAGAGACTTGCAATTCCTACCATCAATGGATCGCTGTGATGCTAATTATTTATGATATATAGTAAAAATAAACATTTTGCACCACCCACGCAATACTGAGGGTGGAAGACTCTCGTCTTTGCAGGCACACTTACGTCACTACATTATATGACTATTTAAATTGTGGCACTGTCAGTTTGGCAAAACAGGAAAGCCAAACAGCCGCTATTAAAGTCACACACATATGTAGTGTGGCGACAAGAATTTTGGCCCCTGCTAGCGCCAAGGAAATTATGCATTTATGCTCTTAAAAAATCCGTTCTCAGAATCACAAAGAATGTTTTCCCAGTAAATTCAAAAGTGAATCACAAAATGACCACACCTCCGAAAGAAATATTTGTTGGAAGGAATTCCCATAAGATCACGGATGGGGGAGTTGAGAAATGTGAATGAGTTTTTACTCACGGGCCTTTTTTGCTCTTTGAGAGTAAATATTGGTCGAATAAACATTAATTGCCAATAGGTTAATCACATTTAACAGCCGAAATAACTATTTTTAGGTGCTAGCCAAAATGAAAACAGAGGATAAAAATAATGTACCACGAGTGAGGATTGCCGTTTTGGGGAATATCAACGTGGGAAAGTCTGGTGAGTTTTGAAGTTTATTTTCCTTTCATCGCCTTCAAGTATACTCTCAAGCACTCTGGAATTACCGTAGTCGATATATAATGTAAATGAGACAAATGAGCCGACAATTTGAAAGGTTTTCATAAAATTTACATTACATCCACCCTCATGATACACCTCTGCACCTTTCCATGAATTGTTTTTCCTTCATATAGACGTCATTCATGATAACGATGACGACAGAAAGTGCCTTCTACATTTTTTCTCACCCACCCACAGACATATTGATCGAATTTTCATCACCCATTCACCTTTTGAGATGAGATAATATGTACTTAACCCTCATTTCTGGATAACTTGCGTACCATGAAGAATTCCAAATGCATCCCAGGGAAATTATCAATACCCTTTCTTCCTTATGTAATATATTATTAAAGAGGCATAACAATAGGAAATTGAAATTGCTGGATTCCACCAAGGGACGTGGGTGAACAGTCTCTCAAGAGAATTCTTTGGATGATTACAAGGAGCTGCCGGGGAAATTGCTTTGTGCCAGCAAGATGTTCAATTGTCCTCCAGTTTTCTTCTTATAACATCTAAAATTAACTTCCAACAGAGCTGCCACTTATTAATGTGAAGCCATAAAAGCCAAGGGAAGTGCCTTTCAGAGCACCAATCTCAATTGATTTGCTGAATCTTGCATAAAGTTTAGTTGGGAATGAGAATTTCTCTCTTATTGCAAAACCTATAGAAACATTATATGATGTTATGGAATTATGCAACCTTGTAAGGATCTTTAGTATTCGTGGTAAAGAGTTGAGATGCAAATGAAACTTTAATGGAATATTGTTACACTTTGCATTGCGAAAGTAATTTAATTGATTCAATTTAAATTTAAGTTACAAAACAAGGGAAAATGTCCTACCAGAGTGTGAAAAATTAGCAAAGGGCGCTAAAAATATCATTATTATGAACCCCAGGATATTGTATCAAATGACTTTTCCTCTCACACCTTTCAAACGAAGGAAGATTTTTATGTATTTATATATGGGAATTTTCCCCGATTTTGTATTAAAAAAAAACCACTGTCACTCGTGACATTTAGGAGAAAGAAGTGCCGCAACCTTATATGTAGACTTTTATGTGTTATGCTCGAACCATTAAGATTCCGGGCGAGTCTAAAATATCTGCCCCATAATTTCAACCCAAACCTCATGAGTAGGTAATGGGAAAACCCATGAAATTTCCCCTTAAGTAAAGTGATAAACTATGCTTTCACCTTACGCGCATTGATTGCAGGAAAATTGTGTTAATTGCGGAAAACGATATTCATTTTATGAGGGGTTTTTATTTTCTCTCAGAGTCTCACCGCAGGAGTCGTTTTGGAAGAAAGAAGAGATGCGAATAAACAAATAAATTGATAGATTAGAGAGAGAGAATTTTAGTGGTTGTAGTGAAAGTGGGTTAATATATTTTCAAGTTTGATTCTAACACAAATATTTCCCACTTACACACATTTTCTAGTAAGGCACAAGAACAAGTAATTAACGCCAATTGACCCGAATTTGAAAGCACTCGAAATTGATGCCTCTTTTTTGCAAGATTGCCAAGTTATCCAAAAAAAAACCTATTGAGAGAGCAAGAGAGGAAAACTGTGCCATCAAATTTCACAATAACAAATTCTCTTTGTGATTTACAGAGAGGCAGGAAGGTGGAAAGAAATCAGAATAATATCACGTTTTTTTTTGTTTTCAATAGCATCATTTTCTGCTCTTTTCATCATTTACAAAATTCATGAGATTCTCAGAGAGTAAATTTTCTATCCTACTTTCATTGTTTGCATCAATAATATTACATATATTATTATATGTATGTATATAATTTATATTCGCGAGTATTTCTTCGCTGGATGGCTCCACATTTTTCCTATCTGATTATATTATGTACATTTTGATCTGTTTTCTCTTCACCTCTTCAGACTGTCCAGCATTTTTTCATGAAAATACATTGCGGATAAACATTGAGTTCTTGCAAATGGACCGGAAAATTACATTGACCTCTCATTCATTTACTTTTATTTGCAAAATCTTATAATATTGACATTAAATATAAACATATGGATTTTCCACTTTGCATTTTATATATTACCCTATATTACCTCACATATGAAGATGTACAGTATTCCCTCGCCATCAATGAAAGTAGGTTAAGGACGCCGTCATAATAGACGGCTGATTGTGAGAAAAAATTATGTTTTTTGCAAATTGTCCGAGGCAATTGATATTTCGTATCGTATACAATTTCCGTCAAATCTCCAGAAAGTTAAGGCCACTTATACACCATCACACTTTGTTTGGGAATACTTGCCAAAGTGCTGGGGATGTGCCAATGCGGTGAATCATAAAGAAATTTATCCGCACACTCTTCTAGTGGCCATATAACAGTGCGATTTCTCATTTCAGCACTCACTGTGAGATACTTGACGAGGCGCTTCATTGGCGAGTATCGCTCCAACACAGATCTCCTGTATCGGCAGACAATCTCCCTCGACAGCGGGCTTCTGGATGTTGAGATTGTGGACATATCGGTAGAGGGAGAGTCTGACTTCCCACTTGAGCAGGTAATTTTCTTCCGTTCCTAATAATATTTACCCCACATAAGCATCCGCTCTTAATAGCCATTGATATAAAATACGGAAGATATTCTTAACACACTTACAACCTCTCATTCCAGATTCAATGGGCAGATGCGTGCCTGATTGTCTACAGTATTACGGATAAGTCCAGCTTCGACTACGCGAGTAAAAGCCTTGCTGAGCTGAAAGCCTTGCAGAACGCCCCATTTGCCTACCTAATCGGCAACAAGGCAGATCTTGACCATTTACGAGCGGTAAGTCTTTATAGTGAATCTTATGTTCTGAGAACCGTGATCTTGACATTAAACACGTGCCTGAAAGGAAGCGGTCAAGTTGCAAATAACGTGGAAGTCGGTGTAAACACATTGTATGTGTTTTCTTTCCTTTTCATTTCACAAATTCGATCACAGCTTCCTTATTTGCTTTGATTAACTGACACGAGTTGGATATTAAATCATTGAGCGAGGGATGAATCAAGTTCAATGTATATTTATTATGTATCTTCACAAATTACCACTTTCAGAGGAGTTTGTGCTTAAATTTCCCAATTAATCTCAGATAAAATCAAATATTTGAATGCCATTTGAGCAAAACAGAATGACTTCAGAATCTCAACGGAAAATCAATGGCTAAATAATGTGATAATTGGAAGATTTATTGTGAAAATAAATATTCACTTTGTAATTTTCCCGACAAAACCAAACTGTAGCGAAAATGCCTTGATTGAATTTCATAATTCACTCCTAATTTCACAAGGAACCACTCAAGATAATCTCTCAGGAATTCACATGGTAATTCACTCTAAAACGAGAATGAAAATCAGGGAAAATCATTAGAAGCCCACCGCATTGGATTATCCCTTAGAGAACTCCCACTGTGCGGGAGACAATGTCTTTATTGCAAATTAATTTCGTGTGGCTGAGGCGAGAACACGAAACTTTGAAAGACTTGATGGCTGGGGTGCTTCTCCGCCCGCGTTGTGAGGCTGTACAAGGAAAATGTAATCAATATTTATATAGATGGAATTGTTCCCATTTAAGGAGTCCGCAGAGCAATGAACTCTGCCATCAATGGTTGTCGGTGGGTAGGGCTTTTCTTCCTTTAGAACAAACATGCGAAATCCGGTGAAAACCTCCATCCTAATGTTGTCCTTCGGCATTGCTGAAATATTGAGGATGATTTCCCAAGACCGACTAATTGAGAAAATATTTGAATAACTCCTCACACATTCTTTTTCGCGCCCAGCACGCGTACGACATGAACTGAAAACCGTGAATATCATTTCTAGGGCATCTGAATGACTCTATCTTTCGCAATTTGGCCGCTCTCCGTATCAATTCTAAAGCGGAACACCCTTCTGGCGCCAAAACCCATTCACAGATTTTCCTCTGCGGTGTTTATTTATCACACGAGTCGCGATGTTTTGGCTGGCAAACGGTTATGAGGGAAAATAAGTGGCAAATTCCTCGGAATTATTAATATTACTCATTGAGATTGTAATTCAGCCATCTTAACAGTTTCGCAATCTTTTGGACTCTTCGGCAGGTCTCAGAAAGTGAAGGTGCTAAATTGGCGGCATCATATGGAATTGGCTTCTGCGAGGTTTCCGTGGCGGAAAATTCCCCAGCACTTTACAAAGCCTTTGAGAGGATATTGATCGAATCGCGAGCTCGTCCTGTGAAGCAGCGGAAGTTTTCTGTCAGCAAAATGATTGGTGAGTGTTATATAATTCTGCTGTAAATTTCCTCTTATTTCTATGCACACACACAACAGAGTTGAAAGGACTGAGAAAATACTAGATTGAAGAGAGCAATGTTATGAAGTCTCTGAACTTTCCTGGCCTTGTCCAAGAAAACTTTCATTGCCTGGAAACAAGGAATTTGACAATACAGATGAAAACAGGTGGCCTATAACATTGCAAATGTTTCAAAAATAGCTGAAGACTGAACCTTGATAGCTAATAATCATGAAATCGAGCGATGTTCTTTAACATTAAAACGCCAGAATAATTTGTCAAATTTTCTCAAACGTAAAACGTAAATATTGACGAAAGAATCGTAATTTTATTATTGGAAAGGATTTGGATTGAAAACTTTTTGAAATCCCTATCTGGAGTGTCTCAGTTCTTTCCAACTCAATCAGAAAGAACTGTTGGTGCGGAAAAGTACCAGAGAATGTTAGACTACAGCAGAGGCATTTTATTGTCCTTCACAGGCACGCTGATAGGCAGTAGTGCGGCTAAACCCATGCAGATTACGCAGGGAACTGTGGTCCCTTGCCACAAAGGTGATTTGCATAAGTCGCGCGTGTTGAAGCGTCGCCAGGCGTTCGCGGCCACAATATCACTATGACAAACCAACAGATTGACGGCCAGTAGCCCAAGTGATTGCTGAATGAACCCATCCTTTTCAGCGAGGGATGGGGATATTGTCCTGAGCGTCGAGGAGACTCTAATGGAAATTTACCCGTAATTTCCACTGAGGCGAGCTTTATCGACATATTTTCTATATTGAGCGCGTGAAGATTGTTGCTGGCGACAGCAAATCCAATGCGTATCACTTGATGATGTGTTTGTTCTGCCGACAATTGACAATGGAATTTTCACTATGTAAGTCAGCAGAAGCGACACATGAAAATTGTATTAATTGATCTCTCATGGAATGGAAAAAACTCATTAACCAATTAGTGCGTGAGAGAAGCAAAAGTATGAATATTTCAGTTTGATTTCCCAATGGAAAGGACTCTCAATGACATCTTTCGCAAGTTTGCCCCACATTCTGTCCCAATTGAGAAGTCAAACTACGACTGAATGGGCCAGAAGGAGCACGGAGATCCACTAATAACAATAATAATATTAAGATTATTTAGCATCAATGTGGCGTGTGTGCTCCATCAAACGCTAAAATATGTATCATTAGTATTTTGTCGTTTCTTGTCCCACACGCAAGACTGGTCTGGTTATAAATAGGCGCTAAGAGTATGAAGAAAAATTCTTTTCCCAATCTCTTTCCACGCATATTTTCCACATACTGAAAGTCCAACTGCGACGTTTGGCAATGAAACACCCCACTTTGACGACTTTATATCACCAATGCGATTGGGAAAGAGATTCTCACACGATTTTTTTCTTCTTCTTTTTGTCAGGAGGAAAAGACATTTTCTTCACACTTCAGACAACATGAAAATGCCATTTACTCTCCAATGATGATCGATATCATTGGTTTTATTTCACAATTTAGCCTTTAGGGTGAATGAATACCTATTTATATCATATTGATATAGTTACACTAGTTACATATGTTAATTATACTTAAATTATTCTGTATTTTACTTCTTTGCTAGTTAGAGTTGTAAGACACACAGAATAATGACTGCAAAGATGGGGGCGCCTGGTTATTATCACACTTTGTCTTATAAATACATACTCACAATTAAAGAAGAATATTCCGCCAGTCAATAACCTATCGAATATTCATCAAAGTACATGCACATATGTTTACTTTTGACTTTTTCTTGCAACTCTGCAGAATGTTGGCAGAGTCTGCACGCCTCAGTGAGATGTAATAAAAGAGTATGACTTTGCCAATCGAAATTCGCACTCCTGAACTTTTTTGGATGCCATGCAAACAATAAATGGGATGTGAATTGCTGACACGTATTGCAAAACGGAGGCGGGGAAAAATGCAAAAAGGCGCGAAAAGCAGCTGAGAAAATTGGGAAAATTTACTCTTTTGTGATTCAGCTTTGCTTTGCACCTTTCCAAATTGACTTCAGACGTAAATTGGCAAAAAAGCACACACTAGAAACCAGGTTGACAAATTCAACATTTTATTGGACATTTATTTTGACTATGTTATCATTGATGGCAAATATAATATTTGCTTGTGTCATATTTCACTTTGTGGGGGTGGGAGAAAACTCGGGGTCTTTTTTATCTGGCTGCCATCCTAAATACCACGAAAAATTGAGGTGGAATTCAATCTGGAAACTATTAAAAAGTGTGTAAAATTCACACATTCGCTAGAATGCGCGGTTTTTCTTGTCTCATAAGCACAAATACAGCACGCATTTGTGTTCTCTCCCACACGCATTAATCACTCACGTCCAGCTGAAAAATAAATATCGGATAAAATAATGTTGAGCAATGGTGTTAAACAAACAAAGTCGGAAGTTGAGAATTCCGTGCTGGCGACACTCTTCGGGATATGATCACCACGAGCGTCCGCGTGAATCTATCAGCACATCGTGAAAAAATGGCCAAACAACACATTAATTTGTCTGATTATATTGAAAATGCCCGTCCTGATTGTGCTGCTTGATCATTTTGGGGATTCACGAGTCTCCATATGACGTTTGTGCGCCTTTGAACACGCTGCGCGATAGTTTGAGATTAAGCCGCGAGATTGAGAGATTTTTAATTTGTTGTGAAAGTTGATTGCGACGGAATTTTACACCGGCGTCGCGCCAATGATATTTTTGTCATCCCAAAGACACTTGGCGACGCTCCTCCGTCACAATCACGTAGAATCGAAAGCGATTTACCCCTCTTTTCCTGTAGAATTTTTAGGTATTTTTGGAGTGGCGCGAACTTTATAAACGACAGTGTGGAATACCAAACAAAACAGGGAATTTTTTGAAACACAAAGCCATACTTTTACTATTTGCTTATTATTATGAAATGTATATGAAAGAATCCCTCATAATTTGCATTATAAAGTCAATCTGCAGATTCAATTATCATACTTAATGAAATTTTTTATCTTGTTAACGAATTTACATAGAATTTTACTAAGAAAGTCTATATATCATTTTTCAAAGTTTAAAGTCTTAAGACAACAATTTGTATTCTTTATAGTCGTTGAGATACTGAGAAGGAAATTTAAAAAATTTTAACTTGGGTAAAATTTTGGACAATTTACATTTGTAGTTAGAAATGTAAAAGGACGTTTTTGCAGCAAAAATAGACATTGAAAAGGCCTCTAATTATTTATTCGGTGAACTCAAAAAAAAACATATGGAATGGAATGTTGGAAAAATGAACAAATCTGGCTGTGATAACGTTTAGGAAAAAATATACTCTAGATCAAAAATGTGAAGATTTCCCCTTTGTGAGAGTAAATGAGGCGAGAATAAATTATGTAATTCCTATAGAATTTGAGGAAAATGTTTATTGAGCAAATAAGTGAAATAACATTGTTTTATATTATCAATTGTGAATTTAGCCATAAGAATATTTAACACTGAGTGTAAAGTGGAGTAAGGAAGTTATGTCCACATACTGAAAAATGGAAGAAATAAATAAATCTTACTTAGTGGAAATTCTGGATCTTGTATTTGTTTATCTTCCAATTCCGCCCAGTATTTTCCACTGCTGTTCATTTTGGACTTGCTCGCGCTGTTGTGCAACTTTGCGGATGGCTACGTGGCATTTCCTCTCTGTCTAATGGCATCGCGCATACGAGAAAATAACCCGCGGGATTAGGACGGGCCAGAAAGATCGGGTTGGAATGTGAAGATGCCAATCCACACGAGCTAAAATTAGAAAACAGGGAATCGCATTCAGTGCAATTGTACCTCAATTGCGGCCAGTGCAGTCAAACAACCGTGACCGAAACGCTAATCTCGACAGAATTTTGCCATTAGGAAATTGACTAATACGTGGAATTCATCAGCTGAGATCCAATTCCACAGAAATAAGATCTAGATTCAGCTCAGCATTCGCTCGATGAAGAATACGTAAATTGCGTATGGTAAAATAAAGCCACCCTCGACACTCTCAAAGGACGCTTTTTCAACGCATAAATGTCGCTTCAATGTAAAGTTCAACGCACGCAATTCGTACAATTGAAAGTAAATAATAAATCATTCTCACCGTAGCGCAAAAAATGGGGAAATTATTGCGTCTCAAATGAAACACACCGAAAAGATTTTAATTTCTGAAGCTCCTTCCAAATTCTTTCTTATTCAAATAATTTCCCTTTAAATACCGCCATTCTTACTTCTATAAAATTGGAAATATTTGTAACAGAGATCAGCAGCATGCCTCATGTGTGAATATTCCGCACAATTGAAAGGGATACGGTGTACGCTTTCTCAAGTTCTTAGTTCCTCCTTGTAACAGATGTTCGACTGCGCCAGCTTGAGTTACGCAACAATTCGATTAGTCATGAAATTGCAATCACCTCCACCCCATTTTCCCTCCACAGAAAGGTTAATGGGGTGCCTCATGGAGCGCAGCTGAAGAGAAAAAATGAATAGTGTGTCGTAATCATTGGAGTCTGTTTCGCACAATGCGGAAATGAGGGCGGCGTGACGACTTGGAATTGGTAATTAGATATATTTATTGGAATGCTTTTGTTGTCATTGGGATGATAAAAGGCAATTAAAAAAAGTATTTTATGTATTTACCAATGCAAAAGTAAATAATCTTTTGATCATTCTCACTATTCATTTACCGAATGACCCACTTTCTCATGTTCTGGGGATTACTTTTCATGCTTGTATTTACTTGTAAAGCCATCAGGCAGAGAATTTATTAGGTGCAATGTGTGCAGTCCGGAGATGCGTCTTCTAAATTGGTGGAGTTTTTTTTGTGAATCCTTGAGGCGGGTTATTTCGTCAAGTTTCATTATATTTCTGTGGTAGACATACGCCAGTTCCTCTATGAAGTTCTCTCTCTCGCTCTATCTTTGGCCCATTTACCCATTTAGTTGCCGGTGGATTTATGAATTTTGGAATTGTCTGACGCTCGAGGCGACGTCAACGGCTCTTTTGCATTGGAATGGGTGGTATTTTATGAGTTTCGCACATTGCCAATTGAAGATGTCATGTGTGCTGTTCATTAACCTGATAGTGAGAGAGGGAGAAAAGAGCCTTAAGACACGAGTCAAGGTGTCTCTTCTGAGATCATAGAAAGCACAATCATAGTCAAACCTTATCATTCTTATCAATCTGAACTTGGCATTAATTCCCCAGTAATTTGCTCTCTCCGGAGGCATTGAGAACGCGACTTGCGCCCATCTGAACACGCGAGAAGAGGTGCTTGCATTTCCGAGGGACCCTTATCAGTATGACTAACGAAACTGCCTGAAAGACCATGAGGGTAGATGTGTATAAAAAGAGGAAAAAGAGCCCAAAAGAGCATCAGTGGCAAATCTTCTGTAGAAGAACAAGCAAGTATTTACGCACAAGTGAAAAGTGGAAGTGGAAAAAATGAAATTGTTCCTGGCAATCACACTTCAACTCTTTGTCCTCTCAATCGCATCACCCACGTCATTCGACGAAGAGGAGGGCGATGGGAAAATTGTGGGCGGATATGCGGTGGATATCGAGAAGAGACCCTATCAGGCGGCTCTAATGTACCGAGGCCGCTTCCTTTGCGGCGGCACAATCATCTCTAAAAAATGGATACTCACGGCAGCTCACTGCACATCGTAAGACTCACGCAACCTTCAATCTTTGCACGTACTAATTAAAGTTCCTTCCAGCGGTGGTAAGGACAAGCACTTTACGGTAAGAGTTGGCTCCAGTCATCACGCATCTGGTGGAGAAGTTATTCAGGTGCATGAGGTCATAAATCATCCAAAATATGACCGCGACACGGTGAACATGGACTTTGCCTTGCTGAAGCTCAATCGCTCCATTGAGTTCGATGAGAAGAAGCAGCCCGTTCAGCTCTCCGAATTGTGGGATCCGATTCCCGTGGGCGAAAAATGCTACGTGTCGGGTTGGGGCGAGACCAGAGATCTCTCAGAATCAAACGACATGCTCAGAACAGTTAAGGTATTCATTCTGGACCCGGAAATTTGCAGGACGGCGTATTCGAAGTTTGGCGATATCTATAACGAGCACATGGTGTGCGCTGGACACTTGAATGGTGGCAAGGATGCCTGCTTTGGTGACTCTGGCGGACCACTGGTGTGCGGCAAAACCCACATTGGAGTCGTGTCATGGGGTGAGTCTAAATTTAAATTCTATTTTAGGGGTATATTTTGACAGCGACATCCGACATTTGATATTCCCTCATCTGAAAACCGCTTCAAAAACCATATGTACTTTTGAACCCTATCCAAGATTTAAATTTTCACGTAGAACATCTCAGAATTACATGGCTTTAATCGATCTATCTTATTCCTTTTGCATTCTTGGCCTTCAATGTTATCGTACTCGCCTTCTAAATGAATATTCTTTATATAATGTGAGATGACTAAAATAAATAAAATTTCAGGAGCCGATTGTGCATTGGCAGGACATCCGGGAGTCTATGCTCGTTCAGCGGTGATCCGAGAGTGGATAAGGACGTGTGCAGGTGTCTGAATAATCATTCTTTCCAAAGCACTTCGCAAGATTTTATTGCCCTTTATATTACTGCGCCTAACCGCGATTCATCTGCTGAGATAGCAACAAAATTGAGAACTATGACACCAAAGTTATACGTATTTATTTGATGGAATATTGACATAAAAGTGCGCTATAAAAAAGGGGTTGAATAAACTTTTGTGTGAAAAATTTTTCACATGCCGTCATTAAAATTGTTTTTCCTTCCTGGGTCTTTCGTGGAAGTCCTCTTGTGGTTTCCCATAATCTATTTTTATTATTGTTTTCTGCCTTCTCATCGAAATGCCATGGCCCCAAAAGGAGTGAGGCAAAAAAGTCGACCCTAAGGATCTGTCTAGAGAAAGAGAGCATATCGGAATAGGGATTGCCACTTTGCCAGGTCATCGTCTTCACTTGAGAGATTTTGATGGATTTTCCGCCTCCTTTTTGCACAGCACGTTCGCACGCTGAGCATCAGGAGTTCAAAGAACCACCTCAAAGTCATCTGACGAATCCCAAAGTGATAAATCGCTCGGGAGCAAAAGGAGAAATTATTGAATTTTAATTGATATTCAGGGTCGCGCCTTTAGTGATATTCGCTGTTTACACTTCGCGCTTGATGTGAATCATTTCGATGGAAAATTGTAGTTTTCACCTCCACCCACAATATTTTCAGGTCTTGCAAAAACAGCGTCAGTCTGCCTTTCCACTTAAAGACTGTAACCAACGCAATATGACATGGAAATCGATGCTTTTGTGTCTATCTGGACGCACAAAATGTGTAAATAAACATTATAATCCCGTGAATTTGCTTCATGCGTGATCCTCATTTATGTTCGCAAACAATTAATTAATAAGTGCAATATTTCGCGAGGCGCCAAGTTGTAAATGGAAATTCTCAGTATCATTTCGTCCAAAACATTATGTAAGTACATTCTCAAGATTGTATTGTCTTAAGATCGTTCTCAACCATATTCTCTCAAATACACACGTAAATCTATCAGTTCCGATTTTATCCGCTTTATCGCAGTCTTGAGGAGAAGCAGAATGTTTACTTCTAAAGCTATTGCTCCGAAGCACAACCTCGAACATCAATCGCTTAGACTTATCCTCTCTCCTGGCAATAAAAAAATCTACCAATTTATGTGAATTCATTCCTTGCTCATTAATCTCGCATTTTCTCATTTATTGTGAAGGTGGTTGCAAAGAGCCGAAGTGTGTGAAAGTCGCAGTGAAGAGAGATTAATTTTCAAAAGGAAACCGAGAGAAAATCGTAAAATTCTGGTAAGAAAAATCCCACAAAAATGCTGTCTTGCAATATCGTCTCTCAAGGGCAGTGACACTTACTTCTTCACTCACTCTTGGCTGGGTGTTAATATAATAAAATTCTCCCTCTTAGCATTGAACCAATTTTTGCTCCAGTTAATTCGCAAAAGCCTCCTCTTCATTTCATTGCTTTGCTTTGCGATGATATGAAAATAAACAGGAACTTGGCCACGTTGGATGATGTCTTAAGGAGTCATAAATCAATTTGGACGCTCTTTTTCAATATCACTCTCCACGAGTCATCTTACGGCATACCTTTATTCATCTCTTATCCCCATAAATGTCTGTCAATTGCAGGCAAATATTTATTTCCACGGAAAAGCATTACAATACACCTTGAAATACATTATCAATCGCGCTGATGCACCGCGAGAGTAACTCAAGGTGCTGCCAAAATCAGACGCATTCAGATTTCTCATTCGATGTTATTCCATTTACCAATGGAATGCCGCATATCTTATTTATTTTCCCAATAAAAGAGGTATGAAAACTCCTTCGTGTGATGAGTTTATTGAGTGCCTCCAATCTATCAGCTCTTTCGGATGATACAAGGAGTTTGTTTCTGCAGTGGCACAATGTCCCTCCCTCTGTGCAACCCTCCTCAACCAGAGCATCCCTGTTGCGAAGCCACAATACTCGTAAATAGAAGATAAAAGGTGCGCATGAGGAATAATGTCAAATCCAGATGTTTTTTCATTACATCTCAGCCAAAGAGATATGCAAATGCACAAAACAACAAAAATGCACTGTGAAAAGTACAAGATGTACAAATTCGAAAAAACTGCTTTATTCTTCATTCTCCTTCAACTGCTTTCAATTTCACTTCATTGGATCTCCCTCTAGGTCGGAAGTCACATTGAAAGTTCATTGCTTAAGACATAGAGGCCCTTAAGCGGGTGCTTTGAGAGCGAGAGGAAGTGTGTCGAAGCATGAGTAAATCTAAGCAAACAAAAACTGTACTACTGGATGATGAAATGGTAGGATTTTATATTTAAAATGTTTAATCTCGGAACTCCAAACATCCGTTAAGGATTACACGAAGAATAAATGACATTTAAAGAGTTCAATAAAACCACAAAGACACCATTTACAATTCATATCAGACATTTTATCTATATTTAGGAAGGAAATTTTAGAAGAACGATTTAAAAATACGATGTCGTTCCTCTTATATCAGATATTATCTGTGAAATATAGTATCCTTTTTTATGGTATCTTTAATCAGTACAGAAAACGATGCTAAATGAACATTCTTTACCTCTGCAATAAATGTGACATCAATATTTGGATGAAATTCAATATTTCAGAACAAATGTCTTGCCAATTCATGTCGGTTTCTTAACACGTGTTCCTCCTTGTGAAATCGACACGTTACATATCTCGTTGTCCTTTTGAAATTCTGCCACACAAGTTCCATTACGGAGTGATTAGAGTTTGTTGTCCCTTGTCGCATCGCAAACCCCCCACGATTCCCTCAAATTGAGTCCTCGTTTCGCATGAGACATGAGCCCCAATTGAGACACATTTGTCCGCGTGTCAGTCATTATTCTATGCTAGAAGGATTCTCAGTATGTTTCGGCGTCGGAAAAGCACTCAAACCACCCGGAAAGTTGAGATTATTACACGGAGGCTTGTGAGAAATTATTGGCGCGCGCGTGGTCAAGTCTTTTCGCGTTGGACGAAAGATAACGACGATGACCTCTTATTTAATTTATCGTTCACTCTCTCTCTCTCTCGATGCCCTTAAACTGATTTCCCTCCGGTCTACGCAAGAAGCTACAGATTAAGGGAATGTTGAATGGAAATATTTTCCGTTTCCCTTTTCCATTTTCCTGGTTCATGGAGTTCGTTCATTGACTCGAAAGAGGGATGTTCTGAGAGATCATATTTTATCCCATCCAGCCAATGAGCCCGGAACGCCCTAAACAAATGTACATAGAAATGAAATATTCAAACTTTCTTTCTGTTTATGACTTCTTCGCGAACTTTCTACCACAAAACTTCCCTTCCAGCTGTAGCCCACCAAATGGGAGGAACTAGAACAAAGTTTGAGGAGATTTATCTCTGGCAATATTGCCATGTTGGCACTAATATATCCACCGGCGGGATAATAAGCTCACTCGTGCTTAAATGCACGATATTCATCCATAATTCTCTCGTCTTGCCATTTTGAGGCAATTGCGGAAGACCCTGTGTCTTAGTTCTACGGCATTATTATCGAATTATTAAATTATGTTCTTGTACTGTAAACAAAACGGCACGTTTTCGCCATAGAAAGTATCCACTTGGTGTAATATGAAGTGGAAAATGGAGACTAGTGAACTGAGCTTTTCTCCTCTTTTTTTGCTTCACCCACAAAGGAATGTAGAGCATGTCAATTTTCATTGCCAGCAAAGCCGCACATTCATTTCACGACTGTGGAAACATAAAACTTGGAGGGTAACACACGATAAAGACCATTTTTATGGCACGTCTTCTATTTTCTCCATATTCTCTATAATATAACCAAAAGAAAATCATATAATCTCATCAGTATCATCACAATTATTGCTGGCAAGTCACTTCAAACCAATTTAGAGAGCCTCAAATTGCTAAACAGAAAATAAATACTTCACTTCAGTAGTAAGTCCATGATGTACTTGATGACTCGACTGTCGCTCAGAATGGCCATGTGATCCACTCCAGGAAGCTCCATTGTGTATATCTTCGGCTTCTGCATGTCTCGCCACTGCGTGCACGCCTGAAGGGAGCGCAGGTTCACCGTTCCGTCCCCATCGCCATTGATGAGCTCTGGAGTGCCATCGAGACCTTTGCTCTTGCGGTAGTACAGCCTAAAATAGATTAAAAGGGGAGACAGAGTTTCTCAGAACAATTGGCTGTAGCAAGGCGATGAACTCTTGAGAACTTTGGCAATGACAAATCATCTCATATCTTCAAATGACTCACAAAGGGAATTATCTCCGCACAGTAGAACGATAAAGTAATACAACGGTAGAGATATCCAAGAAACTTTTAGTCAATTTGCAACAAATTTTAATCTCAGTCTGTTGATTTACAAGAAATTATTTTGTAAAAAAATTAAGTCTTGTTCTTTGCTCACATTCACATGTGATAATAATCTTGTTAGATTCATGTGGAACTTATAGGATTCACATAAATCCTGGAAAACTATAGAAAACCACAGTGATAGTATTGTTTTTTTTTCACGAATTTTTAGCATTACACATAGCAAAAAATTCTAAAATCACGCTGTGTCGACGTTATTTTGCTTCATGAACCATAAAGAGTTTACGCGAAAATCAACAGCAGCATTATAAATATGTTTGACAAGCAATTTCTCCCACCTTGGCAACCTTGAAAGGAATGTGAATAAATTTCAGTAATTGTCGTTTTGTTATTTCTCTCCAACTTGCCACTCAAAAATAACTCATCCGCGTAATTAAAGAAATAAATAAATTACACTGTACGCCTTAGGAAGCAAAGCTAACCGTGTTTCGAAGCACCCAGTTTATTTGAGTTCAAGGGAATATTTTGATATTCTACTAATTTGTTACGAGTCTCATTAAGCAAGGAGAGTTTTAATGTACATAGTAGCTTTAAATGAGCCGCAATACGTAACAACACGTGAGAACCTCAAGTTATGAATTTCATAACATTTTCGTATTGCATAGAAGTTTGTAATTGTATATAGAAAGCCAGAAATATCCAGTGAAGGATATTTTTCCACTGACCATTTCACCTTCAATGTTGATAAGATGTGTAAATGAACTCACATTTTGCAATTGTGTTATCATTTCGGGAGTGAAAGTAAAACTCTGAATGTTTATCGCGTTCAAAAAGCCAAAATCCATATGCTTTTGTAAGAAATTTGAGACGTTTTGTATGCCAAGCTTTGCGTTTCGTTAAGCAATTCCCTGTACATTGAATTTATCTTCTCTCTTCCCTCAAATATTTGGGGGTCAACAGACGAACTTCTGGGGATTGGGAACAAGGTCTAGGGCCTACTCACTTTTCAACAGTGCTTATGTTTGTCCCATAGAGAGCATGAACCTCCACATCCGGTGGTGCGAAGTTCATCACGAACTTCTTGTTATCCTGCATCATGTCCCATCCAGTCGGATACTGAAGATCACTGGGAAAGAAAGTAAATCCTCGTAAAATCTCCCAAAGACACAGTCTTTCAGATGTAATTACTTGAAGAACTCCTCCAGTTGACTGAACGTGTACGCCCGAGTCTGCGTCTGCACCAGGATTTCATCTGGCTTCCAGAAAAGTGGTGACGGCATCAGCCAAGCAAGGGAAGGAGACGTAATCTGTTCAGCCCTCATGGTCTTCCCGCTGAGTGCAAAAGAGCCCAAATCATCCCCAATTGCGAAGACCTTCACGGCTTTTGCGCTGCCCGCCCAAGCACCCGCCAGTGTCACAAGGCGCGCAATATACTTGTCCTTCCACGCGCGCGTCTGCTGCTGCAGGAACACCAGACTCATCGGTCCACCCATGCTGTGGGCCACGAGGGTAACGGCCTGGTTATCGTTGAGCGCATATGTTTCCTCGACAAGCGCTTTCAAGTCCACAAACCATTCTGTGTTCTCATCTGTGAAGAGAAAAGTTTTAAGAAAAATCTTGACCTGTTTGTCATGCAACTCAAGGACACTCACTGGGCGCCTTCCGGAAGTCATAAGGCGCTCCCCGGAGAGAGACATTGCGAACGTATCCCACAGAGGCAAAAGCATTACCAATGTCTTTGAAGTACGAACCGGCTGAAGCGTGGCTCGGGTCTAGCCACTCAACCATTTCCGGATTACCCCATCCAGGGATGCGTGTGGTCACACCGGGTGAGTTGCTGGTCAACCGCGTGACATTATCATATGACAATTTCACATTATCAATCCAACAATCAATCACAAGAGGCACCAAAAGCTCAAGATTCAGCCAAATATTGAAGAAATCCTTTGTATGCTTCTGACAAATGTAGTGTACAACCTCAGGCTTATCCAGTTTGGCGTCCACTTGACTTCCCCCATCTCCAGGAACTGCAAAAGCCAGGAAACTTCAATTACCAAATGAATGTTGACAAAGACATTGAGATGACTCACCAAAGACAATAGGAGAGCGTTTGTTGCCATCTCCCTTGTATCTCCTTCCCCTGAGCCTGATAAATCCCTGACTCTCCGAAATAGGGAGCAGGAGAAGCACAATAAAACTGAAGACACACTTCCGGAAGAGCATTTCCTTGGAAAAATTTGCGGATTGGATGATATTCCTCACACGACAGTAGCGTCACTGTCAGCTAAACTGAACTGAACAACAAGGGGATTATTTGCAAGGCGGAGGTCAAATTGCGGGCCCCCACTATCACCTTGTTTATCAGTGACGCAGTAAATAATGGAATATAAACAGCAACAGCACAGCTGCGAAAAGTAAACAAACTCAACTCAGCGACTTATTTCGCTCCTTTTCGCCGCATCATACAACCGTCGCTCAGCTGATCTAACCTCAATCATTTGTTTATGATTGGCGGCTTCGGGAAATTGTGAAAGAAAAACACCCGTGAAAATGTGTGAGGACTTGCTGAATTTCTCTCTAAACGATGTGAAAAAGGACGTTCTGCATGGCATTGTAGAGTGCAACAAGAGAGGGCTGCTGCAGAGCGCCAAATGGCTGGCGGAATTGAACTTTGGAAATCAGAAGGCTGCGGGAGGGAAGGCGAAGCCGGTGCCGCCTCAGCACCTCGTTCTGATGGACACGGGCATTGGAAATAATGAGTATGACGAATACTATCTGGCCAAGGCGTATTTCGACTGTCGGGAGTACGACCGGGCGGCATATTTCACGCGAGAAAGCATCTCGCCGATACCCAAGTTCCTGCACCTCTACTCACGCTACATGGCCAAGGAAAAGAAGAGACTGGACAACATGACAGATAGCTTGAACATGAATGATGCGTCAGAACTGAAAGACTTGAATGAGATCATGGAGGACCTTAAGATTGAGTATAACGAGCGGAAGCTGGATGGTTACTGCCTCTATCTTTACGGCGTGATGCTGAAGAAGCAGAAACTCACTCAAATTGCTCTCACCGTTCTACTAGAGGCGGTTAACCAAGAGCCTCTACTGTGGGCGGCGTGGCTGGAACTCGCTCCACTAATTCCGGACAAAGAAAAGCTGCACTCTGTGAAGCTTCCGGATCACTGGATGAAGAGCATCTTCATTGCTCACACGTACATAGAACTACTGCTGAATGATGAGGGCATTAAAGCCTATCAGGATCTGCAACAGGCGGGCTTTAGTAGCTTTTACATTACCTCACAATTAGCAATAGCGCACCACAATAAAAGAGGTGAGTTTCCGTATCTTTCCCGATCTTCGAATTACTCAAATATACTCATTTTTTCCACTGCAGATGTTGAGAAGGCAATTGAAATCTTCCAACAACTTCAGCAAGAAGATCCTTATCGCCTGGACAATCTGGATATCTACTCAAATCTGCTCTTCGTTAAGGAATTGAAGACAGAGATGGCTCACTTAGCGCACAAAGCGGTGGAGATCAATAAATACCGCCCAGAAACTTGCTGTGTGATTGGCAACTACTACAGCATACGCTTGGAGCACCAGCGAGCCATTTCCTACTTCCAGCGCGCTCTAAAGCTGAATCCGCAGTATCTATCGGCCTGGACGCTGATGGGACACGAGTTCATGGAGATCAAGAACACCAACGCTGCCATCCAATGCTACCGAAAAGCCATAGAAGTCAACGGTCGTGATTTCAGAGCCTGGTATGGCCTCGGCCAGGCTTATGAGATCCTGAAGATGCCCTTCTACAGTCTCTATTACTACAAAACCGCTCAGCAGCTTCGTCCTTACGACAGTCGTATGCTAGTTGCTCTCGGCGAAACCTACGAAAAGCTGGAGAAGAACACAAACGCTCTGCGATGCTACAAGAAAGCCTGCAATGTGGGTGATATTGAAGGCATCGCCCTGCTGAAATTGGGAAATCTTTACGAAAGATTGGCCGATTGGAAAAACGCCATTCCCACATTCCTCGAGTACTGCTCAGATGATCGACCTGTCCTGGACAAAACTTCACTCTATCGAACTTATGTGAAACTCGGGAATTACTATGAGAGCATCGGAAATTACGACGAGGCCGCAAAGTTCGCCTACAAGGCGCTCGAGCATGATGAGACAAAGAACGAAGCCAAATCTCTGCTGAAGACTATTACGAACAAGAGAACGGCAACTCAGATTGTAGCCCAGAGTCCGGAAGCTCCTTCACCCCGGCCAGCGGAAGCCTACACAAGTGAAGTGGTGTACATGGAAGAGAGTGACATGGTGATTGAGAGCAGCATCATAGGAGAGGAACGGCCGATGGAAAGGCCAGCCTTTGATGATAGCAATGAATCCATGTTCACTAACTACTGAGTCTGGTTAATTTTGATAAATAAATTTTTCACTCCACGAACTTCTCAAGTCAATTTAAATAATAAAATATGCTGCTAACTCACATAATGTATGTAAGTAATTGCATTAGTTACTGCGACGTCCCTACGAAGTTGCAGTTTATTTCTTTGCTATTGTGGATGTTTCCTAGGCAACAACGCCAAACAGACTTTCTCTGCAAGAGTCAAAACATAGACCATTATTAGAGTGCTTAAGGAGTTTTGTCGTGAAAGCTTGATCAATGAACGGGGGAGACGTTCAGCAAAAATTCCTTGGGGAGCGCGTGAGCGCGGTGGAGAAGCAATTCAGCGATTTGAGTCAATCCCTTTCGGCGATGATGAGGAAGAGCGCCCGTCTTCGAGATAAAACAGACGAGTTCGCCCAAATGCTCCGCCTTCACGGTTTCGCCGAGAAGGTCTGCACAAAGTGGAGCCAGGGCTTCTTGAATCTCTCCAACGCCCTAACTCTGTTGGCTGACGCTCGGGACATGGAAGTGAAGCGACTGGAGAGAAAATTGCTCCCGGACATTGTCCAATACGATGCCATTTGCAGAACTGTGAGGGATGAAGTGAAGGTGTCCGGAGCCTTGCGCCAGAGAAGTTTTGCAGATCCCAAGGTCAGTGACTTGGGAGAACTGGCTGAGTCTTTCGAGAAGCGTCGACTAAACGATACTCGCCGGATTTTTCTGGAGTTCCTAGCTATCGAACTGGCGATGCACGCTAAATCCACTGAGGTACTCAGTGCAGTGTATCAAGATGTTATGGAGATTGACGATGAGGCGAATCTTGAGGAGTTCAGAGAGAAAATGAATAGCCAAGAACCTTCTGAGGGTGTTTTGCTACAGAAGATTCGCTCCCAGTCGATGGGGGCTCTAAACTATTCAGCAAAGAGACAGACTCAACCAACTCTCGTTACTCCCAGAGAATTGGTGACGGATTCGGAAACTCTTAAGAGCGCCAGAAAGTCTGAGACTCTCAATAAAGCTGCTTCTCTGGACGTTCTTCAGTGTAACGAGTCAATTTTCGGCTCAGAATCAGACTCAGGAACTTCAGAACAAGAGGATGAAGTCACTGTTGATCCCAGATCTGAGAAATTCAAGTCCAAATTGGCCCAATTGATAAGAAAGCCCTAAGAAAGGTCATTTACTGCGGCTTGTTTAATCAATAAAAGATATATCGAACAAATAATCCTAACTAGGCGTTTCTCATCCGCAATCCTCATTACCCATGCAAATTCTTCTACTCAGAGACATTTTATTATCTCTATTATTCAGAGGGTGGATACAAATAGATTACCTGGTGTGCTTCCTAATCAATGCCTTCCACTTTAGAGCCTTCGTTAGTTTGGTTCCTGGGTTAGTAACGTACAAAATGATAGCATGTTGAGCAGGTGATTGGGTGAGAAGCCGAGTACGGTGGAGTGTTCGCATCTTTGTCCAGGGGGCACTCCTGGTCAAAGGTCTTACTTCTCCGGACCCTCGACGCCTGCTTGAGTCATCAGATCTGCTATGCTCTTCTCCAGGTCATCAATGCGATTCCCCATATCATCGATCCGGGAAATAATCTGGTCCGACATGGACTGGAATTTGTCCTGTACATTCTGCAGGAGGTTCTGCACCTGAAAACACCCACAAAACATCAGTCTAGGCGGATCTCCCATGGGGAATATAAGGAATACTCACATAAATTGTCAGCTCGTGCATGTTTTTCGGGTCGGCATTGCTGTTGAGGGAATAATTCTGCTCAATATCACTGTCTATCTCGGATTTGATGTCCGACATGCTGAATTTGCACTGGGAAATTTACCAAACAAACACGCCTTCGAGATGAGATGCAAATTTTACGTGAGTCTTTCGAGGTTTGAATGAATTTCTGAGGTTTGTACAAAATCACACGGCCGCCAACGTGCAAATGATGATGTCCCAAAGTCAGCGATTTCTCGCTAAATCCTCATTCGACCCCATTGCAAATCATACCGCGCTAAAACCGCTAAGAATATTATTCGTGTGATCATCTCAAATATCTCATTAAATCCGTATAGTTTATATTTTCGTAATAGATTTGATCATATTTTAATGTTCTCCTGAATCAATCGTTTTACCTTCAATTTAGAGACGTGGCGTGATAATTGGAAGAGGTGCAGGTGCAGACACGTTCGAAGTATCCCACACATCCGACTTGTATCCGACAAGATGAAAGAGAGAGTGGACGAATTGTTATAGGGATGAAATGTCAGAGAAAATCGAGAAAATCTTGAGTGTCAAGTGTTTTGTTTATATTTTGCACAGCTCGCAAAAATGGACATAGAAAATGATTTGGAGGAGCAGTTGACCAGTTATCACATTTGCAAATTGCCTACAAGTGCGTCCAGTTCAGAGACGCCCACCAGTACAGAATCTGACTCAGTGCCGGCGCGAAAGAAGGCGAAGATAGCAGATACCACAAATAGAGTTCCAATTGGAGGCATCGGGCTGCCCGGAAAAGCGTCCAATGGGTCCGACTATCGATTGGAGGTTTTCACTGTGGAGAGTGCCCAGCAATCTCCACCGCTGACCCTCCAGGACTCGCCCGAGAGAACGAGAGGACACGTAGTTAACACAGGGTCAGAGATAACTGTGCTTGCTGGCGAGAGCCCAAAAGTCTGGTATCAACTCCCGGCGTTGGCGCCGTTGACACAACAGATAGAAACACCTGCTTTACCACCCACGCGCGTTTCTGCGCGAGTAACGAAGGGTCAAACCCCACTCAGGCTACTTGACTTGCCGGACAAAGCCCCGGTTCCTGTAATTCAGCATCCGCCTGGGCCACAAGTGCAAACTTCTACGGGAAAATCTCAGATAATAAGACAAAGTGCCGCTTTGGCTTCTCCAGTGGTGTCGAACCCTGTAGTTATAAAGATCGAGGATGACGATGAACAACCTGCCGCACCAGCAAACGCCACTGTGCAGCCGGTCGTCGAAGCTCCTCGGCATGTAATTAAACTTTTAACGAGTGTGCCTGGTAAGAAGAATCCTCTACTCCTGTAGCTTCTAAATGATTCTGATTGCTTTCTTTCCAGTGTCTAAGTACCCTTGTGAGTTCTGCGGAACCACTTTCACGTTATGGAATCAGCGAGAAAACCACATGAACAGCCAGCACAGAATTAACGGGCTATTCACCTGTTTCGTATGCCAACAAGCCGCCCGAGAGTACTACATTACCAATGCAGCCATCTTCAGCACTCCGCACTACCACTTTCTTCAGGCCCACTTGGCGGACTCACATAAGATCACGGGACAACCGAGAGGGTTCCAGTGCCCCTATTGCTCACTACATCCGGCAAACTACGAGGCTCTCGTGAAGCATCTCACATCGGTTCACGATACAAGTGCTCTAGGGGTAGGTTTGAAGACAAGATCTGAATAACATTCTCTCTAATTTTGCCTCCTTCTTGCAGAGCTCTCTGTTGCTGGTCAATGTTCTCGAAGATCGCATTGATGAATGAAGTAAGAAATGGGGATGTAAGTGAAAAAGGCTTTTATTTGATGTCCAGCTTACAAGCATGTTGCCATCAAGGGAGCCAAATTCTCAAACTCAATCTTCTCCGTAATGTTTTTCGTCTTAATGTTCTCATCCTGATTGGCCACAAATACGAGATCTCCCTGATCTTTCCATCCATACTTCTTCACCCACAATGCCAATGTGTGATCATCGATGTCGCCCAAGAGACGATACAAGTATTCCTTCTCAATGCTCTGGAACGTGATGCCCACAACATGGCAAACAAACTTCCTGATAGAATCAAAGAAGCCGGTGATTTTCCGGAACAAATCCGGGCAGAGCTTCACGCGTGCCCAGAACATGGCGAAATCGCACTGTTCAAGAATGTCCACGAGGTGCATGATCTCCTTTACAGTCTCATCCTGAGTCTGGGCGGGCAGCAGCAGACACTTGCACAGTACAAAATCCGTGTGCGGGAGATTCGTCAGAGCCTTCAGTAGTATCAAGTAGGTGATATCCAAGTTGAGGAGGTGAGGATTGAACTGGTACAGCTTTAGCACTGCCAGATTTGCTTCCAAATCGTACGTGTTGTCTTTCGCCTGGTCTTCCACGTATTTCTCAATCACTTTGAGATGTTCCGGATTGTATCTACAAAGCCATGACGTTTACAATGTGGCATATGCAGTCAACTTTCGCTTATTATTGCCATTCCCTTACCTTTCGATGCTTTTCAGCATATCAGCAATGGTTATGGTCTTCTCTTCTTCCATTTTCACAATACTTTGGGACTCCTTGATTCCGATGAGCACAATAATCCAATAAAAACAGAGACACTACGGAAGCCACACCGCAAAGAAAGTAGGGTTATAATACTGAGCTACTCAGAAAGTCAAAAAGAGCGATTTATAACAGTTTTTCTCTCGACTCAGCGACTCTGTTCTAAAGAGCGGGAAATCAAATAGATAAAGTGCGCATATTCGATTTCTCATTGCAGAACAATTTCTTGTTAATTCATTTCCAAAAAGAAAGAATCTCATGAAACCTGTAAACACAATAAACAAAAATTGACAAAAAGCATAAATCAGTGATCAAATCTTAGACTAAATTTTTTTACGGTGCATAAATGAAGAGGAATACAATATTGCTTTTGGACATATCCAGAGAAACAAGAACGGTGAAAAAGAGTTACCTATTAGTTTAGTCTAACGAAATTTTATTATTACCTTTAAGTCATTCAATCCATTAAAGTTCGCAAAACTTGCGACTGAAGACAGAAATACTCTTTCAACCTAGTAGTAAATGAGCGGAATATTTTTACAAACATGTGGATAAAATGTTGTGTTGTACTTTTTGGGAATTTCTGGTCTTTGACTTCACTATATAGAGTACTTTGTGTACTTTCCGTGCATCAGCAAACAAAATAAACCACTTGGTTCACAATAAAACACATTTGCTGCGTAGTGTGACGAATTCGCGTTGTGTGTGAAAGTCTTTTGCAATTTAACCCATTTGATGTGCTTCTCACTTGCATAATAACGAGGTAATCTTTTTTAGTCCTTCAGCTTAAGATTGTGGTTGTAGATTGATTTGGAACTTGTGCCAAAGTACCCGAACAATGCTGTGCAAAAGGGAAGAAACCACCTACTCACGCTCTCTCTAATATAACAATAGGGAAACAATTATCATCATCCACTTATTGAGGCCTTCGTTGAGAATAATGTTCGGAATAATGTGATTGTTTTGATATGCGATACCCGAATTGTGTGATGCTTCGGTGCAGTGACAAAACATCCCCTTTTCAGCTTCCATCAGCAACTGACTGCTGATGGAGGGTGGAGAGACCCTTGCTGTTCCCGATGAAAAGCCGGAAAATTCAATAAGGATTTTGACGGACACTTAGGGAGGGTAATTTTCCAGGGAGAGACACAAATTGACTCATCGAGTTAAGTGTAAATTGCCCGAGACTTTCATTGTAAGTCAATCGGTCAGATTATGTAAATTTAACCCGTAATTGTGCAATGAATTTCACGGTGATACTTTTTGTTTAATCGCCTCAAGATTTCCAATATACACCACTTGGAATTCTTCAATGGCAGAAAAGGAGTTTTTAGTCAAAAATCTGATAATTACCACATGTTTTGTTTTACATACACAAAATAGCACTTTTTGATGTCGAAAGGCCAATTACGGAAATTAGTTAAAATAAAAGGGAACTGAAATTGTGTACATTTTCTCTAATATAAGGAAAATCCCAAATTTCATGTACATTTATAACCATTTTTTTTATAGGTATGACGGAAATATTGAATTTTAACGCAAATCCACAGTCTACTAGTGATTCGCTGCAGAACTATCCGTTCATCTTCAAATAATAAAGCTATTTAATTATCCTACTTTCAATATTCGTTGGCTAACTTGACATTACAATTCTTAAGCAATTATTCTGGACCTCGCATTGTTCACAACCGCGTGCCGTGCAGTGTTTGTGGCCGATCTATTTCTCACTGTTTTTGCTTGTCGAATCAATTTTCTTTCTGTTTCATATCCCACAAATTTAAATTGCATTAAACGCCTTAAGGTGTCATGCAGAATCCAATATTGGAAATTTCAGCGTCATATCAATAGCTCTCCGCACTTTCAACACTCTCTTTGGCAACTGGTGTTGGTCACTCTGTTGGAAAGATTTTGCTATTCGGATGGACAAAAAGCCGTGTAACACATTTATTGGTGCAATTGATCTCTGTAGAGGTGTGTTGTCACCTGTATGGCCGTGGCGGACGTATAAATAGTTTGGCGGATTGGATGAGGAAGGCAGTCAAGTTTGTGGTTCCAGTGGAGACGGGCATCGAAGGAATACCTGTGTTCAAGTGGAGTTTACTGTGTTCAGGATGGTGCGGAATTTCTGGGTGTGGCAGCTCCTCGCCGTGAGCTTGGTTATCTCGGTGTGTTATGCCGGAGGCCATGGCGGGCATGGGGGTGGAGGAGGTGGTGGCGGTCACGGTCACAGCAGCAGCTTCGATGAGGGCGGCGGAAGTGAGCACGGGAGCGATCATCACTCCGATCACGGGTCCAAGGGTGGCAAGAAGTACGACTCTGGCCATCACTTCGACAAGGGCGAGAAGGGCAGCTATGGAAAGGAGGAGGACTCCGGTCACTACGGCGAGGAGGGCAGCCACAAGAAGTCCAGCTACGACGAGGGTGATGAGCACGGATCGCACCATGAATCAAAGAAAGGCTCCAAGGGTGGTAAATTCGGCCACAAGAAGGGACACAAGAAAGGTTCGGAGACATCAGGATATCACCACAAGTCGGGCAAGGACAAATATCACAAGGAGCACAAATTCTACGATGAGGCTCACAATGAAGGCAAACACTCCAAACATGGAGGCTTCCATGAGCACCACCACAAGAAGGGTGGAGACCATAAGAAGGGAGGCAAGCATGAGTCCGGATTCGCGGAGGGACACAAAGGCAAGAAGGGTCACCACGATAAGGGACATTATGACGATGGGCACAAAGGTGAATATTTTTTGAGTTATCATGAAAACTGTTATTACCATCAATCGATCGGATCTTTCCAGGTTACAAAGGACATCACGGACATGAGTCTCACCACTCTCACCATGAGGATCACGGCAAGAAGGGCGGTTCTTCCGGAGGAAGCGAACACGGTTTCAAGCACGGTCACGGTGGTGGTGGTGGCGGCGGTGGCGGTCATGGTCACCACTAAACTCAATCTCTGCCAATTTCATCAGTGATACCGAACCATCCAACACAAACCTGACCTTAGATGGGAGTGATAATGTGACTACCTGTACATTAGATAGACCAATTTACTCTTTCCAATAAATTAAGTCAATAAAATTTATACCATTTTACTCCGCCATGTTTCTTCTTGAAGAGGTAAAAAGGCCAGCGTCTGAGGAGATGTGGAAGTGAGTAGAAAAAGAAGCGTATGAATCTAATATGAGCCTAATCTTCTAAGGAAAGCGGACTTTGATACTTTGGGTATGGGATTTTAAAAGAACAAATTACCAACTTGTAAGGATGAATGGCTTCTAAAGTAGGACTTAAGTAAATTATAATATCATTAAGTTGTTTTCTCATGGTGAAACTAACCCCTTCAGAAAATTACTTGAGATGCTTAGTATGTTGAGTAGCTGAAAAGGAGCAAAGATAATTCTCATAAGTCGATTTACTCTATTCACCTCAAGTACGGCAAATGACTCTAAGTTTTCTGTAAAATTTTTGCCGAAAGCACTTTTCTGACCGCGGTTTTGCTATTCCAAGAAGATTAGGCTATTATACTTAAGAGAGAGAGGCTGATAAGGAAGGTGAAATAGTGAAAAGTTCATCAACAATAAAGTGATGAACACAGACAGCATAACATTGCAGATATCAGTGATAGACATAGACATCTCTTTCCCACGTCGAGTCAGAGCGGATGAGCATCAATTTCGAAGCTCCGCCTTCCATGCTGAAAAGTTACTCAATGGTAAATACATATTACATGAAAATACTACATCTCTCCATGACTGTCCGTGTAGCATCAATCCTATTTGAGTGCATAATAAATATGTCCCCTTTTTCATCACTTTTCACTCCTGCTCTCTCGCACCCTTTCCCCAGGGATGAAAGCCACCCTCTGCCCGAGGTCCTCGAGGGCACAGGCGTCATCATCTCTCCCAAACACTCACCCAACAAGATGGTGATACAATCTCCACTTAATAACGGATGAATGGGGAAAAAGTAATTTCGTTAATGGTGATTTTATTCATGTCAAAAACAGATTTGTCCTTTTTCACGCTTTGCTGTATTATAATATCACCATTTGACATCCCTATTAAATCCTCTCTCTCTCCCTCTCCCGCTCTCTCTCTCTCTCTCTCTCTCTCTCTCTCTCTCTCTCTGAGGCATTGGCAAATATTTTTCACCTTTCCTAATTCATTATACTTATCGCAAAGCTAGGGATTTTTTTCCTTTTGAAAGCAACCTCAGGAGAAACTGCATACACATTAAAAAGATAGAAATTTTAGCACTCCGTAATTCCTATTATACACATAAAATAATCAAATCTGTCTTTTTGTACCAGAAGACTAGTAGAAAATCAGGAACACAAACAATTTTCATAGTTAGGCTGATAATTTTATTATCAATCGCAGAGTTGCTTTCTTAACTTTGTATTTTAATCATTACAATTATATGTGGATTTGCATTAAATTCGAACAACAAACTTACGAGTTACTAATAGAAACGTTTTCTCATATATACAACGACTATGACTTACCAACAACTCGTATCAGAATAAACTTCTGAAGCCAAGCATATAATTTATTTTCCTAAAATCGTATCCTCACATTGCGAGACAGTTGAAAAATCCCAGCTCAGCGTAAGCTGAGCAGAGCTGTTTATTTATGTTTTTAGAAACTTACAATCACTCCTTTTTATTAATAATTTTTCTTCTCTTGTTTTCTAAATCCACATCTCCAGTTCTTCATTCACGAATCATTTTTCCAAATCCAACATAGGCTTGGTGATTCTTCGTTGCCATAGTTAGAATAGGCTTACCAATTGATTTGGTGTGTTTTCAAAATCATGGAACATTATATAAAATTGGCATGAAAATGGAGGATAAAAGCTAAAGCGAACGGACGAAAAGGAGGCTAAAGTATATTAAATATTTAATTCTCTCCTTGTGTATTTGTTTTAGGGTATAGATTTGTCTTGACAACTTTTCATCATTGATGGCTTTTCAGATTGGCTACACATTATCCAAACATACCTCGCTCGGAGAGTTTGCCAAGGAGACTTGTAAGACCCACATATGCTGTGACTGAGCTCGTGTGGGCTGAGTTTGGGCAATATTTGGCGAAAGTTTGATTGATTCCTTAAATTCTTAATGGATTTCGCAGGAACACACCGGGGGAGATGCGTGGAAGTCAGATGGTGTGCTCCAGTTCAGCCCGCGGTGGCCTGGAGTGGGTGGCATGGAGCGATAATCCATTGGTTGCTTGTTTGCCGAAAGCGTAGCGCTCCGGCACCGGGAGAAGGGTATTAATTTTGATATTATAGAATTAAATGGTGCAAATCCTAAGCACCGCCTCCACAATCTCACCAGCCGAATGATGCGCCACCATTGGAAATGCATGGCTTACAGAATCTCTTGGCCCGAGCCTCTCTCTCGCTGCATAGCTCAAGCCTGTGCTACCCCTCTTGCCGGCTCCCTTGGAAATAACACAATCGGAAGTACAAATCTCCGCTGTTTGGGTGGAGTCTAATGCATCCCTGGGCCGAACCACTGGCTGTCCCTTTCGCGCGCACTGTTGAAAGAGATGAGACGGACGTGGTGCTGGAATGTCGGCTATGCTCGACTGCAAATATTCACAGAGTGAAACTCTCCTCCAATTTAATAATAGCACAATCTTCTTTCGTCCACCGCGCGATTGAGTCGGATCGTGGGAGCTTTTTGCCATTAGGACGCCCTCAATCGTTATTCCTGGCATCCAGTGGGGAATTAACCTATAAGTGAAGGAGTGTGAATGAAAAGTGAATTTTCCTCATTTCTGTGATTTCGAGATTTTAATATTTCCCAATTATTTATGGTGGGAATATTAAATGTGTGAAGCTCAGAGACAAGAATTTCACTATAGCGTGGGAAAACAGTGAGGGATTTGAGGCTAATTCCTAGTGGTACGCAATATTCCACCATTCTGAGTTCACTGTGGCCATTTGGGCTCACGACGAAGCCCGAGTATCTGTCTCCGGCCTCACAGAGTCCCTGCAGTCTCACACCGTCGCCGCCCTCGTCCTCAGTGTCAATGGTAGAGACCACCACATCGCCGGGTATTCGGACCTGTGGGAGTCCCATCGTGGCTCCCATCACGGATTCTGCCTCGCCCACCAGTTATCTCACCACGGCGATGTTGCTGGGAGGTCAAGGATGCGGTTACTTGGGCCAGAGACTCCACTTCAAGCCAGACCGCCCAGACCAGACAGTCGTGCAGAGTCATACACCCTCGTCCAGGGTGTCGGGGTCATCATCAACATCCCTCTTCACTATCGACAGCATCCTAGCCCAGAAACCATCGCACAGTCCCACAAACTCCCCACCAGCAACTTCCGTGGGCAGCAGTCCACTTCGACACCCCGCCATGCTTCATCCCTCGAGACTGCACTTGGGACATCTGGCCGCCGCAGCGGCGAGCGGATTCGGCGCCACATCAGACTTCCTGGGTACGCATCTCCCCATGAAAAGAGAATGAATTTACGTAATTTTGTGCCCAAATATTATCGTAAATTATGATAATGCATAGCAATCATCCGTATTTTCCTCACTACCCTTTTCTCATTTTTCTCGTGGATTTTTACTCTCATGCTTTGCGTATTTTCCATCGCGAGGGTGGATATATTTTCGGTGACCAGACTACTCTATATATCACGTTGAAAAAGAAAAAAATGCCAGATCAAGAAGTTAAGACTAAGATCTCAGTTTAGATATCAATATTAAAATTTCTTGAATGTTATTCCTGTTATTCTTGTTATGTAGGAATTTGGTTGTTTATCATTGAGGTGAAAGGTGTGTTTCCACGCCTGATCACTTATGTACTATCTCGGTGCAGTGATTAAAAGTATAAATAATGCCTGAAAATCTTTTGAATGTCATAGCTTAAGTTCTCCTGGATTGTTGTATGTGGTCTGGTTCCCTTTGGTAAAAGGGAGTCTTTTCACCGACACCATCATACCTTGAGAATTCACCTCGGAGGATTTTGTACTCTTTGGCAATGTAAAAATGTAAAACATACATATTTAAAATCTTACTTGCGGAAAAATCCTGAGAGGTCTTTTGAATACATTTTTCCGCAGATTAATTTTTTACGCTGTCTTGGATAGAAGTTTACCACGGGAGAGATTTTGTTATTTTAAGAAGTTGAATGAAATGTGTGGTATATGTGGGCACTGATGGGATGGGATTTTTGCCCTCAAGTGGGATGATTATGTGGGGTGTAAATTCTTTTTTGTGCGTTCCCTCTCCTCTTGAGTGTAGAGATTTTTATATTTTGATAAGAACATGAGAATCCCGCCGGGAGAAGAGGGGGTGTCGGTTCTCCTTTCGCCCGCAATTTGTACACACAAGAGGGTGTATTTAGAGAAGATTTCTGCCAGGTCGTCTGGTTGCAAAATGATGCCATGTTTATTTAGAATTAATCCGTGAGATTTTGCCGGTTTTCCACCACCAATTCTCGCACTTATCAATTTAAAATTGCTCTGATTATGGTTTTTGCTTGCGTATAAGCAGGAGCAAATCTGTTTTCATGGGATTGAAACGTTGGATAATGTATTTGATTCACATGAGAATTCCCTTTAGCGCCAAATAATAGCAAATTATTATGACACAGAATGTTTTCACGTTTTTCCTCTCAGTATGTTAGTCGTGTGTAAACGATTTCTTTTTATTGAATAAGCAGGAAAAATCACAATTGCTTTTGTTATACTTGCCCTCCACCATACAGGGAATATTCAACCGACATAAGAACACAATCCTTAGGAAAATTCAATGAATCGTTTATTTAAATCGGCAAATAAAAACAGTGAAACCATACGCGATGTTGTATTTATTATTCCTCGTTGGGATGATTATGCATGGTAGCATCCAGATATGCGTATTGTGAGATGAGAAACCTTAAAAATTATTCTTTAGCAAAATTTACCATAAGCACATGAGGAAAAATGAACTTTCCCTCCGTCAAACTCACACGAATTTAACCCCATGACATGCTGAATGGGAACATTTCGATGGTGAATAAGAATCTCCCACCCTCTCGCATTGAATATTATCTCCCCATGAATGAAGCATTTTAAATGCAAAAGAAAACAGTATTGGTTAATTGAATAACAACCATCTGCCCTTGGAAATCCTTTGGTAAGAGGCTGACGAGACGGTGTGGAAAAAATCAGAACGATAGGAAAATACATGCTGGAGAGATTCCACTAAAAGCATCTCTCTAAGGACTTTATTCTTTTATCTATACGCCCTTGTTAGTTCTTTTCTCCTTGGGTTCTCGTCTAAATGTGTTTGCATGGGGATTTGTTAGTCCACTGTAGAGTAAACAAACGGGAAATCATCCAATACGTTCATCCCTTAAATATTTTTATTTTGTTCTCTTTTAGTGGCATATCCAAGTTTCTACCCAAATTATATGCACGCAGCGGCAGTGGCTCACGCTGCTGCTACCCAAATGCAAGCTCACGCCTCGATGAGTCACCACGGTGGACTTGGGGGGCCTCCGCCAAAGCGGAAACGACGCCACAGGACGATCTTCACGGAGGAGCAACTGGAGCAATTGGAGGCGACTTTCGAAAAGACTCACTATCCTGATGTCGTCCTGCGGGAGCAATTGGCACTTAAAGTGGACCTCAAGGAGGAAAGAGTTGAGGTAAGTTAAGAATTATTTTTTCATCTTTACATCATCCTAAGTCAATCATGTTGAGATTCCTAAGCCGTGACGGATATTACAAGAGGACATTCCATCTCGCTGGTCAATAGTGAAGGAAAGAACTACCTGAAAGAAAGATGAGTTTAATACTAATAAGCTACTGTTTAGCTGAGCAAACAAGACATTTGTGTCCCCACTTGAGCTCTTCTAACTCGTTCTTGCGTATTCCAAGCTGACCAGGGTGAAGAAAAATATTAGACAAATCACCAGAGTCGCTCGATGGCACACCTCAAGTGAGAATAAGTGCAACTAAATATAAATTCATTCATTCTTTCTCATTTACCAGCTCGAGTGGTTATTAAAGATGCGCATTGTGAAAATTGAGAGGCCACTCATCTTCACTATACACTGCGTAGGTCTGGCTGAGGCTCTAAATGAGAGGAAGACTTGTTTTAAGAATGAGAAATGGATTAGGTGTATTTATAATTCTCACCCAAATGACAACACTATGTGTGGTCACTTGTCCGCTGCAGAGTGGCTGGAAATATGATGTCTCATCTCACTACTTGACTATAACTTGCAAAGTTATGCTTACATTGTCTTTATAAAGGTAAGAGCAGATATTGTATGTATTAAGATTGAGGCAGTATCAGACAAAATGTTTTTCGGAGTCAAGGATTCAAATCGGGTTGCGATTTTTACGAATTTGGCGTATTCTATAAAAATATAGGTCAGATATAGAGGGGAAAACCAAATAACGATGTTATTGAAAAGATCCGTAACATTTTATCCGATATTCCGTTTAAAAATGCTCTTGTTTAACAATAAATTTTAACGTTCTTCTAATTATTACAAACAGAGATTGTCTTTAAAATATTTTTAAATCATACTTAAGCTGCAGGAAGTGAGAAACATGATCCGTTCAAAGTAACCCACTCTCCCCTAACCATAAATACATATAAGCATCCCTTTTAAGCCGCCGGGAAATAAGTTTTCCACCCTCAAATTTGTCCTTGGGAAATGATAATTAATTACAAATACAATATGTTTGTCACAGAGTGACACTCTTAATATGTCTAATCTTCTTAGCTTTATTATATCAACACCAATTTGTCGCGTTCCCTTTTGAAAGGGGTACAGCTTATTTCATTTCCACGAAAAAGCTTTTAATATACATATGTAAGTTAAAGCATCCATTTTGTAAATGTAAGCAACGTACTAGTTAGAAAATGTTGAAAAGCTCCGCCTTCATTTTCTGACATTCTCATTACAATTCGGCGAGGAATCGCCTGTCCTTCTCCATCCTTTGCAGACATTCGGAAGAGAGAGACATCCATGTGACAATTTGCCAAACAAGTCCCTTCAGCCATCCTCAATTCCACATTTTCGTCTCACTGAACAACAAGCGCTCCCGTGTATAGACAATGAACATGATATTACAACCATGCGGAGACAATAAATATTTCAAGACGAGTCGCAATAATATGTACATAAAGGAGTCATAAGATGTCATTGATGTTTTCCTTTTGCTGCTTCACTCTTAATAAAAATAAATTCAATTTTTTCCCTCGGAAAGTTTCTCATCTCACTACACAATGAGAGAGAGAGATGAAAAGATGGGTTATTTTTGTAAATTTTACATAAAGTTTCTTGTGGACTTTTCTTCTAAAAATACCCTGAAGGAACAAGTTTTGTTCTCTTACGCTCTAATTAAGATAAAAAAAAATTGTGTAATATCTTTTCGGGTAATTTTTCTCACACTCGGTAGTTTCCTTTAGAGCCATTAACTTCACTATGAAGAGAGTATAATGTTTCATACAGTTATATGAACATACATACATATCATAAGTACGGCATCTGCGAAAGCCCTACAATCTGGTGAGACTAAAATCAAAATAGGATCATAATCTAAATATCGAGAGATGGGAAAATATAGACATTCGTCGGAATGTTAGTTGATTTAGTAAATGGAGTAAATGTTATCTCAGTGGGTTTGAATTCGAAATGATACCGACGGATTCTGAATAAATAGCAAATGGATGAATTTATGGTATTTTGCCTTTCCTCGTCATTTCACAATTTTCCCCCATTTTCATCTGCACCCCAAAAACCACAAGAGAACGCCCCTCGCCCGATCCCAACATCTATATAGCTCTCCTACGAGTATATGTATGTGTAATATACATAAGATGTAAATGCTGAGAGGAATAATTTCATCTTCCTTCATTTGTTATTATTATTCTACTTTTCCAGGGCAAAAAGGATATTATGTGTATATATCTGATGGCTGGATATTCAGATGATAGCAGAGTTAATTCATGAATCGGATATCGCCTGAGGAACGATCCTCTTCACTTACTCACCCTTCCAACCACTCTTCCGCCCTCTTCTGCATTTTTTTCTCCTTCACCACTTCATCAGTCAGTCTTTTCACATCATTCATGGTACAGCAGATAAAAATTGTCATCTGCCTTTTGTTTGACTGTGCACTGTCAAATGTCTCTTTGATATTATTTTGATGGTGTATAATTTCGGTAATTTTTCATAATAAATTACAAAATTCCTCCCTCCATTACTCGGCCATCATGGCAGTCTGCAAATTAAGATAACACTCATATCCGGTGGAAGAATAAAATGAAATTTAATCTTATTATCCGGCATGAGAGTTGTGCAAACAGTGCGACTTTTTTCCCGATCAATTTTAGATGAGGTGGTTAAAAAATACAATCCACGGACGAGCCAGAACTGCCAGCAAGAACCTCGCTTAGGGGATGATTTGGCGAAAGCCTCGTTACACGCCCCAAATGCTGATGGTCGGGTCAAATTTTGTGTGTGTATTATACATATATTTTAACCCGACCATCTCATGGAAAGCACAACGTACGGCGAATAGCAGCGCTCGAGCCGTGGACGTCCAATCTCATCACAAATTTATGAAACGATACATGGATTAAACGCAAAGTAATATAATAACGTTTTGCTGATTGAAGGGGTGTTCAGAATACGCTGCACACACGCTGTATTGTGCGCCAATATCTGGGGAAAACTCGCTAAATATGCAACTCCCGCCCGTAAAATTGATAGAATCCCAGAGCGGGGTGCATAATTGGGAATTTATAATAAATTTTCCGGGGATATTTGGTTTTAGAGAGTGCCTAATGTGCTCATATGCAAAGCGGAAATTGATTTTAGTCACCAAGATGAATATAATGGGATAATTAATAGAGTTTAGTTTAATTATGCGGTGATAAGTATTGAAAGTTGTCACCATTCTTCACTTTGCATCATAGTAATGTATAAGCAAAGCGGAAAAGTATGCAGAGAATGACGGTCTCAAATATTAATTTTGCAATATTGTTCAATTAGAAACTTTTGCATTAAGTTTTAGACATGAGGCGAAGCGAAGAGACTTATAAAATGAAATTAAAGTGGATGTTGTGCTTGATCAAAAGGGAGTGAAAAAATCTGTCTTACATTTTCACTCAAATTTTCCTGGCAAAAATAATTAATTTTTAGGAAAATTCAAGTTAAAATTCAAATTAATACAATTTTCTTCATTAATTTACCTTTCGAATGGCAATGTTTCTGAATTACCACAAATTAATTCTGTTCATAACCTGCCATGTCGTAAGCATTGAGACTGTTTTTTGCCACACATCTCAGACTAACTTCTTATTGTTCTCATTCCAGTGCCTCCTTTATCGAATTCAATCTCTTGCGGTTCAAAAATCGCCTTTTTACAGCGCCACCCCCAACCCTGAGGGGTGGCACAAAAATCTGATCATAATATTCTGTGAAATAAAATCTGAAGCTGAAGAAAAAACACGATGAAAAGAACGAGGAGGGCGGATGTGTGTGGATAAAGTTTAAAATAACAATTCCTAATTAAATGATTGCGTGGAGATTCACAATGGGGCGTTATTATAAAGTTGTTTTGTATGAATTTCATCGTATAAAAAGCTGTTGGGCTGGTTGAATGGCAAAAGTGAGGTTGAGGAGGGAAAGAAAACAAAAATTCAATAATCACTTTGCAACTGTTAGATGGCTTCTCATCTGGGTTGTTCGAGTGTTACAATTAAATGTGAGACCAGAATAGTGGTGTGAGGACCGAGGATGGTTTCTTTTGATAATTTTGAAGAAAATTCTCCCACTTTTCTCGACTTTGTTACATTCATTCGCATTTCTTTGTGTTTCCACATTTTCCATTTGTCGCGTTTGCGAAGTTAATTAAATACAGTTATTCACAAAATCGAGATACACACTCTTAGATTAAAAGGCATTACAAATATACATCGCAGCAGTGATATTATGCGCCATCCCTTCGATATCTCTGCCATATTGTACATATTAATTGGTAAACGAATTTGCGTGTCTCTGTTGAAAGGATGACAATGTAATTTTTAACCATTCTTCGAAATGGAAACCTTTGATGTTATTCACAATGTCAAATTAAATTCCCTTTATGCTGGGCATTGATCAAAGGCTTATACCAGTATTTGATGGAAAATGTAACATCATTTGCTACCTGGCTTGGATGCAATGCAATAAATTCCACACTCAAACCATTTGGAGCCTCCCCGTCTGATGGTATCCACGGTAACTCTGCCAGGAGAGGCGTCGTACCAGCATTCGCCCAGATAATGCAAATTTCCCCTCGAGGTGATTGTCTCTTCGCCCAATCTCACTGTCACTCCAAGAGACAATTGAACATTTTGTCTTCTCTCTCTTGCCTTTTTGTTACTTGACTGATGAATATTCCCTATAATGAAGAGTGACAATTTGCAATTTGCTCACATCAAATCTGTGAGAAGGAATAGGATCATATTAGTATTCGAATACACCACCCAATAAATTGCAATTTTCTCGCTAAAAGACCATCTTCAGGCATAGTCCTGGGCATTCCGTATGGAATTAAGAACTTCAGAGGGTGCCGACAAGGGCGGCACGGTCTTAACTTCTCAGACCGCATATGAGTTAATTCATCCGACTTAAGAACATTATTGTGAATGTTTCACGATCCACTCGAGCAATGAAACGACAATTTGTGGACTCTCAAGGACTGGCCTTATCACTTGTTGGTTGTTTCATCACCATTCAAATATTAATCCTCAGCACAACAAATATGTGAACAGGACGTGTGAAGGTGTAAAAGAATAAGTTTTCTTGGCAAACATTTAATTTGAAATATTTATGAGCCCACGGCAATTTAATTATTACTGGTTAGAGAGCACCTGTGACAAAAGCTCCTGTGGGATATTGTGAGGAATAATTTTAGTTTTATCCAACTTATCACCTTCTCATTTTCCCTTCTATTTCACACTCTCCAGCTTAAAACAAGGTTGTATGGGCGAGATTAAATAAATAACAGTGGCTGGTCGTGACATTATTCGTTTATGTATTTGATTAAGCAAAGAACAAATGTATCCAGAATGATGATAATGAAAGTCTTTATGAATATAGCAGAAAAAACTGAAATATGATATTACATTCTTTTGAATTTATGTTTTCTATCTCGAATAGTGACATAACTGCCTAAATCTAGATTTTGCTGAAATATATGTAATGTACAAAAAACGCTTATGAATATTTGCATAACATATTATTATGATAACTGCCACCATTTTAATCACAATGCTTCATTTATTTTTCGGAAAACGAGCATATGTATTTTTTCAAAAAATATGACATTCAGTTTTAATTAAAGATAAACATTATAGGGGAAAACAAAAAAAATCATGTAAAATTTTTAAATTCATGTGTTATGGCTTTATGCGAATTGTCGAATTTGTATACTAATTGTCTCGATTCACAGTCATATAAGACGAGTGTGAGCTGTGAGGACGGTACTTATGGGGCTTTTAGCCCTCATCTTATCCCCGGGTGCAATAACATGTCAAGGTGATGATGGGGAAGAAGTGAGATAGGGAAGGAAGTGGGATTTCCACTAGGGAGGACGGCGAATGCCCCGAGGTTTTCTGGAAGGAATATAAACTCCTCTTTCCACCTAAACTACATGATCAAATGCAAACATTCTAATAATAAAAGCACCGCACAGTTGTGGTTGGAAAATCCTTTTCGAGAGTGTGGGCCTGGAAATTTCTCAGCATCCGCACACTTGAAGTGAGCAGTTTGTGCCATTAGTAATTTATTTTTCGTGTAATGTTTGCTGTTATTTAATTAGGAAAATTGATATATTTAGCTATCCTATACAAACATGCAGGGCGTATGTAGTTAAATTTATTATTATTCAGCCATAAGTGTGCGTAGGGGATGAATTTCCCCCAATGTTGTTTCAGTAAATGCATCCGGGGATTCACCAAGCGACGGAGGTGGAAAAACGGACAAACGCTGGCGGTTTTGAGCAAGTGCGATGTGCACTTACAATGTATAATAAAATGGCCTGCGGGAAAATTAATACGCACAAGCACCTGATTTGTGCATGATAGAGTGTTTAACTGTATTTAAAACTAATAATTCCCACCACCAATTCAGGGGTTTTGAGCGCATATGAGAAATTCCGTAATGAGCGGAATGTTTGCTTATGGCGTGAAAGAACTATAACAACAAAATAATGTAGAATTTTCAACTTTGCCTGCGTTATGCTTTCGGATTAATCATTAATCTATTCCGATTAGGTTGTTTCATCAAATTTTTGGAAAAGAGAAAGCAGAAAAAGAGCGAATGAGGGTGAAATGTGGATGAAAAAGCATCTGGCTGTTTATTTTTGCATGAGAATTCATGTGAAAAATTTGACAAGCTCTCAATCCTTTTTGTGGCCTTTTGTGACTGCACCCGGATTACAAGGGTGGTCTCGTTTAAATCTGCCAGCTCACAAAAATTGATGCCTATTTGGCTGCCTCTCTTACGAGCCTTTCTTCTCACCGAAAACATACACCTTGACAATCAAGGCAAGCAATTTGTCTTCCCACTATGCTGGAGATTATTTACCTTTCCTTGTATCCTTACTCCTCCTCTGGCAACTGGACAAATTGCAAGGATACCATTTCACATAACATGTTGTGCAGCCTCAAGACAAAAAACCAGGAGACATTATTTGCCAGTACTTAAGAAGCTAGCCGGGAAAAGAGCATCCCTTGAGTTCTCTTTTGGCTCGCGGTTAAATTTCTTTTTTTCTTCCATTTCTTCAGGTTTGGTTCAAGAATCGTCGGGCAAAATGGAGGAAGCAGAAGCGCGAGGAGCAGGAGAGGCTGAGGAAGCTTCAGGATGAGCACAGCGGCAATGCTGGGAGTGTCTCTAGTCTCAAAACTGAAGATTTGCCTTCTCCAGTTCTTCCCCTATCCACATCGATTCACAACTTTAGTGATGCTGAAGATTCATCTGACTTGGAAGTTGCCTAAGTTTCTCAAAAGATATCCTTTCATCTTCATAACCTTTGAGTTTTCCCCACTCCCTTCTTTGTCAATCGTCGCTCTTTTCAAGTGAGAATCTTTGTTAGGTAATTAAAATGACCATAGGAAATAAGAGGATATATTTAAAATTCCGCTATAATATTAAATGTGATAAAAGAGACGTAAAAAAATTTTATTTACCACCCGAAGAGACACTGAAAGAATAGATAAATTAAAAGTCATAAGTGTACATTTCACCAAATTTATCACAATTTATTAGTCAAATAGAGTAAACACTACCACTTGTACAGCAGATACTCAGAAATAACTCAATTAAAAAATCTGTATGTTTACTGTAGGAAACAACCATCCAAATAAATACTTTTAGCATTAAATATAATAAATATCATGCAAAACATTAAGTATTGTTTTCTTCTTTGTCACGCACACTGTGTCTGTAGAAGTGGATAATGTTTTCCTGCCACTATGGTGGAAAATAAAGACTCCGACGGCAACTCGTCTGACATAATTGGAGAATGCTATTTGGTGAGAGGGAGCCAACCAGCGTCGTCGCAACGCCATCGCGCAGTTCTTCGTCTGTGCTGACCAAGGATAAAGTTGATATCATATGCAGAATAAATAGGATTTGTAATAAAAATTTATTAGGGCAATATTTCACATTCTTAGGGCCGCAGATTTTTTAAACATCTTGAACTATTTAATTAAGAAAACTCTCTGAGTGTCATTCGAATACTTTTCTAGTTTACATCTTTTTGGCAATGATAAATACGGTTTATCTAATACAATTGGGCGGGGCTTCAAGGAGGGCGGGATTTAAAATAATATCGCTTTGTGGATTTTACGCGATATAGGAAGCTTTCTAAGGAATATATTTCCACAGACAGCATTGAGCAGTAAAGTTTTGCGAAAGTTGGTCATATATTTTTCTACTACCCCAAACATAACTTAATGTATGTAATCTTAAATAATATCCTGAAATCCATAAACATTTTACAATGTCAGCACATTCTGTGAGCTGAATTCAGAGTCTGAGCACACGGAATTATGAATACATATTTTCAACTTTTGAGGGGTTATATTAAATAAATAGGAAGGAGCCAGAATTTGGAAGGCAGCTCCGGAGGTTTCCAAATGGAAGTCAACCATTTGTAATATTGTGTGTATATTTGGCTTTCCTGACCCATTATTTGTTCGACTCTTGAGTTACTAAAGACCGGAAAATGTGCTGTTTGTCTATCATTTCGCAGTTGCTGCGCTGCCAGAGTCAAGAGAGAATGAGAGAGAATTTGGAGGAATTATGCTCCAGAGGTAAGAATATTATTTGTCCATGTCAAATGTTTATGGGGAAATTTAAAAAGGCGCGCGTTGTTATAAAATTTTGAGAATATAATATTTCTTAAAATGTACATAAGATCGTCTATATGTAACGTTCCCTATTTTTTATGGAATGGCGAAGAGTTATTTATTGCTTTTAAATGAATTTTTGAGAGCATATAAAATTAGCATAATCGTGTTCCAGCGTAAAATTTTAATATTTTCACGAGCTTCTCAATGATGGTCATCAACTGGAAGCTTGAGTAAATACATGAAGAAAAAGAATAACTAATCTTTCTCGAGAGAAGTCAAAATATTTAATCTCTCGTGGTGTAAAATAAACACTGAGATATTCGACAAAATTTTTGATCACTTGAGAGCCCCTCTCTGGGATATTTTGTCTTCACCACGCAGCACAAAAGCCAGTCCCTTTTGAAAGTGCGTTGGTCCTTGTTTGCCATCAACATGTGCCTACAATTTGTTCCCATTTCCGTGAATCACGCCAGAGAAAATTGCTTTCCATCCTCTTCTTTGGGCAGGCAAGCCGTACAATTGAAATTTGATCATCTTATATGACATTCCCGGCCACAGAATAGCGAATGGATGGAGAGGACTTTGAATATATTTGCATATGCGGGGCATCCCTGTTGTCACAGTTAATTTCATACATATTTATACGCTTCTGGGGAGAGGCAGAGACACACCCCCAAAGAATATTTGTCCAGATATTTGATTTTCATGAAACCTTTATTCTCTGCCAACATTGTTTTTGGAGTAAGACGGACGTCTTGCAAAATAAATCCATCACAATTCTCTCAAAAAAATCTCCTCAATTAACAAGACCCCTTTTTATTCTAATCAGAAATTATATATATAAAGCAAGCATTCTGGAGTATCAATTGAGAGGTGTAAAGAAAAGAGATCAAGATCTGGTCAAGACAAGTGGTTGAGTGCATTTCTTCAACTACTGTCTTGATTTTGAGATAACAGTAATAGAGCTCAAGATGAGGCTTGATTATATGTATACGCATCAGATCTTAATTTGACAAAAAAAAGATGAAGTGAAATTGTTTGTGTGAAAAGCATCAATAAATATGCACATATATCGTGTAAATGTTTGAGGACGAAAGGGACCAAAATGACTCCCATTCAATTCCCTGGAGCGCCAATGGCTCAATTGAAACGCAGGAATTGATTAAAAAATTGCATTTCAATTATGAATCACATTTAGAGTGCAAATTAAAATCTTTGATTGGAAACAAATGTAACAATCTGGGCAACGCGCAATTGTGGGTGGGTGGTCAGGGAAAATCGCAACACCTGCACGAGCACATAAATTGCCCTGATGGCGGGAACTTTTGCTATGTGGTATGAGGCTGACCAGCCAATTCGACGTGCATTTTTGCACCACCTCCACAAATGGGGGCCACCAATGCACCAAATTCAATTTGCACAATAAACATTAAACGAGATTCGTAGGAAAATATTTATGAAATAATTTTGCAGATGTTACGCTTCAATAAATTTTGGGACTGTTCATTATTTTTTTCGTTGATGAAATGAGCAATTTTTCAAAACTGCCATAAATTGCAATTTATTACGCTTTTATAAGCCATATAAAATAATTAATTTGTTATATATATATCAAATCTGACTACAACTTTTCTCTGTAGCTAGATCATTAAGAAAGTTCTTAATCAGGTCTGAAATGAAAGAAGAATTTCACCTGGACTCCCCTGAAGTGTCAGACTAATCGTTGCTCATGGAAAGAAAGGTAATCAAGTAAATTGCTTTCCGTATTATTAGCAAGTCCGGGGCCTCTAATACCCTGCAAATACGAGATATATTCAAATCCGAAAAAGATTATTTTGTAAATGGTGACATTTGTGACACGATTTTACACTGATTTACACTCGTAAAAGCCTAATACCCTCCCATCCGTGATCTGCCCTCCCTTGTAGACGCAACTTATGATGAGAACAACCCTCCTTTTAATGTTTCAGCCTCCCTGCCTCAATCCTCTTCCCTTCAGGGAATATATTTGTTAAACATGTTTCACTGAGCTTCGCATACGATGACAATGAAACTGAATTGTTACTGGTCACAGGGTTTGCTTGAAGTTATAGGTACATTTATTGAATCTTTAGCGACATGCAGAAAAATTTTATTAACTCAACATTTGAAAAGGCAGAATTTGAGAGAAGTACTATTCTTTCACGTATAACTTTATGATTTCTCTGTGAGAGACCGACTTTTCTTCATGTGATCTTCTTGCGCAGTACTTTCATGTGGATTTTCATGTTTACCATGTTGTGTGGATCCCTCGTCCCGTAGGCATGTTTGCATCCTTTCGTCATATTCCCTGGCATTGGAGGTGAATTGTGATTATGATCCAGATGAAATATCTATTGATGAAATCAATTGCACAAACAGTGAAAGGACACAGAATGGAATTGAATTGTGTGAGACTTGGAAAAGCTCCTGCATTGGCTCTTAGGTGAGAGCCTTCAGGTATTTGTTCTGTGGAAGAATATACCTTCCCACCTCTTTGTCTGGCTGTACGGCGGGAAGGGAAAGAGACTGGGGGCACCATTTACATTCAACTAATATTAAGTTTACACATTTAATCCTCTGTGATTAATGGACACACAAACGCCGCCCAGAAGCTATTCTGCTTCACATTGGAGCCAAACAGTCTGCAGCATTTTGAATATAGACTTCAATATGAAACTTAATTGTCCGCATTCGGAGTAATAATGTAATGGGTGTTCACATGTGAAGGAGTTCTTGGGGCGCATTTTGCAAATTACTCAATATTCAGCTCACTTCCGAGTCATTATATGTGGGGAAGTGTTTCTGACAGTTGCAGCATATCTTTTAGAGCGCTTAATTCCTTCATCGCGTTACCAACATTTTTCTTCCTGGAATATTTATTCATGCACGGATTAAAATATTTGCTTACATGCCATAACAATAAAAAAATCTAGCATGGTTTGAGCCCGCCGACCGATTCGGCGGGTAGATCTGGCTGGATAATCCCGGCCAGGAGGGCGAGAGGAAGGGCCCCTGAGGAAATGCCGTGAGCTTTGCTTCCTCTGCGGCCCCGATATCGAAGGGCTGCGATGTGAAATTTCCAGAAGAAGATTAGCATAATCCTCCGGCCAATGGGAAGGATCGTGATTGTAAGTGAGAAGGCTCACAAATTTACGAGCGATCATTGTTCAGCTGTCCATCACAGAATTTCGCTAACAACATTATATTGTACTGAGACACACACAACTGACTTAGGCTGGAATAAACGAGAGGTAATGAGTAAAATGAACACAACGCAGAGTTCATATTTTTTACCCCTCTGTGCTCTAAATCTCTCCTCTTTATTGCGTGCATTGAATAGGGAAACCAACATTGAGATTTGCCTTAAATAATAAAGTTTCCTTTTTTCCCTTTTTCACACAAACAATTGGCGGTGAAGAATGCAGAAATACTTTGAGCTCAATTTCAAATGTCTTTTTGGTCAGTTCTCAATTGACGGTTTCTCAAAAGTGCGGCCATTCAGTGAAATTGCTACCGTGTAATCCCAAGGCAGGCCAAAATGAGCAATTGCCTATGAAATTGCTTTCTCACTCCTATTTTTTCATCTTTCTAGGGTAATTTACCGAGAGGCCAGAAAGTCTTCCACTTCAAATCGTGAGCAATGCACGGTTTGGACCTTTACTAAGAAAAAGCAACTCTGTTGGACGATAGTGCAGTGACGACATTTCAATTATTGATTTTCCTCAATGTTAGAAACTGAGGAAAATTTGAACTAGGAAAAAACAGAATAGTAAAAAAATGTATTTTCGTAAGTATATATTTATTTTTTTGTTGTAAAGTAATGTCACAAAATAGAGCTAATATGAATTAAAAGAACGCTATGGATCGAATTTATACAATTTCATTCTTTGATGAACTTAGCAGTCTATAAAATTAGTTTGTTACTTGTTTAAAATATTATAAATTCTTCGTTTTCTGTTTTTACTGTCTGATGAGTGTGTAAATTTTATAAACTTACTAAAAGTGAAAGGGAAGAACAGAAATACAGTAAGTGAATTCTCTGCATAAACTACACTGAGAAAAAAATCCGACTAGAATAAATCTTAATATATCTATTTCAGACGGATTTTTTGCAGTGTTTTTGAACACTTTTCTAAATACGCTATATTTTCTAATTTTACTTTTAAATATTACAATTAATAACCGCACTTGTTATTCTCTATTTATTGCTATCGATAAGTATTTTTAATATTCTCCTTATTAGACGCAGTGTAAACTCGAGTGTAAATTTATGTGTTTTAGACGAAAGTAAGATGTTAATGGCTATAGTAAAAGAAGCCACTGATCTCGAAAGGCCTCTCTTTATATAAATTTTTCACCACAATTTTCTTTCAATAAGTACACACACGTAAAGTTGATTAGGCGAAAAAAATTAGGCACATATTCTTTGTCGTTTTTCTTATTCGATACTTTGAAAGGCTTTTGATTTACGAAAATGACTTGGCAGAAGGGATTTTCCTCCCTTTAAATATACTTTTGATTTTCGGCACATTTGTTAAGGGTTTGTTTTTAAAAGAAGACAACTTCCACACTTTTCCACCTTTCTACACAACAGAAACAACATCCTTTGGTTAATTACATTCCAAAATAAAACATTTTCCTCCCAATTGTGACTCTTTCCTCGTTTTCACGCTATCGTTGACTCTGCGACTCTATTTACCAGCGTAAGTTGGATTCTTGAACGTAGATGTGGCTTGTTTGTAAATTGGATTTTCACCCTGAAAAGAGACATGGAAGTTATTATTGTAAAATGTCATCCAAAGTAAAAATTATTCGTATTCCTTACCGTGTCCCATTTGGCCATCATTCTCTCTTTTTCAAATCTGGCAAATTCCCGTCGATCATTAATTGTGGTCAAGAGTTTCCACAACAGAAGAATGGCCAAACCGATGAGGACAATTGCTGCAATTACACCAAGCACAACGCCAAGCATGAATACTTTCGGTGGACACTCTCGCTCTTCTTGTGCCCTCACGACGACTTTGTCATCATCGCGATCCGTGTAGACAAACTGGAAACGACAGTCGTCCTCATCGTAGAATGTGCATAGCACCTCATCCTTCGTCTCATCGGCCGAGACAGTCTCTTCAGGAATTGGTGTGAACAGCGTACAATTCTTCGCGCAGAGATCCTTGTCATCTCCCATCGGTCCTGTTTGGTACATCTGGCATTGAACGCAGTCCTTGAACTCATGACACCTGCCCGAGCAAGTGGGACACTTTTCGCAGTATCTCCCTGAGTATCGCCCCTCATCGGTGATCTTGCAATTGCACGTGCCACACACACATTCGCCATTCCCGGAGCAAATCTCACCGTCACCATTTGGATTGATACAGGTGTCATTGGAGGCCCGACAGTCGCAAGCAGTACCCGTCCATCCTTCTCGACACAGACACACGCCGCATTGGCACACTCCATGGTCGGGGCCAGAGCACAACAAACCATTGTGACGATCGCACGAGAAATTGTCACACTCGCAGAAGCTTCCGGATATGACTTCCTCAGGATTCGGACGTTTCTCGCACTCACACATGCCGCACACACACGTTCCTCGGCCACTGCAGTCAACGGTGGAGTTGTCTGGACGACAAGCACGATCCCTTTCGATCTCACTGTGAATATCCAGCACGCCACACTCGCAATTCCGCCCAAAGTACTGATCGTAGCATTCGCAGATGCCACACTTGAGAATACCATGGCCATTGCACTCTGGAGCAAATGGTCTGTATCCAGGATGACCATCGCGCTCACACTCGCAGTCACAGAGCATTTGGAGATCAACTATTAAGCTCTCATTAATGCCCACAGGATAAATCTGTAATATAATATCATCAATATGTGTTTCATAGTGTAAACAATTTCTAAATATACCTGGAATGTCTGGAACCAATCTCTGGGATTTTGTGGACAAGATTGCACTAGAATATTTGCACGGAATTCCACCATATCGCCCACTTTGAGGCCATCGCACTTGTTTGTCTGCACCATTTTGCCACCATCAAGGCAGGAAGAGTAGTAAGTAATCTTAACGGCACTCGTGGCATTGTCCTTCATCACAACAGAAGAGGAAATTTTCTGAAAAACATAATAAGCAACAAGCGATTAAAAATTAAAATTAAAGCACATAATTTTTCATGGTGTTTGCTAACTCGTTACACAAAATCTATATTCTTTTCCAACCCAAAAAAGTTCTTCTTTATCTAAATCTTATGATCATCTATGCCATATTACGTATAAAAAGTTCAAGTTATCTTATCGCAGTTAGCAAAATAAAGAAGGATGTACATATAATAACTACTCACATTGTACTCTTCTTCGACCAATTGCACAACATTGGAAGAATTGGACGACAGCTCAGCAGCTGAAGATCCCTCAATATGTTCGGATAGTTTCTTGTAGACCTCAATTTGCTGCTTTGTCACGGCAAAGATGACATTTATGGCATTCTGCTTTACTTTCAGATTGATTTGCGAGATGCTAGGATAGTCTTGAATTTTCGAGTGTGTGTATTCGCCCCGTTTGTCCAGATGACACTCGCCATCATTGGGTGTAATCACACCACCCAATTTTCCATCACCAGCATAATGGAATCCAGCGTCCGTGGAAAATACCAGCAGTCTTCTGGCTTGTTCTCGCCATCCGATTTGATCGCGACAGGCGATGGCTTGCATTATAGCATCAAAACCACCCTCAGGAGCATCCAAGTTGCCAGAAACACTTGCTTTTCCCACTTCCTCCTGCAAAGATTTATCAAAGGAAATGAGCAAAAAATATCAACGTGATAAAGCAGATAAGAAATAAACTCATTGGTAATCTTCTGATAAATTAACACACAATTCCACTACAGCCATTTACCAGTTTATTACACAGAACGGAAGCTACTCAAAAAAGCATGCAGTGTACTCCAGATACTAAGAAAAACAACTTTTTAAATCATAGAGAAAAACAACAGCAGAACATGAATCAGAAAGTTATTGAAAAATTAACCAAAAACCAACCTTTTTAGTTAGAGAACACAGAATGAGGTGATTTTCATATAGTCAGCGATTGTGTATATGATTAAGTGATGGGAAAAGCTGCCAGAATCCTGACAGGACATTTTAGGGGCAAAAGTAAATGTGAAAAATAATAACAATGGAATATTTGTTGGTCTGTAAAGTGTGATCGGGATGCCTAATTGCTAATATGATGGTTTTATTGAGCCAGGATTGAGTTGCGGGATGTCAAAATAAGGTCAAAAAACGCGTGTAAGTGTGGACGCAAATCCACAATTTAGTTGCACTGGTTTTCTACTCTCTTTGCCAAAGATGTTCACTTACGGAGAAATAATGTGTATCCTTACTAAGTCTCATAACATTTCTAAAGCCATACGGAGCAGCACAATTGTCACACGGTGCTAGCAAACTGTATGATAAATACAAGAATAAAATTGATAATATGCGTCACATTTTCTTTTATCTGTGTTGCTCTTCCAGCATATTTGCCTTTCTTTGTAACACAATTCCAAGATGCAAGAAATGCGATGAAAAATTTCACTGAAACTGAGAAATTCTTCGACGAAATGAAGAGTGATGATACATTTTCATTGCCAATTTCCAAGAGATAGACACATTGAGAATAAAGACAGAATAGCACAAGATATCAACAACAAATAAATGAAGAAGGAATGTAGATAGAATAGAGCGAATAACATTGATGTGTGATATTGAGAAATCCCAATTACACATTCATTCTGCATAATCAATCCCACAAACGTTCCGTCAAACTATAAACATGCTTTTCTCTACAGCCTTAATCCTTTTATCTCTCTTGCCAAGATGATAAGAAGAAACACAATCTACAACCCTCTATAATCTTCAAAGAAACAACTTCAATTCGTTTCCTCAACACAGCTAAACTTTAGTGAGAAAAAAATGCATCAAAAATCAGCCACAACAGATTCTCGAGAGTGAGAAAATGTGATCAAACAAGAAAATTGTGATCTTTCTCAATACACTAAATTTAGAAAGAATACATTTATATCGTAACGTTGCTGAACTAGTTGGAGAAAAAACTTACGGAGAACGAAGCTGTGTCCATATTGAGTGCCATGTGATTTTTAAAGCCATACGGTGCTTCACATCCATCACATGGATTCACCAATCTGCAAGAATAGTCGGTGAGATAAACACAAAAATATACACAAGACATAAGTTTCCAGTGAGAAATTTCTCTTCACCCAAGGAAATTCCTCTCGAAATTCCTTCAAAGCCTCTTAAAAAGAAAATCACCATTAGATTCCTCGAGAAGGATTTTCAGTCACATCTTCTTGCATCAAAAGAATGGATATGAAAATAACCACAATAATCTTACTTCTTCGGCACTGTCGAAACATATGGCATCAGAACTTTGTCCACAAAGGATCCAAATCCAAGGCGGAAATTCGATGTAATGTTCCTCATGGTCTCAGACAGAGAGTTTCCAAGGTAGGACAGACTGTTTTTGTCATCCTCCATGGATTTGGACAAGTCCATGAGGTAGTAGAGATCAATTGGATAGTCTTCTGCTTGTGAGTATCTCATATTAAGATGATATTCTTCGTCTGTAAGAAATTTCAATAAATAAAATCAGTATCCAATCGTTTTCAATTTCCTTTTTCACTCTCAATTCACAACGTCACTTGAATCTGGAAGTCTATTACTCACTTATTCGCAACTTTAGCTTTACTCGCTGTGGACTAATCTGCACAATTCCTCCAGAAGCGGCCGCACCGAAACCATAAGTACTTCCGCTGCTAGAAGAGCTGCCGTAATGCGATGACGATGACGAGGCGGAATAGGAGCTTCCACTGGAACTATAACCGCCGGCAGTGTATCCACTAGCGTAGGCTCCGCCCTCGGCTGCTGCTCCGCTCACTCTCCGCGTGAGCTCCATGTTCACGAGCGGGATCATCTCATTGTCAGGATTGTATGTGTACTCTTCAGGACACCGAGTATCACCAGCTCCATAGCTGGGCTGGAAACACCTCGGCAGATCTCCGTACTCCGACTGAGGTTGCAAACACCAGGCACATGTCTTGGTCTGGATGCAATCGTGACACGTTGTCTTGCTCACGCAAGGATTCTGAGAGCTCAGCTTCTCTGCCAACTGACCGCTGACCAGCGTCACCGCAAGCAAAAAGCTGCAAATGCTCATCGCCACGGAGCGTGTCTTACTAACTGATGAAGTCATTGTGACGATCACTGCAGAAAGGGCAAAGAAAATCAAAATTAGGATTTGACCCAATTCACACCTACATATTTATCGTCACACTATTGATTGACCCCAAAAGAGAACAAAAAAAAAGGATGGTCAGCAGTGACATGTATATTTGCACTGCCTTTTCTCCCACAGCAAACTTTGTCACTTCCCATATCATCGGATTATCCTTATTGCGCACTTTCGTCGCATTCTTTACACCCTCCATCCCCAATCAAATGAGCTGTACACATTTTATTAAATGACTGCCATTCTAGAAACTATCTCAATTGAAATGAGTTGAGAAACCGCGTTATTACTTAATTTTTACCGACTGTTTCTCAAGCTGATTCACATTCAGTGGCATCAGGCACCAAACAGTGTCTTTTTTTACACCCAAAACACACATCTTGATTTATTTCCGTCTCCTTCGCGTACGCCAGAATATAAATACACGAAAATGGAGGAGATTATAAGGTCCAATAACATGTGAGAATCATACGTCGACAACTCATCACAGACATCATTTCAAATCAAATCCAGAAAACACAATTTTCCTATTTGCCAAATTGGTCATAATCCTCTCAGGTCACGGTCAATAAACGCAAAAGGATGAAAAAGGAAGAAAAGGCCACAATAAGGAAATGATAATCGTCAATAAAATACGGGTGTGAAATCGCCACTCCTTGATTATTCCCTTTCCATCAGCGTCTTCACGCCTCCACAATATTTAGTGACACAATCATATTTCACTTTCTTCTTCCCTATTGCTCACATTCAAGCGCACATCCACCTTCTCCCTCCGCTGTTCTAAAACGAAAAATCAACAGAAAACTCATTCCGTAGGTGAGATTTTATCGTGTGCATTTGGAGGAGGAATTTCTTGAAAACATGAAGTGGATTGCGAGAGAATATCTCTGTCAGACATTCGAAGTAGGCTTGGATAAATGGAATATTAGAGAAAACATCTGGACTGGTGTATCCAATAATAATAAAGCCACAATAAAATTCATATTCAAGGGGGTGACGTCATGTATGTGTTTCCCAAAGATTCACGCTTCATTTCGGATTATCAGGTGGAATCTTCAACACTCATGCTTATTATCTTGCATTTCTAGAAAAAAAGCTTAGCCCACTTTTCAATCTTGAGTTGCTTGAGTTTAGCGAATCACCTGAATCTGAATATTCATTGATGAAGCATTATCTAAAGAGCACTGGCCATTGGAGACGTAATCATTGTGTGAATGTCTCTGTATAAACTTGGATTTTCAGCAGCGATTCGAGGAAACGGTGTGACGAAGTTGACTAAACAGTGAGTCAATCTTTCTCTCGCTCAAGTGTTTTTAGGAATGCACTATGGATAAGAAGAACCCTCATGTCTGGGACACAATTCCAATTAGCGAATGCCATTCTTCAGGCGATTTGCAGAGATGCTGAGCTGATGGATGTCAATTGAGTGATTTCTTCTCAGAATATCTCTTCGTTCACACACACACACGTAGAATCATTTATCATCTGCTGCGAGTGCTGGAGAAAAGTGCAGACGCAGGAAAGATGACACGGGCAGACCAGCAGACGGAGTCGATGGGTATTGTGTGAGAAAATTCAGTGTGATCCAATGAAGGCAGCATGAATGAGTGGGACTTGTGTGGGCGGTTCGTGATTTGCATGGGAAGCTGCACATCCCGAGATCCTACATAACAGCGCTCTTCTGGGCGAGTTCACGCTTCCGGACGAATCACCAGAGAGAATCTGCGTGAAGGCGGAAAGTGAGGACGGAGGGCTCCTCGAGAGGTGGTCTAATTTTGCGTGAGAAACTATTTTTAGGCGATGATTGACTCCAAATCACACTCCTCAATGTAACCATCTGGGTCTTTCCTACCCATTTCTAACCATTTCCACAGGCACTATTGCCCATTTCGTGCTTCCACCCTCTCCAGACTATACTCAAATCCACACCCAGGACACCCACATGCACACCCACTCGCCACTTCCGGCAAAAAATCCCGTTCGCGGGCCTCTGCCTTTTTTTCGGCCACTCTCGCGCGCCCCATAAAAAGTCACACACACACCCAGTTCGAGGAAATAAGATTTGCATACACTTACCGAATTTCACGTAACTCGTTGCACTCTTGCGTGATATCACACACCACTCACGATGGTCTCCAATAGGACTTTTACGCCCTCAATGGCACTTCAGGGGTCTCTGCAGAGGAATTTCAATGGGAGAACAAACACAGAAATATTTTGTAAGCAGCCATACTGCATTGACACTGAGCTATCTTCACACTGAAAATTGTGCTGACAACTTCACTGCGAGCCAAGAACTCTCCAAAGAGCAGTGGCGTAGTGCTACAACCACCAGACAAAGACCCATTTGTCCTAAGACACACTGGACAAAACATCGCGCATTAGCTGAAAGTCTCCAAACTAAATAATCCATCGGTGAAGACAGAAAAATGTTCCTTTTATTCAGCCAAAGCTCATCAAAAAATGTTCATTTTATCATTTAGTATGTATGCACAATATTAAATTAAACAAAAAATATATTGCATTCGCTTCTTCATTTTTATAGTTAACTCCCTTTATGTAAAAATACATTTATGAAATTATTTTTAAATTATGCATCTTGCAGAGTTTTGCATTTCACTTTTATTTTGATACAATAATTTATAAATTGTAATAATTTACTATGATCTAACGATGAAGCACTGAATTAGTTTTATTATACCTTCATATATTCATTTACTCAACTTGCTTATCCATTCGCGGGGAAGTTTAGCTTTCGAAATTGGAGGGCAAGTACGGCAATATGTACGAAAGTGCGGAAATTAGCTTTTTTTCACAATGACACATCATCTTTTCTATGCACTCCTAAAATATACGCATTGTTGAATATCAGTTGTCGCGAGTTAAAATAAAAACATATCAAGTGATTTAGTAGCGTAGCTTGTGCTGTATTTCTTTTTCATTATATCTATGACATGACTGATGAAGAGGTAAATGGGAAATTGCATTAGAGTTTCAAATTAAATAGTAGATTCACAAACATTGTTCATCTCCTCTCTAATATCCTGATGAAGATAAGTATAACCGAATGTTTTATAATTAAGATTAATCATTAGATTTTCAATACCATATCATTATGGAAAACATTAAAGTAATTCACTGGAAATTTCCTTGATAAATCATGTCTAATGTAGTAAATGTAGGTCTTTCACCACTAATCTCAATCTCAAATAGCATTTTTTTTTTATTCACTTCACACTGAAGATAAGATAGCAGTTTCGATATATGTAGGAAAATGCCCTTTTCTAATTTAATATCCTATCGCGTAACTAGAGAATAGTGCCACAAAAGCTTTTTGATTTTCACATCAGCAGCACCAACACATCTAAACGGCATTTTTTTTCTATAAAATATTAATTTCTCCACTATTCAATGCATTATTACGAGACAGAACTCAACTCAAATTGAACCGGAACAAATGCTACAGACAGTGCCAAACACTGTAGTATATTCAATTTCATATTAATGAAAGGAGAAATTATCATTACTACATATAATTGCAATTGGAAAATTGTCGAATATTTTTTTTCGAATAAAATCCAGCTTCAAGTGTTTTGTCTCACAAAATAAATCAATATTACAAAACGATTTTTATGCTTAGAGAAACTGTAGTAATTTACTGGGGAACTGCATTTGCTCCAGGTGGTATAATTCCGCCACCACCGCGAATCCCGCTCACAATGTGTCCCTGACCAGCACGAATTGGCTTGGCTGAAAGTAAAAGAAAGAAGATAGATTGCAGTCGAAAATTCCCAGCATTGACATGAAAAATCCTTACCAATTTGTGCCTGAGGACCACGTCGAGCAAGATTTTTCTGTCGTACGGCTTCCTTAATGCGATCCACTTCGTATTGGTATCGCTTTCGATCACGCATTGCGCCCTCCTTGGCCTCCTTGAGGGCAGTCTCGAGCGCCTTCACACGCTCCATCGTCGTTCTGAGTCTCTTCTCCAACTTGGGCAGTTCACATCTCAAGTCCGCATTATCACGCACCAGCTGCTTGTGCACTTTAGTCAGCTGCTCCAGATTGTTCTCCAAGAACGAGATCTTCTGCTTCTGCGCCAGCGATCCTCCGTCATCTTCGTTGTCCTCCGATGTAATAGACTTCTTAATGCGTGCCTTAAATAGAATTTCATTTAAAATATAAATCAAAAGATACATGATTGTTTCAGCAGAGTTTTAGTTTCACGACGTCCTGAGCATAAGAGCTTTGACGGCATTGCAAGAGCACAGAAAGATAAATCAAGAAAAGAAATGGGCTCACTTGAAGATCCTGCACGAAGAGTTTACGCAAATTGTGAAGTGTCTGGAGCTCCTTCGACACTGTATCTTCCAATCCTTTGAGATCCTTTCTCGCCTGTTCTCGACGTTCATTGGTGAGACTGTAAAATATGTGAGAGCAACAAACAGAAAATTTACATGACTGCAGCAAAATTGCAAGGATTTCTGTCGCATAATAATTACAACTTTTTCAAGAGCAGATTTCTTTGCTGTTAACTCCATGGTTTCGCACATAAATGCACAAAAGAGAAATATTGTGTGAAAAGATTCAGCGACGAGACGAACGGAAGAGAATAGAATATTGCTTGAGAACATGTGTTTAGATCTTCCATTATATTATATATTTACATTAATTTCACACTTCTATACATGGTTATTTTTTATAATACCTTTTCCTTGCTCTACAATTAATATTAATAATTAACTGCATTGAAAGAAACATGAATGAGATGAGATGTTATTTACACCGTCACAATTAAGCAGAAGAAGTTAACAACAATACAATAACTATAATCTTTCTCTTAAGATATCACATTCAAAAGTTTAATAGAGCGGAACCCATAAAAACGAATTGAATTGCGTGTCCGACTTCTTTAGTCATTAATTTTTGATTTTACACTTTTTTCCACTATACATTAGTAACTTTTTTATGTAGCAGTATTGTCCAAGAATATACTCTCTTTTTATCCACAATAAATAAGTCTCTCTTCAATGTCAAACCAAAATATTTTTCTGTACGCAATTGAAAAATATGGCGAATTGAACTCAAATTCAACCAAATGAAAATTCTAAATATTTTTGCCAGGTAATTGAAAAAAAACTAATGACAAAACCCAACTAAAACTGAATGAAAATAAATAAATAATTGAAATCAAATAAGATATTGCTAAAGAAATGATCGCGATTCCCTGGCAAAAAGTCATTCTTTCCTTTTATTTGATCAACACATGTCCTCAATCATTTTTCTTATTGTCTCTTCTCGTCTCATATTTATATATTTTCACAGCAATATATAAACCAGACTATTAACTATTATAACATTGTTTCATGACCATGGAATTAACAGCAAAAAACCACTCATTATTATAAAGTAGTCTGCTTTCGGCTTTGATTTCCAGTATTTTCTCTCTTTTTGAAACGCACAGATTGAAATAGCGATCATTTAAAGATTATAAATATTTGTAAAAAAGCAATCAAGAAATAAGAATAGCATGCATATGGGAATTTAAAAGAAAGAATCAAGCAATAATATAGAGAATAAAAAATTATTGGTAAGAAATCATTGAAATGCTAAAAGGATATTTCGCTTGAGAGGCATAAAAAATAAATATTATTGTTTATAAGAATTTCTTTTATCAAAAATATATGGTGTCATCCTTCTTCCCGCGCTTTTATTATAAGCACTGATTATTTCAATTATTTAAATCACGACATATTATGGTAAATATGTTTCTTCTTGACTACAATTTTGCTTGATTTCATATCACAATAATTTGCAAATAAATAAATGTAAAAATATGCGTTCATCAGCTTGTAAAACATTCTTAATACTTCTGTTTAAACTACAATTATATACTGAGGGCACCGATGAGTGAGAATAACCATTGTGAGCGATATGAGGAGATGTAGATGTAAAGTCGGAATGGTGAACGGAAAATATTCGAGAATTGTCGTGAGCATTCTCTTGGTAAATGTACTCGCGCGATCTGAGTATTCGACCAAGACATTCTTCTTCCCACTGTCCCTCAGGATTACTGTCTCCACATCCTCCTCCTCCTCGCTGGCTAAGTCTCTCTCATCGTTGCAAATAATTTGCTGGGTATTCAAAAGGTTCTTGTGGTACTTGGTGAGAATTTTTTCATCATAGAACGACACAGAGTGTCTGTCGTGATGCAAATTAATCAAATTGTATCGCTTGGTTGGTGATGATGTGGGTGATTGGATTGGTGGACTATTGTACTTCATTGGATAGGATAATACTGTTGGCTTTTGCAAATTATTCTTGTGACTTTTCGGAATGTTCTTTGATACTGACATGAGCTCTTGCAGCTTGCTGGACTTGTCCGCCTCCTCCTGCTTCAACTTCTCATAATCCGACGACATTTGCTGATGAGCAAGTGTTAATTTTTGGTTCAAACTGCAAAGGAGATAAAGAGAACAAAGATTAAAAAAAAATTACATAGCATATCTTAAAGTCTTTTTATAATCTAGTAGTTCAGCGATCGATACGTACTCCTTAAGTTCATTGATAGCCTCTTGTTTCTCTGAGATCTCATCTCGCAACTCGGCCACTTGAGCAGTGTGTCCATCACGCAGTTGGTCCATTTGCTTATCAAAAGCCGTCCTCAGCTGCTCAGCTCGCTGCTTCTCCTCCGCACTTACAGCTGATACTTGTTCTGCCGCCTTCAGTTTTGCACACTCTTCGCGCAATGCATCTATGTTCTCCTCCAACGTCCTCTTCTTATTCTCCGCCTCTCGCATTGACTCCTGCAGACTCTTCATGCGCGCCTCATGTTGCGAAATCAACAGTCGACAGTCCGCCAAATCCTTCTCATACTCTGACATCTTCTTATTCGAATCCATTGTCTGACCCTCGAGATTCTGACAGCGTTGCGCCAAATTCTTCGCCTCACTCTTCATCTTGCTTATGTACAGACGCGCCACCGTGAACTCCTCCTCCACTTTCCCAGCTGCTGTATCAGCGTTCAATTTCAAATCCGCCGAACTATCCGTGCTGAGCGCCTGGCCCACCTCAGACAGATCACGCAGCAGATTTGACAAGATCTCGTTGTATCGCTTCTTCTGATGTGTCGACATATCGCGCAATTGTTGCAAATCCGTCGAAGTGGTGTTGAGAAGTGCTTGCTTCTGCAATAACTCTTCATTGATCGTGTCAATTTCCTTGTTCTTCGTCTCTATCTCCTGACTCTTCTGATCGTAATTCACAGCAAGTTCCTCCAACGCCTGAAGTACCTCCTTCACCTCCTCCTTGGCGCTCTCGTTCTCCTGCTGAATGCGCGTCATCTCTGTTTGCAGATTCTCATTATCGCGCCTGGCATTACCAATCAACTCCTCCTGATCCATAATCTGCTCCTTCAACTTTTCCACGTACTGTGAATGCTGATTAATCTCCTCATCCTTGTCATCCAGTTGCTGATAGAGGCGCTCGCGTTCACTCTCAAATCGCGTACGCTCTTCCGCACTGATCGATCCAATCATGGTCAAGCCACTAGGTGTTGCCGGGACAGGGGCTGGCGGCACGTTCTCCACTTCGACGACATCAACATTGGGTGTACTCGCCTCCATCAGTTCATGCAGATTCACCTGCTCATCCGCAGATACAGTCTCACCAGCACGCCATCGCGCCAATTCGGCTTCCAGCTTCTCCACTTTACCCTTCAGACGGCCTACCTTCTCCTTCTCACGCTCATAGCGCCGCTTCCACTCCTCAGCTGTCAGCTCCTCATTCACGCATACGACATTCTTCACAGTCTTCGCACTGTAGACATGAAAGATAAAGAGTGTCATTGAGAAAATATCAAAATACAGAGACCAATAAAAATGACATCATACCGCTTTCCAAACTCGAGTGTGGACTTCGTTTCAGACTCATTGAAACTTGCGGGAGAGCAGCAGATGACAATTGTCGTTCTGGCATTGCCACCAAGTGATTCCTGCAGGATTCTTGTCAGTTTGGAATCACGATAGGGAATGTGTGTCTTATTGCCATCAGCAAGTGCTGATATTACATTGCCAAGTGCCGACAGTGATTTATTGATGTTCTTCGCCTCATCCAGCACCGTACCTTCAGCTCCAGTCTTGGACACCTTCTCGGAACCAGCCAAATCGACCAGATACAACTTCCCTGACAACTTCTTCTGATTCTCCAGATTCTCCTGCTTCACATTTATCAGAAATACTGAATGTGATCGCGATGAGTGCTCATTCATATTTGTCACAGCAATGTGGCGATTCGCCTTGCCCTCCTCAATCACCTCGAAGACATCCTCAGGACTGGACACGAAGCGCTCTGTGGCACCTTTTACATAAGGCACACGATTCTTATCCTCATGTACACTCAGGTTCACCTTCGATATATCCAGCAAGTCCCGAATTTTGTCCATGTAAATCTCATAGTAGGAAACTTTTATGTGGAACTCCAAATTCACCTCCATCGTGTAGATGTGATTGAAGATGTCGTTTACAATGCGAGGAATGATGCCTTGCTTTATCGAATCACCTATTAAGGAAAAACAACAAACATTACAGTTACTTGGAGATAGAATAGTTTATTTTATTCATACACATTTAGCTATAGTAAAATCAACTGTAATAAAAGTTCAAATCAATTTCAATTCTACATGTGAATTGAACAAATATTACAATTAGACTCAATTTGTATTTTAATCTATTCACTTTTGCGGTGAAACATCATAAATATTGAATTATGAATTGATGAATGTCGATTTCACCCACAGAAAATTACCAGTTCAGTTCCATAAAGACTGCTTCTTGAAAGCAACAATCATCAATTCATAGAGATACTCAAGCAAATCAACATTTCTGACTACTAAAGTAACCGCTGCAATATGTTTCTCCTCACCTATGACACCTTCCATTGTGTGTGTTTTACCAGATGATGTTTGGCCATAGGCAAAAATCGTTCCATTGTATCCGGCCAATACGTCGGAGACAATTGACTTTGCCGCCTCATTGTACACCTTCTCCTGCGATGCATTCGGCTTGAAAACCTTATCGAACAGGTAGACTTTTCCCTATAGGGTGAAAGAGAACGTGAGAAGGAGAAAATCAATTAGAGTACATCAACCTTTCTCTCATCACTCCATTTAATCACTTATTGATAGAGAAAGAATTTTCCATCCCCAACCTTTCCTTCTTTGGGTCACAGCAAAGAGCAATTATCCTTGAATCAACTTCTCTATGGCCCTCTTTGAATTTATGTTTCAATGATTTCTCATCACACATCGCGCTTCATGGATACTGCGCACTGTCGATGAGAGAGACACTGGCATTTGGGTAGGTACAAATCGGAAATTTCTAGGAATTTTGTGCTCTTATTGGAATGGACATGCGTGTAGCGTTGTCAGCAACACGACTGTATAAGAATTTGAACTACACATAAAATCGCAGAAGTATCATCCACACTCTTATTTTAACCACAATTACTCATCATCAATAGTTTGTGTTTCCCTAATTTATGTGATTTATTTTCTAAAGCATTCCCGACATTATTCTCACGTATACAATATATTTAGGTTGAATGCCACATTCAACAATTCCAAACATAATAGCATGACATCCACTCTTCGAGTTTGAAAAACACGATTGACGATTTATTATTTCTTGCCGATTGTTTGCCATTGATTTTTCCATTTCAGTCGCATTTTCTCACACAACAACCGACAAAGACTGTGGCATTGCGCGATGCGGTAAGGATAATTGTGCTAACTCCATCTCAAAGTACTCTATGTCAAGCCAAGTATGCGTATTTTTAACTCACACGACCTATTTAATGTGGTGCTCTCAATAAACAACAAAATGTGATTACTTATTTTGTCAATATCCACACCTTTAAGCAACGCTGTTAAACCAAATTCTTTTCTCTCGCTTATTCAATGGACAGAATTGCACTTTCTATTTTTGCAGGAATGAGAAAGGTTCAATCGCATGCAAGGGAGAGAGAGAGATCTATGAGTTCATCGTCTCATTCCTGCTCTAAATTTTACTAGTGACATACAATGCGCTGTTTCACTATTGGCAAAATCTAATCTCAGAAAGGATTCAGCAAGTATTTATCGACTCTTGAAATACATTGGCTTGCCACACGCCTGGAGGACTGTTTGTGTTGTAAACTCTCTTTCATTTTCTCTTTCAATTTTCCCTCAAAATGGCGCTCTCAGGGAAACTCCCTTCAAATGTGTTTTGAGAGGAAAAATCACGCAAATTAATGTAAATTTCCCTTTTCCTTTCCTTATTTTGCCAGACGCGACAAATATTATTGCTTTCTAAGCTTGCCCGTGAGTCTCTCTGGCTCAATTTATACACTTACATGGTGCAAATAAGCAGGTAAATTATATGTATATACATCATAGTGAGAGAGAGAGAGAGATTCTCTTTTTACAGGCATTTTATTATATGCATATAGGTATATTTCTCTTCATGGTCAATTGTTGCAGAGTACAACCGTAAAAATGAAAGTTTACCAATTGTGGTGAACAGAACCTCAAGAAGAAAATCATTTTTTCGTATACACTAAATGTACATGATTGTACATATATAACAGTAAAAGAAAATGCCACGATAGTCATTTGATGATGAGTTTTAGTAGCTTCCATGTGAAATGCCTTCAGGGTGAATTCGTGGCTTAGATTTAATTGTACTTCCACAAAAAATTACAGGCACAGCTTCTGTGGCTACTCAAGCTTATGAACTCTGTGAATCTACTGATGACCACATAGTTAGAAAAAAAATCAAACCAAAGATAATTTGACGTCACGCAGTTATTCCCATAGTTTATTTCAGCTCACGAAAAAGTGACATAACTTTTAAAAAGCCGAGTGACTAGCTCAGCATCGTCTCTCGTCAACTTAAGTAAGTTTGCTGACTGCGATTGACATTCAGTCGAATAAACAAAAATCCAAAAGCAATTCTCAGAAAAATTCTATTCCGTGATATTTTCGCTATTTCGGGGACTCCTATTATATATGATTGCATTTTTACCACATTTTCTCTCAGAGTCAATAGCAATAGCTGCGCTCGTCATGGGAGTTCGACCGAAAAGTTGTCATGTAATTTTGCGTGTGGATGATTCATCGATGGATGGATGCCCCCCAATCTGCCTGCTTGCAGGCGTTTTTCCCTTTTCTTCCAAATCACCCACACAAATGGGCCCGTCTTACAGGACTAAATGTGACTTCACCGCAAATCCACATCCTCTTGTCCACTTACACCAATCGATATGCAGTTCTCCTCATTGCTGTTGGGAAATTTCACGATGAACTTAGAGCCAGCCTTTTCCTCACTGTCGTTCAATGGTCGAAATCGACAGACGACTTTGATGGAGTCTTCAGCAGGAATTTCTCTCTCTGTGCCCGCCATTCTATCGCCACTCTTGTCTAATCACGCGTCACGAGCAATGAATAAAGCAAATTTATACTATTTTCCAGCGATACAACCGCACATCAAGGCTCTTTTTTCCACTGAAAACTTTCCGCAACCACACACTGTTCCACCTCAATCGGCCATTTTCACTTCGCCACGAAGAATTATACTCTCGCCGCAATTCGCCTACTTCGAATCTCCTCTCTCACTCTCTCGGAGAAAAAAGGCACAGAGTTCTCTTGGAAAATATTGAATTCTACACGGAAAAGCTTCTTGAAACACACTTTATAATATTCTATACAGACAGCAGCACTGGAAATTCAACGAATATGTGGCTTGATCGCAGAATAACAGAATAATATGCTAAAAATGCCACCCGCGTGTTCTCTCACGACGGCTCTCAATCACTGACAATTCCCACTAATGAGGTTTGGGTCTCTGCTATGCAGTGCGAAGATAGTCAAGGATGTAATACAGCAAGTTTCCCGAAATCTTTGTCACTTTGCCAAATTTGTTTCCCTCTATAAATGCTCTATTTGCTCTACAATATTTAAGCAGAGAATTCAAAAATGTAATAATTCTCTTTCATTGATTATTCCACTATCCAATCCTCATTTAGTCAAGACACATTTTCGACCCTGAAATTCAAGCTCAAATTAGAGCTTGAGTCTGACGGTGGCACTGATATCGCCGAGGAGTTTCTCTTCCATCAGTGACACAGCATGGGCCAAACCAAAACAGAAAGTTTTGCACAAAGAAGACTTTTCGATAAATAATCCCCATTGAGCAACCGTGAGCAGCGCATAAAGTTATCAGGGGCAGAGTGTGGTGTATTATGTTCCTCAAGCAAGCGTAAGAAGGCTCGAAATTAGTGCGACATTGTCTTGATTACCATCGTTACCAACTCAAGGTTCTTCCCACATTCAGGCAATGGCGATGAGTGGCTTCATTCAGCAGACACAGAACAGGAACCAATACGAGTCATCTAGGAGGAGTCTCGTTCACCATCTCATGACAGTGGTGAAGGATCTGCAAAAGCGCTACGGTGGTAAAACTGAATTGGCCACGGAGAGCGATCACAATGTCTTGAGGCTATGCGACAGCTGGGAATACGCCCTCTGTCACGGACTGCGGATGGGCTCATTGCTCAAGAGTGTGAGTGACTTGATGTCGGGCGTGAATCAAGAGCCTCCCGTATTCTGGGCATTCGCACATCAGCACATGACGACGCACGAGCGGGAACGCTTCTCGTCACTGAGACATGTTTGGACGGATCGCGGGAAGTGTCGGGCTTTCATCCGTGCAGCGCTGAATGAGCGTTCTCTGGAGCGATATATACTCATGTGGCTGGCTGACTCGAATCTGGGGCTGCACTATGAGTCCTGGGCGCTGATAAGGGACGAGGAGGCATCGAATCTTCTGCCTACTCTCGCAGCTGGACTCAGTTCCATCCTGTTCGCCATCACTGTCGACAGCCCGGACGTGAATATGATGGCCAGACGGGAGTTGAAGGTGGAGCCCATTATAGCTGTGCCCAAGCCTGTCCAACCACATCCCATTCGGAAGCCCCACAAGCATCAGGTGATAGAGTTTGATGAGGCGGGTCTCTCAATTAGCCCTGTGGCCAGTGGAACGCTCTCGAGCCTATGTCTGAAGGCCGAGAGGGTCCCTCATCCGCCGGAGAATATTCAGAGCTCTCATGTTGTCACACCTATCTCTGAGAAAGCCATGGAAGATGCTGATGACACTTCGAAAACGCCCCCAAGTTCGCCAAATAAAGTATTTACACCGCCCAGTGACTCGGGAATCATGGTGGAGGAAGCCACGACGTCTGAGGGCAGTTTCGACGACTCCTCTCTGCATAGCTCCTCAAAGACCTCCTCAATCCGCAGCTCCACGAGTTCTGTGGTGTCTGAGGACGTAAATCAGCTTCGCGAGCACCTGCGGAAAGCTGAAGAACGCTGCCAGCGTCTGGAGACTCGCGTGGCGGAGCTGAGTCTTGAGAATCACCGCTTGCGGGGCCTCAGCTCAACCCATAGCGCCCCAGGAGCCACCTTCACCGTGAGTGTGCCGCGCGTTCGGCTGGAGAAGTCAGGCTCTCGCAAGTATTACACTTACGAGGTTCATGTCATTCCCACGAATCAGCCCGGAGACGAATGGACTGTTCTGCGTCGCTACAGTGACTTTCATCGACTCCACCGGCAATTCCAGAAAATCCACCCTGGCGTCCGGAGCCTCGATTTCCCGCCAAAGAAGAGCTTTGGCAACATGGAAGCCCACTTTGTGGAGCAACGTCGCCAAAGGCTCCAGCTGTACCTCCGCCACATCCTCACAATGCTCCCAGACGTGGCGTGCTGCACGAGTCGCACAAGTCTGGAGCAGGTTTTCCCCTTCTTAAAGTAAGGCCGATCTCTCACACTATTGCCCTATTTAATGTTCTTTTCTCCGTAATGTGTTGAGAGTACATGAAGTTTATAAATGTCGAAAAAGAGATTGATGTCAAATCTGCTGTGGCTTGAGATAAAACTCTTTCCGGGAGAGATAATCTCTTCCCATTCCTCTTCGTTGCCCCTCTTGTGCTGCTGCAACTAGACACTCATCAGCAGTTGGACATTGGTGAAGCGAATCTGGAACAAATACGAGATAAACTATTATTTTTACTGCAAACTGTTTCTAAAGAGATTTAATAAATGGGTACAACTTGTGCTCTGTGTTAGATATGAATTGTTTTCCCTCTCCTTCAGTCAAACGAACTAAGTGTGTCTTGAAGATTGAGCAAGTGTAGCTCTGGCTTTTGTGAGAAAGTAGACGGATTCTTGTCACTTACCAGACGAGCTTAAGAGTTGCGAATGCCCAAAGCTTGCTCCAGTTCCGCCCTCTTCTGATTCACCTTCGTGTAGAAGTAGCGCGACACCGCCTCCTGTGTCCAGGGCTGATAGAAGAACTCAGCCCTGCGCTCCTCCTCCGGGTTGCCCACGACATCTGTCATGGTCTTCAAGTCCCTCGTCTGGCTAATTATCCACTTGTGGATGAATGTCTGTGGATCCTTGGCGAAGCTGAGGAAGAACTCCCGATTCGTCTTCAGCTGATTAATCGTCTCCACTGTCTCGTGAATCTTCGAGTCCAGTCCCTGAATCTCTTGCTGACTGGCTGTGCTCAGCAGGAAGTTATTCATCTGATTCTTCAGCGTATCGTCCACCTCCACGTCGATATCATAGCAAGCAGTCTGCTTGCTCTCCGCTCCACCCTCCACTGAGATCACATGGTTGATCACGATGGGATCCGGCGGATGAAGGAGCGGATTGAGGCGCTGTGGAATCTCGGCAAACTTCATGCGTGAGCACGTGAAGATTTGCTCCAGATACTTGTCGCAATTGATGAACTCTCGCTCGTGGGCGTCTTGCAGCTTGTGAGTCTTGATGTACTGCCACAAAGCAGAGATGATCACCGGACGCGTTTGCGTGTGAACGCCAAGGAGACGAGCGAGCCGGGGATCGAGCTTGAACTGCAGCGGCTGGTAGTCCAGCAATAGAAGAATCGTACAGCGAACATTGCGATCGCCCGGACGCTTCACCTGAAAACCGTCTGTCTCCTGAGTTGTGTGAGTGCGATGCCACTCCACCAGATGATTGTCCGGGCCGTAAAGCTCCTTGTCCAGCTCAATCACCAGAGACTTGAAGAACGACGAGAACTTCCGCTTAATCTTATTCGGATCGCTCTTGGTGTCCTCCAGGAGACGACCCTCTACCCGCAACTCCCATGACGCCACGGTGCCCTCAGTTCCGGGCTCGCTGCCTTCGCTCGGCTCCTTGCTCGGGTAGAAAGTGTTAGAGATGAAAATCCTCAATTTGCGTTTCTGCTTCATAGGACGCTTTAGCGCCTCCTGGATGTCAAGACGCTTCCGCATAATTGTAGCGTCCAGCTTCCGTTCGAACGCCAACAAATCCATGTATGCTTGAGACTCCGGCACGAGGTCTCTCACCTTCTGAGGCAGAATTTTGTCCGCCAGCTTCTTTTTCTTCTTCGTCGGCCCATACTCGCTCTTCTGCTGCGGAGTGCCCATGGGGCCCACCCGGCCGTCCTGCGGACGCTTCCCTCCAGGAGCGCTGGGCATGGCGCTGCGCATGGGGCCCTGAAATGGTGGTTGCGGCGTTCGTGGGTGCATGGGGCCACCGGGTGGCGGACCAGAGCCCAACTGGGGCGGAGGCGTGAACCCACGCTGAAGAATAGAGAAATTTTAGTTATTGGAAAATAAACTGGGTGGAGGACATTGCTCACCGGAAAATTGGGGCCAGCATACGGTCTCATACTGCCCGGTGGAGGCGCCGGCTGGTATCGTGGCTGACCACCGGGAGGCACAGGGGCACCCGATGAAGGTGGAAAGCGCTGAGACATGGTTTTTACTGGATTTTTTGCCACAAAACAAGACAATTTTGTTAGAGTGACGCCACGAAACTATATATACTGTCTGACAGCTCTTTTTATCACCAGAGGGCGCTGGACATGGCAAGGCAGAAAAGAAAAAAATATCGTGATATTCTCCGTGGTTCGTATCTTTGCTTAACAATAGAGTAAAAAACATCTTTATCGCATAAATGTTAATATGTATTTTATTCTATGAATCTTCTATGTACAAGATAAATACTTTTGTATAAAAAGATGTCAATAACATTGTTAGTAATTTTCTTTTCCAATATGTTGAATAGAAGATGAAAGAAGGGGAAATTACGACGGTAAATAAAGAATTAAACCTATTTCTTCTTGATAATCGACTTTTGCCTACAGATTTAAGTCATTTAAGTACATTTGAAACATTAAATTTTACACACATTTCCTTTTCCTTTCTCTGATTATCAAATTACATGCGACAAAACAGAGAAAAACGCCTTTCATAAATAAAATCAATAAATATTCAAGTGTGTGAAGTCCGTAACTAGAAAAATTGTGTCTGTTCGATATTAGTTTCTTTGCTTTCTTCTCTACTCATTCAAAAAAATACTTTTTGCAATGTAAGCTCATGTAAAGCAACACTGAAATTTTACAAGATTCATGTCTTCATCATATTGTTTCATCAATTTCATTGAGCTTTTTCCCTTTTGCGCACGTCTCACAAATCAGCGCTTATTATTATTCTTATTATTGAAAAATATATTATTGACTTCAGTACGTTATTTACAATTCATCTTTAGATAAAGGAACGCGAATCTCTCCTTTTAAAGTGTTACCATAAAACCAGACGCCAAAGTGCTTTACAATTCATTTTCTAATACTCTCGAAATTTCAAACGAAAAAAATGTGAACAATTTTCTATATAAATGTTAATCAGATGAATCGCAATTAAAACTAAAAATATATAACTAAAATCCTACCTTATTTCATCTTTTAACGATTCATTTTTTTTACCTTATAACAAAAATTAGCATTTCCTTTTATTACATCGATTTTTTTTCTTTTCCTTATCTAATCTCTCAATATTGTTATATTTTATCTCTCTTCATATACTCTTCCTTTTTCTCGATATACATACATATTATCAATTTATTGTAGATGAGGCAATATTTGTCTCTCGATTTTCATACGTGAGACAATTCTACGTTGAAAATGAATAGATGCTGATTAAGATAACACACAGAGGGAAACCCTTACTTCTTATCTTTAACTCAACACCTCAATCGAATGCTTCCTCCGGAAAACCACTGATTTCAGTCTGCTCCAGCACGGGATTTCCATCTGTTGTGTACGAAATTCTTAACCGCATCCTCAGGAGCGCCTGAAAAGTATATTATTCATTATTACAAATTGCAAACAATAATAGATCTTGAATCTTAAGAATAAATTTAATCAACTACATACCTTTGCTGATTGCGTGACTCTCATCTCTTGTGTGATTACACCTCCTGGCAGAAGAGTGGATCCGGACGGTGAGAGCATCTGTAGGGTGAAACTCTTGGGCACTGCCGCCTGCCAAGGTGAAAAAATTCAAGCCAAATATTTACCATTAAGACGTACAAATGCAAATATAAGTCTAACATACCTGAAATAGAAATTGCTCCATTGTGTTCAGCGACGTGTTTGTTGCTGTCATAATCACATGAAGGCATCCAGATGCATTTCTTGGTGCCAATACCACAGACAAGCCGTTCTTCTCCAATGCTGTTAACTTGGAATTTGCACTCTGCGCAAAGACAATAAATAAATAAATGATTTACAAATAAATTCCGGGTATAAAATCAATTACGAAATATTTACCTGACTATCAATTTGCGTCGTTAAATCATCCATGAATCCTGTTATCAGTGACGAATTGCTCATGCTTAAGTCTAAATTCAATCCACCGATTGGAGAGGCAATTGATGGTATCGGCAGCACATTCCCATTAGTACTACTATCAACAGTCGTGTTACTATTCTTCGCCGACAAATCAATATCACCCAGTAGATCCATTAAATCTCTGTTATTGGAGACATTCGGTGCTTGAGGCAACTTAACAGGATTGGGAACGCTCAGCTCTTGACTCGATGTACCTCCAAGGAGTTCAAGAAGGGCATTCTGAAAAAAAATCCACCATCAAACTTCTTATCCCAAATATCACAAAATAGACAGAGAAAACTCACTGATCCTTCAGTTATTGTGACATTCTCCTCCTCAAGACCATTCTCGATCAGATCCACTCCACTTCCATTCTCATCCGGTGACGTAGCATTGCCAGCCCCATTTTGCGTTGACATTCTATTCAGCTGCATTGGTGGCATCTTCTCCAGCAGTGCCGGACGCAAGTGACTGTGTGTCTTGAAGAGTTGAGAGAACTCAACGCCTCTCTGCTGCAGATCAACATTCAGGTGTGACCCAAAAGCATCAATTATCTGCTTAATTTCACTGTGAAGGAGAGATTTACGATTATTCCGATTAGATTAGATTTGTAGAGGTATTTCCACACTCACTCTTGCGCCGCCTGAAGACGAGTGCTGAGCTTCGCCAGCGATATCAGCGTGTACTGCTTGCTAGAGGTTGATCCTTGAGGTGCCCACAGCAGTTTCTGGTACATCTCCACAATTTCCTTCTCCTGTGGCCGAGTAACATCTGCCGGAAATTGAAGAATACCACATTAGAAAAACCATGCGATAATAGGCACACGTGACTATAAAATCCTACCATCTCCTGGTTTTTCGCCATACATGAACAAATCTCCGTACTCTCCAATCGCCCACACTGCCACTTGCAGCAGCGGTTGCTTGTCTTCGCAATTGTTGGGAGTCTGCAGAGCGTCCCACAGTTTGGCAGTGATGTACGTCTGCTCCAAACTGGGACTGCTCGATATCAATTGAATAGTTGACGACACCACATCGTCCCTCACGTAGTTACCAGCTGCCACGAGGATATTCAATTGCGTGTCCAAATGCCATCGCGTGGACGGTGCAAAGCGCTCAGCGGACAACACCATTCCACTGCTGCACTGTGCCTTAAATTCCGAGTCCGCCTTCTCGAGGAACACCAGCAACTCCTTGGTCATCGATCGGATATTCTGGCCGTTTATCAAAGCAAATGACAACTCCATGGCGCGCCGCCTAATGGACACATCAGGATCTTTCAGGCACTCAAGAATGGTAGTGCGATGCCTCTGTACAGCAGATGTGTCCGCATGAACAGTTCTCAGCAGTGTATTGAGCGCCACATAGCGAATGTTCTTGTCGCTATTCAAGAGGAATCGTCCAAGGATGTTTATAGCCAACACACGTAATCCACCTTCGGATCTGCAAAAAAATACACCACGTCAATTGAATTATCTGCCATCGTGTCGTCCAAATTAACGTCTACATACTTGAAAGCAATGTGCAATGATGAATCAGTGCTTATCGCAAAAAAAATGTTGATAAAACACAAGGCGAAATTTCTTGTGTTCACACTACACAGCATAATTTACATTTTCCACTTCATATTTGTGCCAAAACAATTGTAATCTTTATGTCAACAGATTGAATTGAAATCATTTCTGAATAATAAAATCAATTCAACTCTTATTCAATTGAATTCAATTACAAAACTTGAAGATTTTCATAGCACTTGCTTAGAAGAATGAGCACATAAGATATATTCAAAGCCAGGAGAAAGTCAATTTTCATTGTAATTTCCTACACTTCACTCACCGAATGTCCATTATTGATAGAACCGTCTCGTAAAGAATGGTGTTTCCAACATTTTTGCTAGTTTCCGTATTCGTTGCCACCTGTGCCAGGATATCGTTCATAGCCTCCGATGCATCGGGATCATTGTGGCCCAAAATTCGCAACAGACGAAGGATTTTAACCTAAAATCATTGACTTTGTAGATTTGTTTGAATACTACTTCTAGTAGAGCACAAACCTGCAGAAATGGATCACTGACGCCACTGACATCATGCTCAGGTGAGTATCCAGCCAGAATAAGATTCTTCAGGATGCGCACTAAATTCGGGACGATCTGAATACAGAAAGAAGAACAGTCAATTTTATTGAGCATTTCAATGAAACCACTTTGGATTAAGCTGACAATATAAGCATGTAAAATCGTCTTTTCCCATGCTTCCTTCATCGTAAATGCGCAATAGACAATATGCAATGATGCCTTCGAAACAATATGCATATGAAAGCTGCATTATCACAACTGTAAATATCAATGGGGCGTGCTTGCATTTTGCATTACATTTTGACCACATTACAGCATGCAGAGTCCAATAAGGTTTTGGGACATCTTTTTTGTTTCATAACTCATTATGTTGATACACAATCAATGGGGACACATTGATTTACTTGCACGAGCATTGCAAAGGGTCCTACCTCTCGATTTCCACTATCCTGGCAAGCAAATTGGGTTGTTCATTCATCATTATTATCATATCGTTACAGGTTGCTTTTGACAAAGGATTGAGGATCTTTTAACACTATAAAATATCAGCTGGTAAATAAGTCTGCATCATGAATGACAGACTTGTTCACACTCTGACACATTTATGCACTAGAAACTACCATTTTATCCTCCCTCTTCATTCTTTCTCTCTCTCTCTCTTTCTCCATTGCAAATTCCACTTTACATTCTCAGAAATATATCACAAACTTTAACATCTCTAAACATTTTGAGAGAATGAAAAGAAAGAATTATTTTAAATAATTCAATTATTACCTTTTTAAAGTGGCTCAACGTGTCTGGACTGTTTTCACACATTTCTGTTATGAGTGTTACGCCAGTGATTAATATACCTGCACACGTGAAACGACATATTTTAATAGCCATCCAAATTAGATAATGTAATACCGTAAATTACCATGATTCTTCTCACTCAGAAGTGATCGCGTGGCAGGCAGGAAGATCTCCATGAGCTCAGGAACGCGACGAATCACCCGGAAGGCACACAGAGCAGCCTTCTTCCTGATGTATGCATTCGGTGACTTCATAAGGCGTTCCACTTCGCTAGCCAGATCGCGTGCCATTTCAGGTGAGGCAATTGCACCTAAAGTGCACAACGCCAGGCCAACCACAAATTGTGTTGGGCTGTTCAAGTCACTGCAGGGAGAAAATGAAAGAGAGGAATCAGTTTCTTTCATCTCTTTACCATTTTTGAAAATTTCTAATCGTGATTTTTTCGATTACTTATACATTCATTTTTCTTTCTCGAAGCTTTTTCATTAAATTGTATGATCACTAAACTCCACCTAAAGTATATCAGTTTACTTGGACGCAGAAACACTTCTATATAAGCTCTAATTATTCCAGTACAGTGGATAAATTAATTTTAATAGTTTTACTGATGAATATCACTTACTTCTTTAGGCAATTTGTAATAAGTAGATGAACGTCCTGTCTCTCATCAAGCAGCAGCATAGCACCGAGATATCCTATCCTCTTGTCCGTAAATCGTGGACTCGCGGTCAACTTGAGACACTCCAGCTGTCCAAAGTGAGCCGGATAGCCCAGCATGTGGATGTAGAGCAACTTGGCGATGTTGCGGCATCGCCACACAGAGTCTTCCTCACGGAATGTGCTTCGGATATAGGCGCACTCCTTGTTCACCACCGCGCGCTCCTCTGCTGCCGTCCTCGCCGCCCGGATCTGCCTGATGAGGTCCCGGAGGCGCGTCGGTGTGGGCATTCTCACTGAGAAATGGAGAGATTCATTCAGACACACGTCACATTTCAGATCTCAACTGATACTATAGGATCGGTGGAGATTCACTCTTCTCACTGGGAGACACAAGATAACACGTCAACGTGTGTTATGTCACTACACTGCGATCGGCAGCGACAAGAAGCAACCGAGGTTTGAACATATCTACATTGACAAACAAAAGCCCATCTTGCGTCTCCGCCGGAAGTGGATCTCCTCATATAGACACACTACGAGACATTACTGAGAGGTCGTTAATGGGGATTAGATAGAAAAAGTCTCATTACTTATACCCCTTTCGACGGCTTCATTGATGACCTGCCGGATGCTGGCCATATTAAAGGCTGGATTGAATCTGAAATGACAAGGGATTTGGGAGTAAGCCGAAGGAAGCCACACAAACACCATGCACAGCATTTTTTCTTCCTGCTATCGCGTGTGATTGATTTCTGGCCATTACCCGTGCTCGGTATTCATTGTCGCTGTCCGGACTTGGGTGGCAGGTGGTCTTCGTTCCCTCTTACAGCTTCAGCGGTCAAACAAATGCACAACACACGGACAAAATTGGCTCAGGTGTGAGTCACAAAAACAGAGAAAACTGGCAGGAGTGATGGAAAAATCAAGTGTACGGGGACATAAGATGGATTTTCTTCGCGATCAAAGCTTTGCTGCCTACACGACGTCAAAGTGTGTCATATGCAAGTCATTTGTATTGGTGCCTTTTTTGTCGGACACCCTACACCTCCAATTGCACTCCTGGAGCCTCCGCGGGGCCCTCAATTGTACAACCACTGCTCACTGTCTGCCGTGATTGGATCACGATGTAGCTCCACTCTTTGGGAGATGGGGAAAAGGTGCATGAAAAGGGGTGTTAGGGAAGCAAAAAGACACAGAGTCACCGCTGCCACACACACAATCTGCTGACCAGACTTTTGGGGCGTACAGCGCCCAATTGATGGGTTTTCTCGCGGTGATTTATCAATCAAAGATTAACACACACGTCTATCTACCGATTTACACACTCCTCGTTGTCACTGATAACTCGAAAGAATCAACAATTTTACTGATTTTGCTCCACCATCCACTTTTCACACAGCAATCGCCATCGCGAAATGACAATTCGCTGAATAGCTGACAATGGTTTTCAGCGCCACAATGGCGGCCGACGACTATCCGAAGACACATCTGCACTTTGTCTGCAGACACCAGAGTGCAATTGGAGGATAAAGAGGATAATGGTGGTGAAATTCACCTCATCATTCTTCACATTTGCACCTATTCATAATCCAAGCAATAATCCCTATTTTCACGGGTGATTCCAGAAATCCATCACTCACCGATGTCTCGCCAGGAAAATGAGAACTCGTTCACCCACCTGCGGTTGTTTTCAGGTGGAAGAACACTCCAATCAGGCTCGTAATACGGATACATGGCTGAAATCACTAAGCGCCTTCCGTTAAACTTCACTCTCGACAATTCAACGCTCCCACGATGTTCTTACTCTGCCAATCACCTGAATACCAATGAGCCACTTTTAATTGAAATGCCAGTCCGAAAAATTAAATTACACCAGGTAAACCAACGTCTATGTGTATTTGGTAAGCGCAATTGCTGAGCTGATAAGGCCGTTTCTTATCACCCACTACATTTGCGCACCTCGTTACCCCACGTATTTGTAAGTGACTACAATCGGGATTCACTGCGTGGATTGTCGAAGAATATGGCTGGCTTATCAGTTGCGACCACATATCTTTGATAATCTCATACTTTTCCTTTGAGGACGTCTGCAAGGTTTTACTATAGAGTATATCTGATACTAGAAAGGCAGAAACACCCATGAAACATGTTTCACAAAGAACTGTAGCAACAAATCATCTCTTATATATTTTGCTTCTTTACTTACTGTACAAAAGGAGAAGTGAATTAATGGAAAACAAGGAGAGTTTCATAAATTAGTCAGTGCTTCGCGCTGGTCTCACAACGCTGTTCCGCTTGATGGCATCCACAAGCCATTTGACACCCTCATCGACGCCTTCCCTGTAAACAGATAAGCGATAAGAGGCTTTCCGGACAGTCACTTTGCGTGCCAAGTACCCAGTTAAAGCAGAAACAGGCATCACGAGACAATCGCCTCTAATCAGGTGGCCTGTGTGTTGGAAAACAGGCTTGATCTCCCTCACGCCCATGCAATCTGGCAGATCCTGTTTGTTGGCCAAGAGCATTAGTGGAACACCTGACAGATGGTCATTTGAAATCATCTTATCTGAAAGACAGACACAGCTTTGAAAAATTTGATTATTGAGCAAAATGCGCAAAGCGTTTTTACCAAACACTTCCTTGGATTCATCCATACGCTCTCTGTCGTGGGAATCTATTATGTAAATCACTGCATGTGACTCTTGATAGTACTGAAATAAGGAAAGGCTATTAGTTCCATCTCAAATTGTGTAGCATTTCAGTCATACCTTATCCCAGAGTGATTGCAATTCCTCTTGCCCGCCCAAATCCCAGAAGCTCAGACGGATTCCCTGAATGTCAATTTGGCCAATATTTAGTCCCACTGTTGTGGTGATCTTACTGGGATTCATCCCCTTGTAATTCTTTGTGAACTTCGTCTTGGCGCCCTCCAAGTATGTCTATAGTGTTTTCCGGAAAAGAACAAAAGTTGGGTTAGATACACAAAGTGAGTAAGACTTTTCAATGAATTTTCATCACTTACCGTCTTTCCAGCATTGTCTAGTCCTAAAATTAACACACAGTATTCGTCCTTTTGTTTGAGGTACTTGTAAAAGCCATGCAAAAGTGTAAACATGTTCGAAGAAATTGATCACACCACACTACATACTTTCACCCAGAGTGGTGTATTTTTCACAGCGCAGAACGATGGATTGGAGATTAGTCAACTGTTTGGAATCCACAGGATTTAATATATGTGTTTACTAAAGCATTTTACTACGATTACTGAGTGTTTTTTCCCTATTAGCACTGATCTAGTCTAAGCACGACGGCACGGCCAGAACGTCAACTTTCTCCGTGCGTCAACATGCCCTCTAAACGAATGCAGCGCCAATGAGCAAAATGAGAAATACAAGTAACCTCATGCCGCGTGTTTACATTCTATAGCGCAGTGCATTTATATTTATGTGAAATAATCAAGTTATCAAATATTGTCTTTATTACAGTTAGTGCAGAACAATCAGGTACAAGGTAAGTTTTTATAATACTTTTGAAGTCACACTATTTTGTGAGTACTAATCACAAATTTTCAGGCATCCGGAAATGGCAAGCACGGAAGTTGATGTGCCTCAGACTTTGCAAGTTCGCCTAGTCTCGGATTCCGGTGAGGAGGCTGGGCCACCTCTGGACTTGCCAACGGGCACTACAGTTGCGCAACTGGGATTGATTTGCAATGCCCTGCTCAAGAATGAAGAGGCCACACCGTTTCTGTTCTTCGTGAATGAGGAGGAGATCAAGGAGAGCCTGGAGGGCACGCTGAACCTCAGGAAAATAGACACTGAAGCTGTTGTGGACATTGTCTATCAACCTCAATCGGTTTTCCGAGTACGTCCCGTAACGAGATGCACCAGCTCGATGCCAGGACATGCAGAAGCTGTGGTTTCGCTGAGCTTCAGTCCAGATGGGCAACACTTGGCGAGTGGATCTGGTGATAAGACTCTTCGGCTGTGGGATCTCAACACAGAGACCCCGCACTACACATGCAGCGGCCACACTCAGCCTGTTCTTTGCATCGCATGGGCTCCGGATAGCTCTAAAATAGCCAGCTCCTGCCAAGCGGGAATCATTCGGATATGGTCGCCAGAGACAGGGAAGCAGCTTGGACGTCCATTGACGGGTCATAAGAAGTACATCAAGTGCCTGAGCTGGGAACCTTATCACGACAATCCCGAGTGCCGACGAATCGCTAGCGCTGGAGCGGACAATGATGTGAAGATTTGGGATGTGACTCTCGGGCAGTGTTTAATGACCATTGCAGGTCACACGAAAGCCGTGACAAATGTTCGCTGGGGAGGAATTGGATTGATCTACACAGCTTCCCAAGATAGAACGATAAAAGTGTGGCGTGCAAGCACAGGAAGTCTGTGCAGAACACTCACAGGTCATGGACATTGGGTGAATTGCTTAGCTCTGAACACAGACTATGTACTGAGAACTGGACCCTTTCATCCTGTCACTGATAAGGGGAAGATCGCCTCTGGATCACAGTTGAGAGAAGTGGCTTTAGCCAGATTTAAAGCTGTTTGTGCAGATGATGTTGAGTCTTTTGTGTCCTGCTCAGACGATAGAACACTCTATCTTTGGCAATCAAACAGGACAAAATGCATCACGAGGATGACTGGTCATCAAAATGTGGTCAACGAAGTGAAATATTCACCGGATTGCAAGTGAGTTTGTACTTTCTCAAACGGAATTTTTCGTAAACTAATCTTTCACGTGCTTTCAGAATTATCGCTTCAGCATCCTTTGATAAATCTGTGCGCTTGTGGCGAGCACATGATGGGGCTTTTATTTGTGCTCTCAGAGGACATGTTCAGGCAGTCTACCAAGTCGCGTGGTCAGCGGATTCAAGACTACTCGTCAGCGGCAGCAAGGATTCCACAATAAAGGGTAAGTTGCCAAGTACGTTATGACACTGCAGACATTTGAATGTTGTTTTTTTTTTCCTTTCAGTATGGAGCGTCCAAACCAAAAAGCTCGCACAAGATCTTCCTGGTCATGCAGATGAAGTGTTCGCTGTGGATTGGGCGCCTGATGGTTCTCGTGTGGCGTCCGGAGGGAAAGACAAAGTTATCAAAATGTGGGCTTATTAAATAAATTCCCTAGCACTTTAAAGTGTTATGAAATCTAAGAAATCACTTTTGAGTGAGTTTGATCGATTCTGCAGATCTACAAGCTTCTTGACACGCAAAGAAAAACGATTTATTCCGATCAGAATTACAATCAATACCCAATCTCTGTGGGTTTGATTCGCAGAATTACCGGAACACTCGTGCATGGGAGAATTGCAACTTCTGTGACCACCGCCGTTACCAATTCTGGCGGCGTTATGTCGTAGTACAGATGCAGAGGTGTCAAGTAGGGATTTGCACGCCAATTCTGGAGGCCAGTCTTCTCAGGAGGCACCAGATCGTCTGGGGAGCCGATTTCATTGTACACGAAAGCATCCGTCTGCACACGTTCGCTAAATTTGTGGGTTTCACAGCACACTAGAACTGGTACATTGTGAGACTTTGCCACAAGTGCGATCTGGGCAGTTCCAGCGCGCGACATCACATAACCATTGGCCAGGAGGGAGTTGGCGCCTAGCAAAACCTTTGTAACATCCTGCATGATGAAAGTTACAGCCGTAATGAGGACACAGGTGCAGTCAATGCCCAAATCCGTGAGTTTCCGCATCATGTCACGACCCTCGTGAAGTGGACCTGCATCAGCCACGATTACTCGGAACTTCTTGCTGCGATTGTGTGCCTCCTTGAGTATTTGCTTCACCAAGGAGGATCTAGAGACAACAAAGAGGTGCAATAAGATAATTGTTTGAGAGATTCTCAGTGCTTACTTACCCTCCAAATGTGAGAATCACATCTCCATCGGCAATCTTCTCCTGAACCGCCCAAGTAATGGCCAAATCCGCCTTGTCCAGTTGATCCTTGATGTACGTGTCGATGATCCCAAAGAGAATCATCTTCAGTTCAATGTCAGGATCGTCCTCTTCCTCGCTATCCAGATCCGGGACATGGACAATGTCCTTTGGCAACTGCGTTATCTGCCACTTGAGGTACTTCATGGCAATAGTCATGGACACCGCCATCGGGCGACACTGTTCCAGATACTCCATAATGCTGCCCACATAGTTTTCCAGACACCGTGAGAATTCCTTCTCTGGCGGTGTCTTAAACTTCTTAATCACCACCTTCATGATAGTCAACAGGGCGAAGCATCGCGCATTGGCGCCCGTGATTTCCATCTTCGAGTACAATGCGCCGAGAGTGCGAATCGCCTCGTGAATCTCAAAATCTCCACTCACCTTTGGCGGATGTGTGAAGTGATCCAAGTAAAGATGACTAAACAGCTTCACTCTGTGTTTCTGACCTGAACTCACAGTGTCTGCCCTGGGTGACTTCTTCGTGGCAGGGGAGATTTTGAGAGACTCCTTCTGTACAGGGACATTTTTAGCAACCGGCGCTGGTTTGTCCTTCAATTTCTGCTCCTTGGCGGCTCTCTGTGCCTCCTGAATGGCCCTCCGTTCGGCCTTAGTTGTGGCTTTAGCCTTTGTAGACTCACTGATAGTCAAATGCTCCATCCTGCTTGCCAAATCTGTATCAGTATTCGATTTCTGCACAGGCTCTGTCTTCTCTGCAGGCTCTGTCTTCTGCTTAGTTGTCTGCTTCGCCAGCTTCTTGGCCTCTCTCTGTGCCAAAACGTCTTCTCTAGAGGGCTTCTGATCTCCCAGTGGTGCATTAGCTTCAGGTTTCGCCTCAGGCTTCACCTCAGGCTTAGTCGTCTTAGTCTTCTTCTCCAGCTTCTTGTTCTTCCTCTCTTGCAAAATCTCTTCTCGTGTCTTCTCTTTCTCCATTTTCGGTACAATCTCTACTGGAGCGACTGGAGATGGCTTTATAGGCGAAGGATCTCTTTGTGGGACCTCTTCCTGACTTGCAGACGCTTTTGGTTTCTTTTTCCGGAAACGCCTTCTCCTTTTCTTCGCCTGTGCAGCTTCCGGTGCCTAAAAAGCAAACAATATTTAGTGACGGTGTAAACCATAACCATACTTTCGCAAGATAGGAAAAGCAATACAGTCTAGTGGCTGAAAATTTTAAGTGGTAATTTGTTAATTGAAGATACATATCTACCTCAGGTATCTTATCCATTTTGCTGTCTACAAATACAATAAATTGTGAAAATTCTCGGAATATTTATAATTGTCTTGTTGGCAAGGGTGAAGCACTTTTACATTTCCTTTAACGAATTTCCTTACCTTTCGTGCCGGCAAACACAATACCAATCGAATTTAGACAACGTTCTGCAGAAAATGAAACAAGCTGCAGAGGAATTATTCACTTAATTACAAAGATTTTTGAGAAAATATCGAGGATGATGAAACCTTCACGCCATGAATTCTCTCGGCTTGTGAGTACTAAAAAGCCAAATCAGCTGAGCTAAAAATGGGCGCGAAAATGACATTCATACCAGAAGCCGGATGGTAAAATAAAAATGCTCCTTTATTCATTTCCTTTATTTTAAGTTCCGTTATTACATGTCCAATTATTCAATTACAGTTCTTCTAGATAATTCTGTCTTGCAATAACAAGACTTTAAAACACATGTACGACATATTTTTAGTACAATAAATCCTATATGCAATTGGATGACGTCTAAATAGGTTTTTCTTCATGAGTGGAAAACCCAGTCTAAATCATAATCCTTTCACACTTCACAAACACTACTCTTTCGGGAAGCTAAAATATTTTTTCTCATTACGACTAATTAGAAAGAAATAAATCAAGATTAGGAGCTACAATAAGTATTATGGGCTCTACTTATCCATAATTCGACGCAATGTTTCTCTGCTTTACTATTACACATAGTGCAGATGACTATCTTTTGCCATACGCTCTGTAGATCCTAAACGTACTAAATTGTGTTTCTCATTCATGGTATGTTGGATTATACATACATATAGTAGTTTCTATTATATAATGTGATTAATGAAAAATTCATACTTCCTTCCGCGCCCACCTAGTCTGAGGAGCAGCTCGCTTGCTTCTTCATGGACTTCAGAGCTCTCTCTCTAAGCTGCTTCTCCAAGTCATCATTGATAATGCCACCAGCGCCCACGAATGGCACTGGCACGGTTTCCTCATCATCATCATCATCAGAATCCGACTCACCTCTGCGCTTGCTCTTGCTCTTTTTGTGCTTCTTATGCTTCTTGTGCTTCTTGCGCTTCTTCTTCTTCGCCTCCTTCAAGCGCGAGCCGCCCGGACTCTTGCCCTTCTTCTCCAGCTTTCGCACATCCGACACTGAGGAGTTCTCCTCATCTTCGCCACTAGACGACTCCGCCGAGAGCTCTTTGTCCTTTTTCTTCACCTTGTGGCCCTTCTTCACGATCACCACCTCCTCAGATGCCTCATCAGAGCTGGAACTGGAATCTGAACGGCGAGATTTCTTCTTCTTAGCCACTTTCTTCGACTCCTTCCTTCGCAACTCTGCCGCTTCGGCCTTTTCCCTCGATCGCGACTTCAGAATCTCCTCCTCATTGGCGTCTTCATCGTCACTTGAATTGCTAGTTGATGGAGCTCTCTTGGACGCCTTCTTAGATTTCGCCTTGGTTCGTCGCTTCTTCTTCTGCACCTTCTCATCCGGAGAATCGGATTCCGACTCGCTGCTGTCATCGCTCGAGCTCACGCTCTTCTTCTTGGTCGACTTTTGTGTCTTCTTCAGCTCTTGCTGTTGAACCAGCTTCCTAGCACTGCGTTTCGCCTCTAATTCCGCAACAAGTGTGCCGGCAAACAGAGCCGGATTACGCTCGTATGCCCTCAGGAAGGGTGATGGTGTCCTTGACAGGCTGCTAGAGTAAACCATCACCTTCTCAGGCTTCTCTTCCATCACCTTTGGAATCTCCTGACGTCTCACCTCCTCGTCAAATCGCATTGGCTTCACAACAGCCTCACGACGATTGATCTTCTCCTCCTTAGCCAGCGGTTCGGGTTTCTTTCTGCCCTCATCACGCTTCTTAATCGGTTGTGGCACCTCTTCAGGCATCGTTTTCCTTCCTTTGTCCCTCATCTCAAAGCTCCTGTTCGTCTCCTTTGTCATCGGTGTCACTGGGATCTCTCGCTCCTTCCTGTGCACCACCGGTGAGGGTTTCAATGGCGAAATACTGAGTCGACGCTGTGGCGACAACTTCCTCTCACGGGACCTCACGGGACGCCCCTTTGACGAGGACACTCGAGGACTTCGGCTGCGCCTCATACGCTGCGGACTGACACGATTTCTGGGTCCTCTTTGCGGCACATCGCGTCGATCAGGCGATCTTCGTCGGCCACGATCGCGATTCATAGGCGGCAAGGGACTCACTCGTCTCTGACGTGATCTCTGCCTCGATCGCGATCTATTTCCGCGATTTCCACGATCTCTACCCATCGGACGTCCATCCTTAACGAATGTCACCTCCACCTCACTCTCACTTGAATCCTTATTAGACCTGTAGTGCCTCTTCTGCTGCACACTGTTTTCCTTCTTGTGTATCTCAAACTCCTCTCGAGCCGGAGACGATCGAGCACTGGAGGATGCAGACACAGATCTCTTGCGTCGCTTGTCTCCTAGCTTCTTTCCTGCTGCCTTAGCAGATGCCTCATCACTCGAAACAGACGACGAGGAACTCTTGGATCGCGATCGTGAGGCTTTCTTCACTCTCTTGGGTGGCGGAGATGGCGACCTGCGCGGAGTCTTGCTCTTCGATCGTCGTCCACCACCTTCAGCCATGTTTAGGAGCTTCGCCTGCACCTTCGATAGCGGTGGTTTTCCATCCGACCCATTGATGGTCGCCCTGGGCTCTGGCACAGGATCTCGAGGCTTTTCCGGAAGCTTCTTCACCGGTGATCGCGATCGCGGTCCACCTCTGTCTCGACGCGATCCACTTCCATGTCCTCGGAAGTTGCTTTCCCTGCGATGAGATCGCGAGCGTGAGCGCTTCCGATCGCGACGATCACGTGAACGAGTCCGGCGCCGATTGTCGCGTCCCCAATCATTTGATCGCCCTCGAGATCGGCTTCGACGGCGAGACTTTGGCAATGGCGATCTACGTGACCGATCGCGAGATCTTTCGCGATCCCGAGAGCGCCTAGAGCGTGATCTGTTCTTTCCTGGAGACTTCGAGCGACGACGCGAGCGAGAGCGATTGCGTGACCGAGAGCGAGACTTCTTGCGGCTCTCCTTCGAATCTCGTCGTGAGTCTCGCTGCTTCTCCGTGACAGGTTGCATCTTGGGCTCAGGCTGTGGTGCAGATTTGTCCTCAGGCGTCTTCTTCCTCTCAGCCTCCTTCGCAGCGGAGGCTTTCTCAAGGCGCTCCAAAATGATCTTCGACTTTTCAACGGACTTTGTGTAGCTCGCAGACTTGGCTCGCTTCTCTTCGACACTTTCTTTGGGCGACTGTGTAGAATTGTCTGATGATTTTTCCTCGGGCTCTTTCGGATCCTCCTTTGATTCTCGCTCCATCTTCGATTCAATGGCCTTTGTTGTGTCCTCCTCACGCTTCAGAATCTCATCCTTCTTTGCCTGTATGAACTCCTCAGGAATGCCAGTCTCCGTTTCCTGAGCCGACAGGAGCAGAGACCAAAGCTCATCCATAAACTGTCGGGCGTTCTTGCCATTCAGGAATCCAGTCATGTTGATTTGCATCTTCTTCCCACAAGGAAACTGAAAACAAGCGCAAAAGTGAGGCTTTATAGCCAAAAAATACAACTAATTCGTCTGCAGATACTAACACGCTCTTCCTCCAACTGATTGTAGACAAATTCCACAACCACGTCGTCTTCAATGTGCAAAAAATCCGTGATTTTCTTGCTAATCCACGGCCGCAAGACATCCAGCTTGACTTTGGACATATCCACCTGTCCGGACAAAAGCATCATGTTGAAAGTCTTCATTCTGTGACGTGGGATTTGAAGAAATCCCCATGTTTTCTCACCCTTTTGCTGACACAGTCGCCGAACTTCATCACTTTCATCATCTTCTTCTCCTTGTCGCTGAACCTGGTGTCCTGCTGCTGCGTTGTCCCCTAGAAAATGCGCAACAAATGGAAAATAATCATTTTTCCCACGCCAGCAAAGCAAAACATCTAGACTGCTTGCGTATTTCCCGGCGAAATCCCCCGCCAAACGCCGCCCGCTCCCCACTCAAACTCACCGTGAACATCATTCTGAGGCCGGTGTCTGATTACTGCCGTCACAAATGTCTCTCTGCCAAGTGTTGCTCCTGGAGGGAGAGAGAGCGGCCAGAAAATATATATTCAGCAAAATATCCTTCCGTCAACCATTACAGTCCGGCAGCCATGTAATGACACCGAAAATAGACTCGCACGAAATTCCTCAACACCCATTTTCCTAGAGTGCCTTCACGGCTGCCGACTGCATCAACTGGGCCGTCATCTCACCGAGAATTGCAACAGAGGAGAATTGCGCGCGGAAATTACATTTCTCACAGCAAAAAAAGCATTAAAAATTTCCACAATTTTCACTCATGCGGCGTAACTTTCCTCTCAACACTAAGCGTGGAGGCGCTGTCGGCGCAACCCAGTAGCGAAACATCGACCATTGCGATTTCGTCCTACGACCGTTCCTGTCAGCGTGTAGGAAGATTCCTACAAATTTCTGTCACAATCGTTGCAAAATCGAAACTGGGAGCAAGATTGAAATGAATTCTCTCTAATTTGTACATTTATATGGTTTGTTTTATTATTCACCATAATATTTCACTTTACAGCATACAAACTCTGCCAGGATCAAACGTACAAAATTGGAAAATTTAGCATTTCTCTCTATTTAATCCTAAATGCTCAAAATTGCAAAAATGATTAGGTCTGAATTTGCAAAATACTCTTGTTCATTTATTAAAGATTTAGTAACTGTTTTGCACAATATTGTTCTACGATGTTCAATTTTGCCGAAATTGCCAAAAATAACTCTATAAATGTAATGATATTTACTATATTACTATTCAGTGAGTAGTAATTATTATTAGTCATTCATGCTTGTCTAACATTACAATATCTTCTATATTTCTACCCTTTACTTGTGTGATTTTGCCTTCAATATAATGAAATTTTATGAAAAAAGGTTACATAAAAAATCAACATGTGTAAATCCGTGACTAGATGTAGGTTTTTTTTCTTTTCAGTTTCCTTTTTCAATTCTTTTCGTGATATTTCCCTTTCTTTGGACGAGGCTGCGGTAATATAAAGTCTTGTGTCTTTAACATCTCGCTCGTGTCCATTTGATGGATTTATTCTTTGAGGTGTTTTTTGTGGCCTCATCCAAACTAAAATTACAAGTCGAAGAAAGTCTTTTTTCTACAAAACACATTTGTTTCAACATTCGTGGATAATTACAGAAATGAGAAAGATCAGTTGGAATTAGGAAGATTTCTTGCTTAAAATAAATACTTTGCGTCTAAGATAAAATTATGATTCCCTCTGTCTTGAATGCTCATCATTTCTAAGGTTATATGATATTTAGTATGTTAAACTGATGTTTCTGAAATTGAAGACTCGATGACAAACAGTGCACGAAAAATCTCCTCTCACGCTTATCCTTATAAATAATTCGATGAATTCTAATCGTAATGAGAAAACTTATGCCTAAAATCTACAGGTAAAATAAATATATTCTCCAATATATAAAACATTGTATACAAAAAGGCATAAAAATCATTGAGAATATGCTTGAATGTGGATTGATCACTTGAGGCGTGCTTGGAGGAAGCTGTACAGGATGCCCGCCTGTGCCATAACGCCCACTGTGCTCGTCTCCAAGCCGTCCCTCTGCTTGCCCGTCGCCGGTCCAGGCCGCAATAGCGTCGGACCGAAGACCATCGCCAAGTTGTGCAGAGACATTTTATTCTCCGCCTCCTGCTGATGCACTCTGCAGAATATCGAGAGAAAAAAACTGAGCAAAAATCCGCATCATTTTCTCACAAATTATCTCTACCTTATCAAATGATCCAGGATGAAGTTAATTGTATCCTTATTTGGTGGCGGAAGCTCACTGAAGATTGTTAGTAGTTCTTTACTCCTCTCCGCCTCATTGAAGTTACTGTACTTATTGTACGTCTCTGAAAGTTTTGGATAGTATTGATCAGTGAAGAGCGCCTCAGGAAGTTCCCTCAGATATGATTTGAGAATTCCTGTCACGGAATGAATGTCCACCTCCTTGAGAAGCTGTTCCGCTTCATATGGATCTGAAAGAGGTGTTAGAAAGTGAAATTGCCATGAAAATAGATTTTTTGTATCTTCTTCCACAACTTACTTGTTTCAAACGACTTCTTGAGCTTCGTCAAGTCAGACGCTGATCCACTGACACGATAAATGCCCACCTCAGCCATGCCACGTCGCTCCACTTCACGTATGCAGGCACTGATGATAAAGGGTGTATTGCGCTTTTCTCTCTTCACGACTTGAAGCATCTTCGAGCCAAAGAGCGCGCCTGGCTTTGAGGTTGGCACTCGCCTATGCGATCCCTCGTCGGGGAGGAATTTAATGGTGGTATTGAGTGTTATGGATTCAGACAAATGGAGGGTTTTGTTAGTTGGTACATCTTGAAGCCACAATCGGTTTAGCTATTGATAAAGAGGAACACTTATTGCATTAAACTGAAGTTAAGGTGATAATGCGCACAACTTACCGGGAGTACGTGATGCGCCAACAGTCTCGCTTGCTGTTCGTGATCCTCATAGAGGAGAAATCGGACATTTTGACTTCCTTCAAGTTCCATTACAAATGACTCATTCCAAAGTGGACTTGAGCTACGACAGATGAGTTTAGTCTTTGCTTTACGAAAATAGTGGCTGTACGAGTCAATTTCTACACAAATGAAAAGGTCAGAGGCATGATTCAGTCCTGTCAATCCCTGAATGGTCAGGTGAAGATCCCCAAACAGAAGACTGTCATCGTTATTCCTCAGCATGGAATACGGCGATCCCGCTTCGCTCTGCAGGATTGTCTGGCATGCCGCAATGCTCATCTGAATTTCATCAATATTCACCATTGGCTGCACACCTGGCAGATTGCACGACTCTTGCAGCGTGAGAATTGACTCAATCCACTGTGTTCGCTCAAAGTCTGAGCTCAGAAAAAAGACCATCGTCTTGTTGGTGGCTCTATTGCTCAGTCTAAACACCAAATTCGGTGAGGCCAAGAACAATTGCTTCTCCAGATCCGCCAGTTTCTTCTTATGCTTATCACTGACTTTTGATGCATTACCCTTTCCTCTCATTTTCTCGTCATGCTTCTCCATTTGTATTAGATCACGCACAGTACACGCTTGCGATTTCAATTGCAAAATGTTAACCGGATTCACCTCTTTGTGATCACATTGTGACTCCCGCAATACACAAATGTCCTTCAAGAGAATGTACCACTTCACCTCGAACTCAAAGCTCGTCTGCCGCTGAGCTTTGATAGCTTTGGCACATGTAATCACGTCGTTGAACAGGAATAAGTGACGTACTTTCCGGTGTGCATCCACCAATTCCACGATCGTCGAGTGCTTCACAAAACGCCTTAAGGTTTTGTCGTCCGACTGTAAAAACAAATGGATTTATAGGAAATCATAGCAAATGTATGTATGATCAGATAGAGGACACACTCACCAACAGTCTCTTCGTCTGAATAACATTAAACTCAGAGAGTAGATTGCGAATGACATGCTGCGCCTGTTTCAGTGGCGGATGATCAACATGTGTCGGCGGTGTCTGATTGAGCAAGTCCTCCAACACCAGTGCATTCTTCTGCACACGCGCCACCGGCTTGTGCAGCAAATCCTCCAGTGGCAAAGACTGTTCATTTTTCGAATTGAGCACAATCCGTGAGACAATCTCCTTGAACTGCGTATTATTATGTCCACACTTCTTCACAGTGTCAATTGCTCGACCATAATTGTGCAGAAATGCCCCGTAAAGATTTATGTAGCCGGCCATCTTCTTAAAGGTATCACCAATGCAAATATCATCCTCCTGCTGTGCCGCCTTCGCGCGCAACTCAGCCAGAAAATCCGTGTGAACGGCATGCAGTTCTTCAATCTTGAAGAACATCGTCTGAAACTCTTCGTCACTTATCACAGGCTGAGAAGTGGTCAATGTGGCCTTTATCGCCTTCATATACTGCATCATCTTGCCCAAGCACTCCACATAGAATGTCTCACTTGTTATAATACTGGAAATTATTTGGCGAACTGTTGTGTTCCTATTGGCCCCAGACTATGCACAGTATCGAAGAAAATGAAAGAGAGAAATAATTAATTTTCATCATAATTGATTGATCAATCTACTGTTGACTCCAGTGGCAATTTGAGAGTAATATGCAAATCACTTTACTAAATTGCAAATATACCGAAGAATTTAGTACAGTATATAATCTATATGTAACTCATGTATGACCAATTTTCTAAATTCTTTCTGCCACGCTTCTCTTAAACGAGCCCAGCACATGGAAAAATATAATTTATATACATATCGTCTTCTACATTAAATTTCTCTCAAGTATAAATTTCCTTCACATTCTCTACTTGGAATTAGAGATCTGCGCGCAATAGAATGTTTTGGCGCCAGAAAACCCACCAAATGCTAAGACAGTCGAATTGTGCCGCCGCAAAAATCGATTTCACGCAGATCTCTACATTGAGCCTCTAATACTACATGCGAAAGAAGCCCAAATTGCTGGAGCACAGATATGTAGATAGACAAATTGGATGTACTTGAGATGTTAGACCGTTATTCCACTTTACCTGCAATTTTCTAAATGCTCCCGGCGTATTTGGATTATCATCGTGCGATATTGCACGCATGAGTGGTGGCTGATCACCCTCCTCGTCACTGTCGATGGAGCTACTGCGCGTCTCGTGGTTCTGCATTAGGAAGTAGTTTATGTTGACGTAGTTGGAACTCTTGCCCGGAGATTCTGGCTCAACATGAACACTCGCCTGACTACTGTTCTGACTTCGCGGATATGCCGGCATCGGCAGCGTGCTACCCGCCGTTGAGATATCATCTCTGCTTGATGTTGAGCCAGCACCCTTGCCACCACTGTCCGTCGTCCCACCGCCGCCCGATTGGATGTACACATAGTCACCGTCACCATTGTCCATCGGCACAGTGTCATAATATGGCTCATTGTCCAGCAACGGCCCACCGGCCTTCATGCTATCCGAACTCAGTGACGAAATGGACTCGTAGCTCTTTATCTGGGTAAAAGAAATTTGATTATTGTCATTAGTGAAATCTGCAACGCATGTTTATCGAATTAGAGAGTTTTACACACTCTGCTGAGAGAATGTATGATTCACAGCCAATTTCAATTAATATTATCACACTAACTTCGATGTTGAACTGCCCTTGAATGTAAGGCAAACAAAAACACCTATCACTAAATTATATTTCCTGATAAGAGAGCTCCCGATAACGTCTAATCTAGTAGAAAATTCAGCTCTGAACACATCAAATTGAATTAATCACACTTGAACTCTCACCCTTTCGGAAATTGCCCCCTGTGACGCCAGGGATTCCTTGGAGCCGACATTCTGTTGATTATCATTAGCTCGGGCATTGATCTTCTCCAGACTCCCAGTGGGACTGTCGGTCGTCCGATTTTCCGGCACTTTTTCAAGACTCCCAGTCGGTGAGCCGCCACTCGATGCGGTTGTTGTCACATGTGCAGCTTGTGTGTTCAGAGATCCAGTGGGACTCTGCGAGCTGCTACTTCTGATCGACTCAGACGCAAGGCGGGTTTTCTCGTAATTTTCTGACTTAATCTTCCTGCCATCTACCTTTGCCAGCTTTACATCCACCGAATCTGATGATTTTTGCCGCTGAATGTCCGATGGCTTGATATTCCGCTCCAGGGAACTAGATGGACTGTCTGAGTCTGCACTCTTTCTCGCGACCACCGAAGCAGTTCCTGGCACTGTGGGTGGATCAACTGGGGCCGCTCGGCGAATAAATTTCGGAGGTGGTCTGGAAAGATTCCAAGGAGTCACCAAGTCAGTCATCAATTAGTCAGACCCTCTTGACTTCAGCTGCTCAATTGGGTGAAATTCTCTCTTGCCGACGAGTGCGCGCCACAGTGACAAGAAGAATGTGTGAGATGGGGAAGTGAAATTAAATTAAGAAGCAAAAATTAACAATTGTGAAGTGTGTGGTATTTCCATTTGAGTGAACTCTGTAGCCAACAAGAAAATCACATTAGTTTTGCCTCAAATCTCTCTTCTCTCGATGATCAAAAAGAAGTTTTCTTCTTCTTTTTACAAATTAAATATGGGTGAAAAATCATTAAATTGACCAATTGTAATTTCACTTTTTGCCTCATAACATTATGGAATTGTTATGTACATAATCACGATTTGATTGTAATACAATTGCCTGCGCTGTATTTAATCTCTTTCTCTCTCTTCACTCTTTCAATTGATTTTGAGAAGGAAAACACTCTCACCTCCGTCCCTGATTAATCTCTAGTCAGCAATTAATATTATTCATACACCTTCACACAAAATACAACAATTTCTCTCCCTCTCTCTCTTTCTCACTCACTCTAAATTCACTTTTTCCCTTTAATTTCTATGCAAATTAATGTGGATGATGTCTGTATTGAGTTTCAATGCCACTGCAATATTGCAATTGATTAAGAGAGATCTCTACACAGAAACGCCTCCATTTAATTGTTCTTCATCGCCTTTTTCCAACATGTGCACACACAAGTTGCCTTCTTTTACATTTTTTCATGTTGCAAGTGCACAACAGAGAGAACAATAAGATGAGTTAAATTTATCACTTAACATCAATTTCGAAGAATTTTTATTTTCATGCCGTCTCAGCACTGTACAGACGAGAATTCTAAGAAAATCCTCTCAACAATTCCCAATTCTATTGCATACAAAGCGTGTCGATGTTCTTTAGATGGACGACTTATATTCATTCATTAGAATTTAATAAGACAGTTTCTTACGATGAAAGTGAATGCAATTCTTAAACATCACTCGTTATCAAATGGTTGGAAGGAAAAGCACTATAAACTCTTTCTCAAACTTATCTATTGACATCGAAATATAACACTAAGCATTTCTCCACCTTCTTTATTCCTAGCCAACATCTCAGCTTCCGCAAACTGGGCTCTCAGCGACAATCTGACATTAACAGATTTCCATACTATATGTAAGCCTAGGTTGTAGTGATGAGCATCACGAGTAAAAGGTAGAAACAAGTATCACTCATTCATCATTATCTATTCCCAATTTCTCACCAGCATGATTGCTAACAATGTTAGTCAATGGTTTACCACTGTATTCAGAGAAATACGAGAAATAGTCAATTAGTTGAGTTATTGATAAATTATTTCCGAACAATCAATTTAAGATTCTTTCTCTCTGTAGGAAATTTGCCCACATACACACATTATGTGTATGTGTATGCAATAGTAAGGAAAAGAAGTAATATCGGATCAATGAGTTCAGTGAGCAATTATCCGCTTTACGACTGCGTAAATAGCACAACGCAACTCATTATTAAAACTTAAGAAATTGCCAGTACTCATGCAGTGTGAGCAAGAGTCATGGGGATGAATTTACAACCTGGCAGAATTGCACTTAATCTCCCAATGAATGAATTGTGTCTAGACTTATGTTTATTTACTATTTTCCTCGCGTACACACTATGAAAAAAAAATCTATTTAAGTAAAGAATGTGCAAAATCAACTGCCAACAAGTCTGCATTAACACTTCCACAAAGTATGAAATTAAGAGAAGTGAAAAAATACCTAATAAATTGAACATCTGTTACAGTGCTTTAAGCACATGGAGCAAAAACGGCAACAACTTATAGGAACGGAAAGATAAAATAATAAAACCATAAGAAAATTCATGATATCACTACAGTTAAAATGATTTAAATGCTGTTTGTGCCTGAAGATGGGATTAATATTCTGGAAATTATTTTTCTTGCTCCACTTTTTTTTACCATTCTCAAAGCTAATAAACTGAGGCCAGAGAATTCATGCCTCTTTCTTCTTCTACATGTTAATGTGGCGGCTTGATGCCTTCCAGATTTAGTGCATTCGAGAGGCTTCCCCGATGCTCAATAGGCACTTTGCGCTTGGAGTCAAAATGTTTCGACAATTGACTCATTGTTTACATCATCAATCATCTTGTAACACTACAGATTTCGTCAAAAACAGTGTCCATAGAAAACAAAGACAAATTAAACATTAAGTTTTTATAATATTATTCTTTTTCGAGACGTCTTTTTTTGTATCATTTCTCTACTCTCAAATCTCATTAAAATAATCGCGTTGAAAGTGTTTCCCTTAATTGTATTATTGTGAAAACAATTGTTCTCTCTTTCGCTTTGCAAAAAATTATAATTTCAGAACTTATTTCTATGTATTCATGGAACTTTCACCCTCATTCGTCTTATCAACATTACCGTCCTTCCTCACCCTCATCATAACACATCGCGTTTCTCCCCTAACATGCGACGTTAAAGTGTGACTTTATAAAATAATACCACGAAGGCATGCAATTTTCTCCAGCAGTTTCTCTTAAGTTGCTACCATTCGTACAAATTTGTCATCATCAAAATTTAACCATAAAGTTTTCTACCTTTCATTTAATACACAATGCATTTATACATATGTATCATTGCACTCTTTTTCTCTTTTTCGCTCTCTACCATCGGCAATTAGTAGTGTGAGAAAATGAAGACTTAGGCCAATTCTTTTCCACACAATTGAAACTTTAAGACATTAGTATAAGAGAGAAACGTCACAAAATTTATGCAGAGTTAAGAAATTGAGGTTTTGTAAAATGGCAGATGATAGTTGTAATGAAATTGAATGTTACAACATTAATAAATGAATTTATATAATCTTTCATTCTGTAAATGCCTTAGAACCCAGTTTGTGAATGTCGTTTATTTTATCAAAAGTGTCAATTGTAAAGAAAAGTTTCAACATGATAAAAGTTTTCGTATACAACAATAAAATCGCTGAATACCAACTCTACAAAGTTATAAGAGAAAGAGAGGGATTAAATGTACGCGAATGAAAACTTCCTAATCAACAATCATTGAATCAACGAGGAAATTCACCCTTCCTCGTTGCCTCGATTCACTCTCTAATCGAGAGAAAATCGGCAATGTGGAGGACTGATGAACTGAACATGTGTATATGTATGTATATGTATAGATTCGAAAGAAAACCTCCCTGTTTTATGCCACATGAAATCTGATCCATGAATTTTTCGACAATAAAAACTGTGTAATAAATTGTACAGATCATCATCATAAATCTTTTTCGCTAATCAATTCACTACATCTTTCGTCAATGAATGCTTCTTGGATAAATCTCTTTCTTCTGTTTTAGGAATTGCGGCTATTGCCACTGCTAATGAGTTGAAGAAACAGAGGAGGTGACTTAATTTCAACTCGCTCTTCCCTAAATTGTTCTACATTACCAGTTTCCAAAGTCATCACTTACAGCACTTTGAAATTATTCATGCGACGTGTAAAAATTAAACAAAGTGCTATTACTTCCCTCCATTTATTGGATAGTCAACTGAAACTGTACTCATAAGCCGCACACTCCTTCACATATGAGTGTTATGCAAGCGAAAATTCCAACCGATATTTCACTCAATTTATTATAGTCGCTCACTCACGGTACTGCCATATGAAAGCACGTATAGTCATACTTCTTCTAACACACTCACTATGGACGTATCATAAATGTGTACACCAAATGCACTACTTTATACATAGGTGCATATGAAATTGAAGTTCCCTTGCAGGTACGATAGATGCACAACATCACACCATATTTCTCCGTCCCTATCTATCAGCCTCCCTTTGCGGTCCTTCCGCGCCATTTCCCACACAGTCATTGGCATACGGCTAAGCTATTTAAGGTGCAATATGATATTCATGTTAATCTACTACACACAGTACAGGCAATTTTTATGCCGGCAGAATAGGAGATGAGCCACCAGTGAAATGCAAACCTCACAACCATTTTGAAGGCACTTCTCGTCTGCAATATTGATGAAGGCAAAAATGTGTATAGAATAGTGTTACGAGCGTGACCAAACAAAGGTAATTTAAGAAGGGTGTGGAAAAAGATTTATGAAATGCCACCTTAACGCAATATTATCCAATTTGTTGCCACCCCTTCACATTATACATTAAAAAGGGTAAGTAATAGGCTGTTTAATTGAGTTGCGGTGGAAAAATATCAAAGAGACTAAAGGGAATGTTTAGACGAGAGCAATAGATCAAGAGTTTGTGCATACAAATGCGAAATACTGTACATAGAAGTAGTTGCAATTTAATAGCTTTGGAGGTCATCAACTTGATCATGTTACTCGCGTTTCGTATATAAACTAAAACATGTTACACTTTTATACTTTTTCAAGCAACGTGACACTTTTCCAATTTCTCCCAGCAGTTTAAATACAAACTGAAAACCCCACAATCTTTTAAATACAATCAATTTTCCTTTAATGAATATAATAATCAGAAACAAATTGGTGAAATAATTGAGATAGATTACTTTCTGATCGAGAGTAAAAGTAATAATAAAGAAAGATTTTCTTTATATGCAAAGACCTATAACATTGTAAGATAATTTGTATGTGCTGAATATTTTTGTATTGACTTTACTCACATACAAAAATGTATGTATACAAATTGAATGAACAATTTAACATGAAGACACATTGGAATCTGATTGTTAACTCCATTGAAAGTACAATGTTAGTCAATTTTTCTCTTTTTATTTGCAGGTTGGCAAAGTAAATTACATTTGCAATCTTTTTGTACGACTCTGAAGCACATATTGTAAAAATTTTCTTGAAACCTAATATTACATTAACAACAGTGTGATTTTTGAATACATGTATAAAAGATGTATACAAGAACAATTTGTTTTCGTTCTCTGCAATAGATAAAGAATCTGAAGTTTATTTAACACTGTTATTGATTTGAATTCTTTTGATTCATTCAAGAAATAGGCTCTTATATCGCTTATTTCTGAATTTTACAATCCTTATAGCTACTACAAATTAGTATTTTACAGGCAATTTTACTCATAAATTTTAGTGTGGTGGAATTGATAATTATCATTTAATACCTGTATTTCTTACCATGTCTTCAATTCACTCTTTGCTAGAGTGTTATTTGAAATCATAACACAATATAGATTTTTCCTATTGTTGATTTTAAGACATACGTTAAATATTGATCATACGATTCAGTGTGATCTTTGGTGCGTTCTTTCTCAATCGTCTCTATGGTCGTTTTTTATATACTTTATTTTATTGTCGAAAAGCCTCTTTTGTATATAACATGAAAACGCAAATAATGTAACAATTTCTCCATACAGTTTCGTGTTTATTACCATCCACCAGAAAACCAGTCTCTTGAATTTTATGCGGCCTCCTGCTTTAATTTCATATCAGTATGAAATAATAAAAATATTTTAAAGAGCAGCGTGGAGAACTTTCTCCATTCGTGTGGTGACACACACACACACACATTCAGATGTTGTCATCTGCAGCTGTAAGATGGCAACATAGCACGAAAAATGCGCGTGTTGCCTTGCCGTGAGCCAAAGAGAAAGACATCATGAACAAAAAATCAGCAATATAATAAATTACTGAAGAAGTCACTATAGACACAAACATATATACATATCTTAATGGTATTATACAATAACTTGTTGACATTATTTTTCCTCACTCACTTCCTCCATGCATTTTACGAATTTTCACTCTTCTGTATGTGTTACTCAATCAAGAGAGTGGCTCTCTTCGGAAGTGTAAATTAACTCGTCATATTTTACTACGCACTGTTATTAGTGACAATCCTATAAACTCTCATGTAGTATCACGGAGAAAAATGAGGCGAAAAGGTAATTAAAATGTTGAGCAGAGATTAGAGAGCCTGAAAAATCTACTCACCGAGGCGGAACTTTCTTCTTCACATCCTGCGGTAATCCAGGCGGCAGCGTCGGTTTGAACTTCTTGTCCAAGAAGGTCCCCTCGCCAGCGTCCACACTCCTTCCGTCACCTAGGAAGGAGCTCCTGCTGCTCAACTCATCACCACCCGAACTCTCTCTCGTCACAACTGCCGTCTCCTCAGCGATATCATCGCAATCTTCCTCGGCTGTCGCCACGGGAGCAGATGACACTGAATCGATTGGCTTTGTCTCCTTCACCTCGATAACAGTGACAAAGTGTGAGGGTGTGGCAGGAAGTGCATCATTCTGACTATTCCTACGCGATTTAGTGGGACTTGCCACACTCTCTTGGCCATCACGCACTTCCTGTGGCACTTCACTGAAGCACTTTCTTGACGACAACTCATTGATGCACTGATTGAGCGGTCCATCGCGACGCAACTGCACTAAACTCCTTTTGGTGGCATTTGATCCCTCGTCATTCTCCCCCTTGTCGTTAGAGGACTTTGAGCCATTCGATTTGTTTGCAGTGTCTAGACTCGGCGCCGCCGATATCAGCGTTTTCTGTAGGATGGAAAACAGAAGAAAATTGTGAATTTATTAAAAAAAAACCTATACACTATTCATTAATGAAGCTAGAGCATATCGCAAATGCCTAATCTAACACATGTGCCTTACTTTATTATGATATTCACTTAATTGTCTATTCCGCTTCAACTTATCGCATCAATTATTTTGACCGTAACTTTATCTCTCTGGTCTTTCCGCAACTTATATTTTATCCCATTTTTCCCTCTCTCATGGATGGGAAATGCAATAGCACAGAATCTCACATGCCTAGAAGATTTACAATTAATGTCTGCAAGAGTGTCACGAGTAGAATAATATGTGACAAGTGTTGTTTTCCATGTATCTCAGTCTCACTTTGACTTCAACTCCCGCGGCAAATTCTCATTACTTTGCATGTTATTCACATTTTGCAGACACATTACACACATTATTCCACAATTCCAATTCAAACAAGGCAAATATTGGTGGAGGTGAGTAGATAAAGGAAGAAGAAAAACCGTTTCTCGAGAGAACACACGACGCAGTGTTGCTGGTGACCCAGTCACCGAAACAGATTAATGTGTGTTCCGTGGTGAGAGGTTTGCAGATAAACTGAAGAGTTGTGTGTGTTGATTAGAATTCTTTAAGAAATCTTCACAACAAATTAGTTGCCATTTTGTTTGCCAGGAAAATAAATTAGAAAGCTATTAGCGCTAGTTGGGAAACAGCAGCTGAATTTAAAGTAAAGATAAACAGTTCCTAAATAGCCCATGGATTTCTTTTACTAGCCATTGAGTGAAGTCAGTCAATAAGTAATTTGTCTACACTCTAGATTTTACCAATCTTAATTGTGAATTCATTTTTGACTTATTAGGAATGATCATAAATTAATTCAAATGTGTTTTGATCCATCTGCAACATTCCATTTCATGTCATTTGTAGTCTCGTGAGAAATTTTGATAAGCCAAACTCTTGTTGTCTGTAAACGAGCAATTGAGATGAAATTCTATAAAAATAACATCCATAAAAATTCCAGCAATTTTCAGTGAAAGTTTGTAAGTGTTTGTTTACACAGTATCTTCTAGTTTACCAGCAAACACACTAACTTTCACACTATTTAACGGATTTGTGGATTTTGACGTATGAATAAGCAAAGAGAATTTGCAAATATATCAAAGTCAAGACATAAATTGCGTCGTTAAAATAATCATATAATATTACTTATGTAGAAAATCAAGGTTTTACGAGAATTTACTAAAATGTTCTACATAAATCGTTTTTTTTCGTTTCATCAGTGTTCCTACTTTTTCACCAAGAAGGAACGGCGAAAAGGTTTGTATATGTATCACAACTGTGCGTAAATGGATATAAATTATACTTTTGCGTGATATTCTATGAAAATGAGATGGAAAATATAAGTCAAATTGCTTTTTTCTGAAAGTCTTCTGGTCAATTCAAGTGTTTCAAAACAATCCTGTTACCACAAATATTTTTTTCGGAAATTTTATTATGCACCTGGATCATCACACATTGTTGTCTAGCAAAAAATAAAATGAGTGTTCACATTTTCAGCGGATAACAGTATCACACCACCAGTTATTTTTTCTTAATCAGAAACACAGGGACTGAGAGAGAGAGAGAGAGATAAGTGATAACACAAATGATTATTGGATAAAACCTTTAAATTCTAGAAAAAGGAAATATTCTGCCTCCCTACATTTACCTTATTAGACCACAATTTTATCCTATCAGACACTGAAAGCATATTGATATCCTTTATAATGGCCTTGAAATTATATGTAGATGTTGCTAGAACAATGGCACTTTTCGCACTCAACACGGAGCTTCTCCATGTGACCAAGGAACTGAAACTTGGTGAAATACCAGCGGTGTATTGTTCAAGACTAACTCTTTACATTCACCACTCCTCTTATCAGTTTCAACGATAAGATATTCGTCGTGTGACTTTAGATTTCACGTTCACTTTGCACGTATTTTGCGGTGAGCTGCGAAGTGGAGACGTACCAATACGAGCGCAGACAACATACGTAACTACACTGGAACTTCCAGATATTGATTTTTCCTTGTTCCCAAACACTATGTCGTGTATTCTGCCTAATGTTTTCCCTCCTGCGGGAGTGACGAACTTATATTGTTAATCGCCCTCAATTCCATCACACGCACTAAATGCAGGAAAATGACCCTTGGTGCCACCGAATGAGGCAATTTCCTTTATTACAATTGCGTTTTTTCGTCTTCTCTCCAATGAAAAACACCTTTCCAGCACTTCCACTTTTTGTGGACACTCTCTTAGCCTAAGTGTCAGACGATTTTCACGGTTGACAGACACCCAAAAAGTCAATGTAAGGAAAACAAATTTTATACACTGATTTGTATTTTCTCAATCAGCATTTGACAATGATTTTTTTTGCAAAATTCCTTAGCCAGGAATGTGTATATGAAAGTGCTGAGAGAGTGATAGTGAAATCCTCTCTTTTCACTTGACTTTGTTCCACCACGATAGATTGTCACCGACTGAATGCGATGAATTTATTCAGAGTGAGAAAAGCTCCACCGGAATTCGAGAGAGTTGAGGTGGCGAAAAAAGGCAGTATCAGTGTGTTTGTCCCCTCGCGATTTTTCTAATAAAATAATTTGGAATTTTACCAACAATTACATGCACAATTTTATACATCAATGCGCATAAAAAAATTAACTTCCACTACTCTCTGTCTATACATTTCCACACCCGCACTGTCCGCGAGAGAGTCTCAAGTTCAATCTTATCTGGAAGCTCTGGAAGCAATCGCTATTGAATTCCCACTCTCACACTGACTGACCCTTTGTAGTGTTCAAGTTTTCGCAGTAAAAGTGCGATGAGAACGATTGTGAGTTGTGTAAATAAAACAATTCTCAAAATCTGAACATCACAAAACACCGTACCTGATCTGAGCTTTTGCGGCCTAATAAAAATATCTTTGTGCAACACCTTCTCCAAGAGTAGCGCAATTGTACTCTACACTAAATACATTTTTTTCAATGCCTAGTAGGTATAGATTGCACACGCAAATCCATTTATTATACGCTTTTGAAGCAAAACTGCACGCAAGTGAAGGACAATCAGAATCAATTTGAAGTTACTATGAAATTTTCCTATCAAAATACACTTTAAATAAACTTCAAAGCCAAATTGCAAATATAGGGAGAAGGCGGAGCAAATTTGCACGTAATTGAATGTCTGAATAATTATGCTAACTTTGATTCTACGTTCGCAAAATCAATGTGATTACTCAAGTATACGCCCATTAGATTGCTCCGCCTACTCGCATACTGATTTTGCGTTAAATCCCTGAATTAGTAGAATTCAAATGAAACTACTAAGTCAGTAAATCTACAATTTGTGTAATTTAAAACAGTGAGGAATTCATTAAAATTCAGGTTGCTAGATGAACAGATTTATACTTAATCTTTTAAAGGGCATTCTATTGCAATTCTTAAAGGAATTGTATGTATCAAAGTAAATTTAGAATACTTTGATTGAGCGTTATTCACTACATTTTAATATAGTGTGCTTGTAGGTGTCTTCGAGTTAGGAGAGTTTATGAATTCCATTAATTCTCACATTTCCAAGTAAAACCAAAATTTCCTCGAAAGAGTTTGGAGGCCTGTTTGCGAGTAATGCTATATAAATGCGACATTGTGTGAATTCTTCGGTATCTAAAGCTTTTGCCATCGCAAAAGAGTCAACAGACTGGACAACGTTATTAGCGGGCGCGTTATCAGAGTTCTTGGGAAAGCCACGAGGACGGAGTGGGAAGAGACAGCAATACTTGATAAGACTGAGTGAGTAATTCACGAGGTTCGCAAGTATCATTTTAACTGAATAATTTCCTTCCTCCACTTCCTTTTCAAATGTTCTGGCGAGAATCGTAGGCCACGAAGGGCTTCTCATGTTAAACAGGTGTCAAAAGCAATGCAATTTCTGCTCCCGGCGAAGGGAATGCGAAGGCATTTGCAGAGAGTGCAAGCAAGACCAGAAAATCCGAGTGTGTGTGTGTGTGGAATAATGCAAGAAAGTTGAACAGGAAGTGGTGGAGCGCTATCAAAAATGCCATGCAATCAGTGTGCAAATGGCAATATTGGGCAAATTGGCCAGTCGAGCAGACTTCTGGCACTTCCGGAAACACGCCTGAAGCCACAAAAATCGCGTCGCGGAGCAACTTTCACCGCGGGCGCCTGGGTTATGTAAAGAGATGTCTTAAGGTGGCCCCAAAAGCAGGCCACGGAGGCACAAAAACGAGTTGTATGTTATATCACTTACATCTTCATCGCTCTTGGAGGTCTCAGGAGCGGTGGATTCGCCAGCCAGGATACCCGGCGAAGGTGTGGCCGCCTCAATGAGTGCTTTGGGGTCTCCGCCCGCTTCGCGGTGCTTCTCAACATCGCTGAGGAGACGCTCAAGGTACTCCACATAGAGCGTCTCCTGCTCCAACTCCTCGCGAAGTTCATCGATCTTCTGGCGGTGTCGCGACAGACTTGCTCTCACGTCCTGCTCCCAGGCATCCGAGAGGCTCTTGTGGGGGAACTTCTGTTCCCACATTCGCTGAAAATCACTGAAAACACTCATTTTTCTCGTCACTGGGGCGTCACTTGGGAGCGTTTAGCACTTGGGAAACACTTTTCGCATTGTTCTCCAGTACTCTAGGGCACACCTCAATTCATTTTCCAACGCACTTTTGCCACCTTTTCCACGCCAGAAGAAAAGTTTATTCGTCTAGGCACGTCTTAACTTCTTCAATTATTTTTTGAGTACTGAAAAAACAATGACGTGTTGTCACTATGCTACCAAAAGCCACCGTTTCGGCGTTGCCGGCAGTAGGAGGCACAGGTGAGTTTTTCCGCGAGAGTGCGCATAACGCTTTACCGCCAATTCAAAAGTTCATTGAAGGTATCTAAGAAGTCTAAGAAAATGAAGAATGAAATGAATTTCCCAAAATACCCTGATATTGAAAAGTACTGTGAGTTGCTTATTTGAGTACGAGTTGAGTTGAGAAAAACCTCTTGTATTATGAAACTTTTTAGGTGATTGCATGCAATTAAATTTAATCAATATTCACACTGCATTTCTATGGAATCGCCTAGGAGCAGTGCCAAACGTTATGGTCAGTGCAAGAAGAATATCAGACAAAGTAACATCAATATTCGGCATAATGAAATTCTGGAAATTCATTCTGTTTATTCAATGTTTTTATATATGGATTACTTATGTAAGTTGAGAAAAATTGTATATAAATGGATAAATGATCATATAAATATTTCCTTTCAAGTCCAATGCAGAGACCTATAAAGTCACCTCACAAGTCTTCTTGGATGTCTCTCATGATGGAAAAGATTTGGGGCGAATTGTAATTGGATTGTTTGGTGAGAATTCTCCAAAAACTGTGAGAAACTTCCGTAAGATTTGCTTGAAAGGGATTAATGGAAAATCTTACAACGGCACAACATTTCATCGAATTATCAAGAAATTCATGATTCAAGGAGGAGACATCATCAGTGGCAATGGCCAAGGATCTGCGAGCATTTATGGCGATTCATTTGACGATGAAAATCTCGATCTCTTGCACTCCGGCCCAGGATTTATCGGCATGGGTAAGTTCTGCACAACTATATCAGTTTCCGGGGTAAATTTAAATTCTCTTGGGTCCTTTTTGGCAGCAAATCGAGGCCCAAATACGAACGGCTGCCAGTTTTATATCACAACAGTGGCAACGCCTTGGCTGAACGGGAAGCACACAATCTTCGGGAAGGTCGTGGAAGGACAAGGTATTGTCCATGATATTGAAAGGGTGAAAACCAACACGAATGATATTCCTGTAAAGCCAGTGAGAATCGTGAGGTGTGGAAATCTTCGCATGAAACAAAGTTACACAATTTCCGATGATCCTTATGAGTAAATATCGCTATATTACACATTGGTCTGCCGAGGAGTTCTAAATTCACTTCATTCTGCTTCTTTCGCAGTCTTGCAGCGTGGATAAAGGCTTCAGGAGTGCCGCTGGGAATGTCCTTTTCAATTTTGGCGTTTTTTCATTGGGTAATTCGTCGACTCAACCGTTACATTTAAAAAGGGATAAAAAAAGCGTATCGGCCACCTGGCGAATAAAGTGTGAAGTACCTCCCATAACCTCAATCTTGGCGGATGGTTGGTGTTTTTCACGGTGAAAAAGTAGTTTTCCTCACGTAATTTAATTGAAAATCCATTAAATTGTATCAATAATGGCTTCAATGCTCAATAAAAGTGAGTAGACAGCTGGGTTTAATGGAATTGTGAGGGTGAAAAGCTGTTTTTTACAGTCTTTCTTCAGACTCAAACTCCTCTGGTGTTGGCCAGGAGATTCCGGGGGAAGATCAACATTCAGAGACCACGGAAACCACACTACACTCGAGCTCTCGTGGAGGCTGTCACAAAGCCCATCTATGTGTATCCACCCATCACATTGGAGACTTGCCAGCGAAAGAGAGAACAAACTACGAAGAAGACAAATCCCTATGTTGAAATCATTGCCAAAGAAGTATCCAACTGGTTCAATCACTCCCGCTGTGTGGGGCTCTTTCATATAAACTCCATCAATGCAGAGGATCACTTCAAAGCGAGGGTGCTCTTCCACCGGCAAAACATGCATTTGAAGCAATATCCCACGGAGGTTTTGACAGTCGCCCTCAGACGTACGAAATATGAGAAGATTCTGCCGCTCTTCCGCGCTCAGTGTGCCATTGTCTTCAGTCCTGACGGAGAGGCCGGAAAGATGGTGAAGATTTCCAAGAAGATCCCGCAATTGATACTAATTGGTGCCATTGCGGAAGATAGGATTCTCAGCAGGAATCAGTTTATGGATTACGCAACTCTGCCCGGTCTGGACATGGTTCGGGCGCAGCTGGTGAGTGTCCTGCAGAGTGCCGCTGGCGATTTGGTGGGAAAGATGCAAGGGCATCAAAGTAATATCGTCCGGATGCTGGAAGCGCACGCGAAGAAGTGTGAAGAACCGGAAAAGTGATCTTTTCCAAGGATTTAAGTAGACTTTCGAGGAATATTATACGAAATATTACTATTTATCAGGTTTTATTTTCTCCTAAAGTAACAATTTTCTCACACTCACGCGCAACAACCAAAGCGATATCACTGGAATGCAAACTTCTCAAGCAGGAGTCAGAAAAATCAAAGAATCCAAAATTCACTAAGAGTCCTAAGTAATCACATGCCTTCCAAGGCTCATTACTTCCCGTGCAGGGATTTCCTACCGCGGAAATTGCCGGCAAGACTCGTGAGCGCCTCTGCGGCGTCGAGTTCCTCCTTCTGATGACACTTCAAATCAAATCCACCGTCGAGCTTCGGCTTCTTATCATTCCGCCCAATTTCCGGATGCCAGTCGATGTAATTGTTCTTGTTCGGCGTGAAATTGGCCGTACTCTCGAGCCACTTGGACAATTCCGGCATCGCCAGTTTGTTCTGCTCCGACTCCACGTCATGCAGATACTTTTCCATAATGTGGCTTTTGTACTTCGCCTTCGTTCCCAATGAGATCTCTTCGGACACAAAGGATCCCCACACACTCAGTCGATCATTCTGCTGCCCGAAACTTCGACTGGACGAGGCGCCATTCTCATCGACACTCTCTTCGCGATGATCAAAGTAATCAGGATCAGCTCGTGGTGAATTATCTCCCCAAATACTATCGCCTGAACAGATGCTAAACTGTTGGATAGAATCAGAGAAGTAAATTGAACAATTTTCTGCAGAGTTCGGATAAAGTTCTTCAGTACTTGTTCAACATTTCCCTTAGCATTTGTGTTGTAGTTCTTTATCAAGTGACCCCAAGTCTTCTTGGCCGGCTCCTTGCCAGAGTTTTTGAGCTTTCGGCGCCAGTTCGCGAACCAATTACAAATCTGCGAATGAGATTATGAGAGCAGAAGCATAATTAAGGAAAATTGTTGAAGAGGCAATCAATTGTAATTATCCACAACACAATCTATCTGTTGAAAATTGCGAGAGTCTTGTCTTAATTTGTGTGCTTACTTGAGTGTACGTTAATCCAGTTTGCATAGAGATTTCCGTCTTTTCCTGTCGTGTCGGGTAAGGGTTGTCCCTCCGTCGGATGAGCCAATCCTTGAGGAGTCTCTTAATTTCCGGGGTGAAGAGTCGCTTTACAGGCCTGTGAATATCTCCTGGCGGCCAGGCTCTCCTGTTGCATGGAAAAATCCTGTCATTACTGAAGAAATGACTCGCGAATAAGAGAAAAAGAAACACATGCAAAATCTTAAGAAGCAGTCAAAAGTAACAAAACAAGAACAAAATAACAGGGAAAACGGGTGCATTTATAGGTAAATAAAATAAGCGAGGAACACGAAAAAATACCTTCGATTTCTTACGGGACGCGATTTTTCCATAATTTTTCAATATTTTCTTTCACGCTGATGTAAAAATAACAATGATTAGAACATGGTGTCTGAGATTGACTTGAGTGGGTGATGAAAACAAGAGAGGAGGAAAAACAGGCATTTTGCAATGGAGCAGAGAAAACATGAGAAAGATATTATTTAGTGTTTCCGAAGCGCGATAGTTGAAAATGTCTCATTCATTGCTGGTAAAAATAGCGAGAGTCGATTTGGAGGAAAAGTATTTATTGCCATTAGTTGTCTTCTTTTCTCTCTCGCTCTCTCTCTCTCTGTCCCTCTCTGGGAAATACAGATCATGGATCGTCTGGATGTGCGCAGAGATCAGTTCAGCAGGTGGCGATCGCGATGTTCCTCTGCATTTTGGGGAACATGCAAGAAAACACGATCACGATCTCCGTGATCATGTTTTCTTCTCTGTTGAGGAGGAGGTCAGAAAAATGTGCCACCCGTACCATCAGAAAAAACAAGAAGCATTTTTCCACTCGGACGTTATTTTTACATAGAGAGAGAGACAAACCCACACACAATTCGCCGTGAAAATATATTTGTAAATGTGTTGCAGAGGAGAGAAAAAAGATGATGAGAAAACACAAAATGGCGTCTCATGAAAAATCTTTTCATCGAGAAAATTTGTGATCTTGTAAGTGGAATCTATTGAGAAAAATCGCATGAAGCGCAGTGAGAAAGGTGCTGAAAGATGTTCAAAGAGAAGCTTTTGGTGGGCTGATGTGGAGAATTCCGAGGGAAATTGAGTGGAAAATATGGTAAAGAGGAAAACAGATCAGGCGAAACATGATATTTTGCTTTTGTCGATCTCTTCTTTCCATTTACGAAAGCACTTTTGCACAAATTCTTATCGATGACACGACTTGAAACATAAGAAAGTGATGATGGCTTAACTTTTGATTGTCGATGAGGAGTGGTAAATGGACTTGAAGAGGACAATTATGTAAAATTAGTCACTCACCAATAGATGACTTTGGTATCTGTTCAAGAAATAATCAGTGATCTTGTGTGATTTTATCACTAAAGGCACAACCTTCGATCGGGAGATCACTCAAAAAAGGGCGGAATTAACGATCCATGGAGGAGAAACAAGACTGCGAGACATTCTCAAATGACTGTGACTGTCTTGCTACTAATGCTGATGAGATGTGAATTCACTGGGATCATTGAGCATGAGTGTGAATCCACGCAAATCTGCGACAATCCCACGAAATTCGCCGATAAGACAATGCTAATTCTGTAAGTAATTGCCTTTCGGAATGAGATACGGCCGATCAGAGGTGTTGCTGATGGTTAATCTGCTCCGTCCAGTGGAAATTCTTGTCGGAAAAATTACAATCTTTTATTAGAAATCCTCACATACATCGATCAATGAGTTCATCGATCGCATTTCCTCGATCTCCGTACTCGCCGCCCTTGGCATAGCTGACAACGAGCTTCTTTTTCCATCCATCGCGCGGGGCATTCATCTGCAAAGTGGAATTTTGCTACTTGATATTGCATCCTAATAACACCAAAGAAAGGAGTATCGATACTCACATTGAAGGGTTTCAATTTCTCATTGATTTTGTCGAAGTTCTCTCCGCCCGTGAATAGTTCATGGACGATATCCTCAGTACAGATGATGCCTAGATCGCCAAAAGCCTCCTCGATCATCGCGTTGGACTGTATAGTCTCCAGTCGACCGTTTATCATGAGTTTTCCCTTCTTGAAGATCAAATCTCTCACCGTGTGAATATTCGGCGTGCCCCAAGTCACGTAAGGCTCAATGATGGAGAGCATTGCGGCCACTCTTGCAGTCGGTTTTGCTAAAACAGCCGCATGCTGTGCCTTGAGATGAAGCTGCCCCATCACCTTGTCAACATGTTTCGATGCTATTTTCCTCGTGCGGTGTCTCACGATAAGCAGCACTGATGATTGCGGTACGTTCACCTCAAAGCGCTTTGAGTGCAGCAATCTCCTCTCAATGCGCTTTTCATCCCTTTCAGCCTTTATGTACTCCATGATAAATGCCTCGGGCTTCTTGAATGCACGTCTTTTCTTCCGCAAGATCTTTCTACGCGTGTCTTCCCGAAGTTTGGCGAGATTTTTCTCTTTTGTTATCCTCGTTCGACGACGTGCGAGGATGGACACCTTTTTCGCCGGGAGTTTATTGGGCACGGTATATCTGAAATCCGCAATTGCTAGGTAAGCTCATTATCTACAGAGTGCCAACGGAAAATACTCACTTTTCCATGGTTTTCTTCTGGAAAATACAATATTTATTTCAGCAGGAAAAATCAAAACACACGTGCAGTGCAAAGTGAGGTTAGGATCGAACTTACGGGTGGACGTCAAGAGTGGTTGTCTGAAAATCCGGCAGATGGCTGAAAAATGGCCGCGCGTGGAGGATTTTTTATGTGTGTTTATCAGTTTATCGAGTAAAAGGTGCTAATAATCTCATTATAGTGCATTTTGTGGGCAATCTGTGTGATTCAGAATCAACAGAGTGTGCATACAAAGAGACATTGAAAGAATGATTCCTGATTTCAACGAGGAGATCACTCTTTCCACCCAAGAACTTCACGTTCTCTCCGAGCTTGACAGGTTGGTGGGCATTTTCCGCTTATAAAAGGCTTATAATTCAGTAAATACCGGGCGGTTCTGATCTGTATGGTGCTTGGAGGACTAATGATTGTCTTTTAAATCTAGCCGGCAGTATGGATTCCTCAAATTGGCGTCGCCGGAGCAAACGAAGAAGCAGGCACTTGTCTTAAAGGTTATCTCGAATTTTCATCAACTTCGGTGGCTTTTCTCATGTATTGTGGTGGTTTTCTTGTCCAAAATAGGCAATAAAGTACCTGGAGCGGATGCTGGTGCAGGCACAGTCGCAGAAAGAAAGGGATTTCAGCGAGAAAAAGGGTGAAGATGTGTCCGGAAATGAGGAGAAAGCACAAGGTGATGCAGAAGAGCCGAAAGAGGCTGTCAAGAGTGAACTTCATGAGCAGGCGGATGGTGAGTGTGGCGAGAGCTTGCCCAAGAAGCCAAAGTTGGAGGAGAACGACGTGAAGTCCGATGATGTGGAGATGAAGGTGGTGAACAGCAAGGAAGACGAGAAGGACGAACCGAAGGAGCTGAAGGAGATTTCTGATGACTCCTCCAAAGACATCAATATCGATCCCCGGACATATTGCAAACTTGGCCATTTCCATCTCCTCCTCGAGCAGTACCCCAAAGGTGAGATGATCATAGGAGAGTTAAAGAAGAGAAATTAGCAAATTAGAGACCGTTCTTTCAGCTTTGAGCGCTTATCAGAAATTCTACAATCTGAAAAATGATCACTGGAAGGACACAGCTTTTCTCTACGGCCTGGGACTCGTGTATTTCCACTACAACGCGTACAGATGGTGAGTCTGGATATTGTTTATAAACTAGTTATTACAGTGATATGTCTAAAGATTGTCTGATAATATAAATATCGCATTTGCACTTCCGTCTTCGTCAGGAAGTTTAGAGAGTGAGAGAGTCAATTGAGGAATGGTTTCCGCTACTCTGTCTAATGATAAGAACACAGGGCTTCAGTAGAGGATATGAAGACAAATCACTCGTACTTTTAGCATGAAATTGTCTTGAGATACTATGAGGAGTTTTTCGCGGAAATTTGAGATTTCTGGGAAGAATATGAACTCACGGAAAGGACTTTACGATCAATTTCACACTTTTATTGTCCAAAATATGTACTCAAACATGGTTTATGTTGTGACAAAGTGTCTTTTAGAAAAAAACTTGCTTTGTGGGTGATTTTCAGGTGAAAATAGTTATGTGCAAAGGAGAGAGAATGCCGGTTTAAAAATATGTGTAAACATTTGGGCGTCTCCTGTGCGCAATTTTCCCTCGTGATTTTCACAGGGCTCGTCTTGCGCTTTCTCCAATTTTCCCAGGGTCATGAACTCGTCTGAATATGTTCTATACTGGCTTTATATAGGGTTTCTATACATACATCGAATTCCTGTCTGGCTCAATTCAGTGGCGGTGACTGAATGAAATTTCGTGAGAGCGCTTTTCCACATTTTCTCCTGTGAACATTGAACATATTTTGGGAGTTTTGGGTGTAAAAATCAGACAATAAAACTATCCCACTGTCCGTGAAGTGCAGTATTTGAAGTAATATTGGTGATGTAGTGTCGAAAAGTGTGATTGTTTTGATCGCCACACGTTCATTGTGCCGGTGAGTGACTCTTTGGAGTTAATTTGGGTCCGTTTTTCGCAAAATATCACATGCAAGGTGTCTCGTTTTTTATTCTCCTTGTGTCTCTTTGGCACACACCGCAAACATCGCGATGATATTGTGCAGAAATGTCTACAAAATCCAAGGTTAGCGGTCAAAAACAACAAGGTCAGACAATAAACTCATCCTCCCTGTGTTCATCATTAGCCGCGCTTCTTCCAGTCGCGCCTCTTCTGCTTCTCTTTTTCTTCCCGGGGTTGATGAGACGCACACACACGGGCCGATCTGGCCACTTGCAGTCCACCAGTTTCGCAGGAAAGCTCCCAAAAAATATCACAATATCAGTCGCAATCAAACGGAAATGTGTGTGTCTGGCTTGTGGGCATGGTTTTGTTGTAATCCCAATCTCTCATGATTGCTTTAGTCGCTTTTACAATTGGGGGCTTTTGCGCCCCCCAAGCGATAGTCTTTTTTGTTCTCTTCAGCGGTGAGTTTAGGTGAATCTGAGGACGCCAGACTTTGGAAATTGTGCAGGACAATTTCAGATTGCTCAATTTCGTGTATAAAATTCTTAGGAAAGTAACGGATCTCTGATTAAAAGCATTATCTCTTCTTTTGTGAGACATTTTCGGTATATCAAATATGTTCAATACGTCAGGCAACGAGTTTTTGGGCGAACAGCAAATTAATCAATAACTTGTTGAGGAAGAATATTTGAGACTCATCTAAGTTTGATTCGCTGATTGAGACATTAGAAGTTTTCCAACGTAGAATTAATTTTACACATACAAGCTTTTGAATAATATCGTCGTTTAAAAATTAAAACATTTTACAATTGATGCGTAACTCTTAAAAGTGGATAATTTTTGGTTAACTGAGAGATAATATAATATTTGTGCACATTTGATTCCATGTAATTTAAATAGACACGTGGTTGTGTGTGGTATATTGCGTAATTTGGGTGTTCTATTGGTATTTACCATACCTTATGTGTGTTTCCATTATCTCTATTTTTCCGATGACGATTCTCACATGTGATGTTTGTTACACATATTTCCAGGGAACTGTAGTAAATTCCTAGTACACACTATTTTGTCTGTCTAGTCGGAAGATGGTGATTATTTAGGCAGAAATTGCAAATTTCCCTGCTTTGGCCGTATTTTAAAATTGATGAAGTGATAAAAATCACGCAATATCCGGAAGTTGATGGTAAAATGAGGACAAATTTGCCCTTTCCGGCATGAATTTTCCATATTACAACTTGGTTTCTCCCCGTCTGTGGGAATTCAGTGGAATAAGACCTTTTTCACGTTAAACTGCTAACAGTGTATGACGTGGTGTGTTCTGCTTCTCCTATTTTTCACGCTGTTTCTCTCTCTACACACTGCATTCTCAGAATACATGTTGGATTCTTTCTGTCTCGTTCTGCTTTGCGAAGGTTTGGCTTGAATTGACGAAGAGCATATGATGGAAAGAGGGGTTTTGCGGTAGTGTGTTGAGGATGATTGTGTGTGCTGAAGGGGAATCGCGAGCTTCTCTCTCTCTCTCTCTCTCTCTCTCTCTTGAAAATTTCTCTTCGTTCTCATCGGAAAGCATAGCCGAGTGTTGTGTCGAGAGGCAGTTTTTATCGAAGGGCCGTTGTGTTCAGAAGTGCTGCACGTTCAGCGCTTTCTCTAATTATAAAAGTATATTTTTTAAAGTAAGCCACACATAACTATACCAGAAATTAATGTGGAGAGTTAAAAGAGTATCTATTTTATTTATTGAGCCATCACAAATCTAAGAAATAAGTGACTTTTTCAGTGTATGTTGTGTGTGTGTGATTTTTTGGGTGGAAAAGAGGAGTTTATTCGTCAATTTTGTATGCTGCCGTGTATCTTCCTCCCTTTTTTCCATCGCGCCCAAAGTGTGTGTTATATACAAAGACCGTCGAAGGAAATTTTGCGCTGCCACATTTTATATAGGGAAAAGTTGTCGATTTTCTTTTAAGCACTTCGACCGAATTATATTCTCAATGCAAAAATTAAGTGTTGTCAAATGAAGATGAAGCCCAAATGTGTTCAATAAGGAAAATATCGATGATATGAGGTGTGAAAATACTTCGTGTTGGGAGTATCAACGTAATACAGTTTTTGTAGTAACTTTTCTCTGAGAGAAATAGAACAAGAGACAAAGTGCTTTGGCTGGTGGACTCTTTATAACGTGTCCCCCAACACCTGTACGACGGGCATGGACTATTAGTAGTGTTGTAAATGAATTTTACTAAAAAAAAAAAGAGTTTTTAGCGTGAATGTGTGACAAAGGCGGCTCACGGGGAGCTGAGGAAATAGTGGTGGATGTGAAGCCATCAGAAAACTGAGGAAAGAAGGTTAGCAAGAAGAAATTTTTGTATGGTTCAACCATTTTGTATTGGGAATGGAGAGAAGAGTGAGTGTGAAACCTATGAAAATTGGTATAGGAGAGATGTAGTATAATATGGGGGATATTCTATTATCGCATTTTCGTCATTACACATGTGCACAAATACACTAAAAGATCTTTTATGCATCTCCTCTGGTCTCCGGCCGTGTGTCGACGGTCGACACACAAATGTGTGCTCGCTTAGGATGGTAAATGCGGTCTCGAGCGATAGTTTTGTATGGGAAATAGGGAGAGAGAATATACAGAAGATGATTGTCCAATGTTTGTGGGTTGCGAGATAGACAGAGAGGAGATGAATACTGTCTGAAATTCTCAACGTCTGACTGTGGGTGTGTGTTAGAGACTTTTTCTCTTTTTCATATCATTACCTGCGATTCAAATTAATTGATCGTACGTGGAAGGTGTTGTGGGAGTGTGTGGTAGGGTTTGATATGATATTTTGGGCGTGTGAGTGGGAACTGGCCCAAAAAGGGAAAAATAGTAATGTAGAAGACTTGTGGATGTGAGTGTCAAGGTATTAGATTAAAAAAAAAAGCCTTTAGAAAAAAACCTATCTTTAGTTGATGATCGTGTTCCATTGCAATTTCTATTTGTGTGATCTTCATCGATTTTTAAGAGAATCAATATCAGAAAAAATCATGAAGATGCACAAGAGTATGGGAAAAACATTTCTTACACTCAAAAAACTTCAACAAAATGCAAAAAATTGCGATATGTCTATCTAAAACTGGTTTATATTTTTCTTTACCCTCAGGATAGGTACAGCTTACACGTTTGAGAAATTTATCAAATAGATTTGTTCCATCCATTGAATTTATTAAACTAACATTTGACTGTGAAAATTGGTGATTTCTGATAAAAGTTGAGCGTAAAGAGAAGTGTACTTCTACACTCCATAGCAATCGATGATGATCGCACAGGTATTTGGCCTCATTTATACTTTTCTTCCATCCATTGAATTGAAGAAAATATCTGTCTCGGTCACACACAAATTCACACATGAGAGAAGAGTTGAAGAATGCAATGTTTTGCAAATGAACGAAAGCCAGAGTGTTGTGTGGAGTTGCCGTGGAGGATTATATTTTAAAGAGACACACGTAAATAGGAGGAAGATATTTTATACCTATACAGCTCTCTCGACTTATATGAGTCAATAATTCCCATTACTTTTGTGCCATTATGGATTTTTTCTTTACCATCTTCTCTCTTTATTGCCTTTTTTCACCTCTTTTGCCTCGTGTTCGACGAATAATTTGAGTGAAGGAGAAAAAAAATCAGGGAATAGTGTTGGAATTCCAAGAAGTTTAACGTACAATGATCTCTTGGGGGATTTTTGCAGTTGATTCGCACTTGTAGACAAGTAATAGGAGAGTGTGAGTAAATGATTTTTCACGGTAAAATTGTATACAATTCCCAGTAAAATCGACTCACTTCCATTTAATGAAACTCTTCAATCGCGTAAAACTAGTTTATCCAACGAAAAAAGTACTGATTCATAGTGTAAAGTTATTCACGAATGATGCATAAAATTTTTTAATGGGTTTCACTTCTGCAATTAATACATTTGTACGGATATCCGGCTGGTCGATGGCGTGAATATCGGGTGAAGATCTCACTCATCGGCAGTGTTGCTCAATGTATTAAGTGGCAGATGCACTTTCAATTTCATTTTTGTTATCGATTTTAATTGAATAAACAAAATTGACCCAATTCCATTAATTTAGAGAAGACGCTTCCAAGCAGAGTGCACGGTTTTTTTCCTATAAAGAAAAAGAATGGAGTGAATGTTTTGCTCTATATATGAATGTTGTGCCTCGTTTGTATTTGTGATATGATGTGGTTTGGTAAATTGAATGTGCAAAATGTTCCAATTGTATGTCATACAACAGAGTCTAGTGTGGATGCTCATTTTATCAATTTACTATGTACTGCTTGTGACCTAAAAATGAAGGAAAAAGCAACCAATGTAGAATTACTGTGGATATTTTAGCTTACATAGTGTGACATATTGTGTACTTGATATATTTATTTTTGGGTTGATTGTGCTTATTGATTACATAGGAAATTTGATTATATTTCATTTCTTCTATCATCTCAAGTGAGTGACAAAATATGGAGCTATGACATGAATTTTATTGGTATATTGAGCAATTCTGGGAAGGACAGAAAACGAAATGACTTTTGTGGAGGGCAAAGGCAATCACACACTTCTTGGAAATGATAGTAGAATCGATTTACTCGAATGGACAGAGAGAGATATTTCCGGGAAGATGTCTGAGTTTGTATGTCAATTTTAACGCTTCGGAGAGTTATTTCCAATTATTATTTTTGTGTGTATACAATGATTTCCATGTGAAACGACACTTGCGTGCAAGACGCGACAGTGCAGTGAACAGCTTATATGCTCTGGTTTAGATTTATTTATCAAACAATCAATATGGAATAGTGTGTCGATGTATAGTTTTTCTACTAATTTTCTAGACCCAATAAGTCTTTTTTCTCATATTCAATGAGATTTTCTTGAGATATGAGAGAAGAGAAAAATCACGAATGTCTGTTAATTTTCCTTTTGTATTGATTAGACTGAACTTTAACTGAAACTGTTCAAAACTGGGACAGATATTTAGACAAATCTGGTGAAACTCAAATTTGTTTACCAATATTTCAAATTTCATGGAACATTATTCTAAGTATTTGAAAGGATGACGCAGAGTCAAATTTGAACAACATTTTCATAATAATAACATATTATGCAGTTATTTTTGTAACAAAAGTAAAAAAAAAAGTCGTTGGAAACATTATAAGCAATAATAATTCAAACTCGCCACAGACGAAGGAATAAAATGATCAAATTGTTTGCTGGAATTCTTATTGGTTTGGAAGGGTTGAGAAGTTAAGAAATGCTTGAAGATTCAAGATTCCACGATTACTTACTTCCACTCGTCTGTGCAAACTGGGAAATGATGAAAGACATAGAAATCACGTGTTGTTTAGTCTGATGCAGAGAAATATTGGTTGGGCAATTAACACACACAGGAGGAATCGATATTTTTCATAAAAGTTTATAGGTTGTATATGATGTAGGGAAAATGATAGTGAAAGTGAGTGACTGAGGAAAATAAAATGAATCAATACTCAACGGATTGCTTGAAATTTTTTTATTGGACACTCTATGTGTGTGAGTTTTTTTTACAATGTAACATTTGAAACAAATGACGTCATGAGTTATGAATGGGAATTTTTATGAATGAGTCTTATATTCACGACTAGATCTATTGTGTGTTGAAGGTACAATTTTCGCATATCCATAAGAAGTTATATTCTGTTATTTTGGGAAATGAGCAACTGTGTGAATTGAGCACCGTAAGGTTTTGAAGTGATTTCTCGTAAAAATTCTCTCGGTTTAACAGTTTATTTGGCTTTCTTCATTCCTTCCCTCTCATTGCTTGTTTTTTCACATCTCTCACTTAAGTACAATATGTCAAGAGTAAATGTGTTTCTCTGTGATATGTTTTGAATGATTTATCAAAATAATATTCTGTAAATGTTAGTTTTACAGTGTTTTGCAAGGTTCTCGCCTTGTGTTTCTTTTACTTTATTATGCAATTAGTGCTTTTGCCTATGATGCATAAATTGCATGTTAATGCATTTTAAGATTAATAACAAGAGACGAAGCGAAGGGAGAGTTGGCAAGTGCACTTTGTATGTGTGAATGTTTATGGAAAGACAACTGTATTTTGCTTTTGAAAATCAGCTGATGGAAAAAAGCTGAGACTGTGCAATGGGCAAGTTTGGAGGCATACACACAATATTCCTCATCTCATTCTACCATCATTCTCAGGGGCAATTGACGAGAAATGCCAGCCTTTCGTATGTACTTGGAGTGTATGTTGTATGTCCGAAGAAGAGTGAGTGAGGAAGGCTGGAAAAAGAGAGAAAGAAAAAAAATGTGTTGGTTGCTCAAGAAATACAGCAAAGTTGTGGGGTTCAATCAACTCTTCGTGCATCCCAGGAAAGTTGATTTGTATTCTTTCACGAGGGCGGCGAGGTTGAATTTGCGGTGCATAGCATGTAAATTATCTCGTGAGGGGATGACATATGTACATATTACTGTGGAGAAAAGGCAAAAATGCAGAGCATTTTTCAGCAGGTGTCTTTAAATTGAGGTCAGAAGTATAGTTATCTAGTCTAGACTTTTCTTTAATGTCAATATCTCAACAAATCTGTCTATTTGATGGGAATTTTACCAGGTAATCAGTGGTCTGAAACCACACAATTTCTTTCCTGGAAAAGAGATAAAGAGAGAGAGAGAGGTTTCTCGGGGGCATTTTCTCAATGCAATTTTCTGTAACAGACACACAGCAATGTGGGAAAAAGAATGCTGGTTGGTCAATTGAGCGACACCATCACTGAAGAGAAGAACAATTTCTCTAAATTACCTCCAATTTTTTCTTCAACTTGCTCTATTGACGTGATAAATTGCTGTGTGCTCTGAATACAAGACTTCTTCGTTCCCCTTTTGCCACGCGATTATGTGAGAAAAGATGGTGAGGCTTTCTTGTTGGTGGTGGAGAAATTTTGGTCGATTAAGGAGGAGAATGATGAGAAGGGGAGGCAAATGGCCGAAAGAAACAGTTTGTCAGTTGGTTGTGGAATAGAAAAAGAGCACCATGGATGTTTTGAAGGCTTTCTATGACGTAGAATGTGATGTTATTCAGTGGTGTGCTGTGTATATATGGGAGTCATCGCGTTTTCGGGGCATTGCCCCCAAGTAAAGAAGCGGAGCCACAACGATTCATAATAAATACAGCACTATATATAGGTATACAACGTCAGAGAAGTGCACACAAGAGAGTGGATACACTATATAACAATTTCCAAGCGATGGGGCAGCGCGGAAATAGTCATCTCTGTCGCTCTTTCTCCTATTTCTTCGCTCAAACAAGC